CTATTAGATAAACAGAAATTCGGAGGAGACAAAATTTGACATTTAAGTCGAGATGATTACTAAATTAGCTCAGAAAGTCAATTTTTTTGTTTGGTATGATATTCTGGTCTGTTTTGCAAAATAAGTTTAGATTGGACAACAAATATTAATATATTGACACTGTCTTATAGCTGAATTCGACCATCATAATATATGGCAAGATGATCTTGAGATTCAAATTTATTGGGAATTGTGAACTTTTTAATTAATGATTTGGTGTAAGAAAATAATTCTTTATTTTCATATGAAAAATTTTAAAGAAAGTATTGTATCAATTCCAATTTTGTGGAGCATGACAATATTGAAAATAAATTGGTAGATAAAGTTAAAAACTTAACCAAAATTAATTATCTCATTCAAAACAGCGTTAATTATGACGCTATAACCTACACAATTTCGGCAAACTTGTTATTTTCGTTTATTCATAACTCTACCACCATAACGTATTTAACGATATTATCTGTATTCAGCCACCATATTGTAATATGTTTGTAACTGGATAAAGACTGTATGCGTTTTTAGACCGAATATGGGCTATTAACATCAACCAAATATTCTTAACTATAAGAAGGGTGGTGAAAACCGGAAAAAGTCATGATATTCTGATATGAATATGAACCATTCGTTGACCAGACAAATTGAAGTGGAATTTAGTGCTAGCTGATTAAATTGCAAGCAATCCACAATGAACAAACGTACAGTTAAACATTGTTAAAACAAAAAAGATATGTAAAAAAAATCATCCTTTAAATATAAAATACAGTAACCGTCTTCAATCTCAGACTAACAGGCTAACAGATTGCGAAAGAAAATCTCTCCATCAGTTAACCAGCAAAAAATGAAAAATAACTTCGTTTTTTTTTTGTTTTTTTTTTTTTTTTATTTATCACATTTTTGTTCATAAAAGACAACGTGAGTTTGTGTAAAGATTGAAAGCGATATTCATTATGAATCTAGTGTGAAATAAATGGCCTCCTTTACAAATGTGTATTCAAGCACGTGGCGAAAATGTATAAATTTCAACCGACATAAATAGGCACGTTTTTACTGACACTCTTTCCTTTCCTACACAATATTTTCAAGCAAGTGCCATGTTATCTTAAAGGAGACGTGACAAGATTTTTATTTACTAAATCAATTAGTATAAGTCTTAAAAAAATATTTCGTACTATTTTACTGGTTAAAATCAATCGGCATTTTTAGGTCATATAATCCAGCGCTTGTCATAATCAATGACTTTTGATTAGATAACGGTCACGTGATCGTGCTCATTTCATAGGTTACAAGCTGAGAAAATGTCTCAAACTGGATGATGTCAATCACTTTTTGTGCACAGTTACACGATGGACGGTATTAACAGCAGTTTTCCCTATTACTGACAAATTCAAACAATTGACCTCAGCAATTTTAGTCATTGGGTGCGGAAAATAAACAAGAAAATGCGAAGAGTCCAACATCGTCGATTTACCGATCGGCTTGTTACCATACATATATATTGGTTCGTCTGATGAACAAACTTAATAAAGCGCTTTTTTTTTTTCTCAAATAAAACTTCATTTCGTCATGATCGAAAGTATACATTTCTTTCGTTGGTGATCATATAGTCGTTTTTTTTTTCCTGTTACAGTAAGTGTGCTCTGAAAGCTGAAAAAAGTTAGTAAAGTCAAATTAGGCGTTCGCTAATGATGCCTTTTTAATTACACTTATTTATTTATTTTTTTTTGTTACGGAGGAACTTTTCATAGTTATGTATTATCATCAAAACTTATGCCTCAATGTATATATTTATTGGTTGGAAACCAGACACCACAATAAGTCATATAACACTTTATATTTTCTCCATTTGGAAGATTGTTCACGTTGTCTCACAGTTGAAGAGACTGGATATATTTTTATTGATTTGAGGACCTTTCAAATACAATGTTATTACCTTTTCCCCAGTATATGAATATGTTTTGGAGGCTGTTGTTTTAGTAATTAAAATTGACACCTATAGCATATTTGACCAGGTGAAAGGTAATAAGGCACATGTAGTGTAATTCAGTGACGTGTAATGTTATTTACATGTACCTGTGAAAACCAAACATTTTAAAGAAAAATGTCTTATGTTGTAACAATTAATATTGTCATACTACATTTTCTAAAGTATGCAATTTCGCCAGACCCTTATGAATCTGACTCCAAATTATAGGCACAGTAAAATTAAATTCACATATTTCCATCCCCCGGAAAATATTTGCCACACAAAATTCCCTTTTTGATATATGTCAAAAATGTTTCTTCCTATATGGGTCATGTTTAACCCGGAGGTGGTCCTCAGCTGGCCCCTAAATAAAATTGTGTACTAGTTCAGTGTAAATGGACGTCACACTAAACTCCAAAACATATAAATGAACTAAAATTAAAAAAACATACAAGACTAACAAAGGCCAGAGGCTCCTGACTTGGGACAGGCGCAAAATTGCGGCGGGGTTAAACATGTTTTGTGAGATCTCAACCCTCCCACTATACCTCTAGCTAATGTAGAATAAAGAAACACATAGCAATACGCACTGTAAAACTCAGTTCAAAAGAAGTCAGAGTCCGATGTCAGAATCGGTAACAAAAGAAACTAAGCAAAATGACAATGATACATAAATGAACAAAGGACTACTAGCAGTTACTGACATGCCAGCTCCAGACCTCAATCAAACTGACTGAAAGATTATGTTTTCATCATATGAAAATCAATTACAATCCCTCCCGTTAGGGGTTTAGTATCATACCATCATAAAATATATGAGAAGAACATAACCCGTTTTATGCCAACGACTGGTTTTAGAATAAATGTGTTTATTTCCGATGCAAAGACCCTATGAGTGATTCAATATTAATACCAAAATATGCAATCCTTAATGACTTGACAACAGTATCGTAACTATATCCTTTCCGAATAAGATTGTTTAAAGGTTTGGTTAGCTTTTGAGGTGAATGCCGACATTTTTGTGCTTTGTAAAGAATCTTACCATAAAATATTGGATGTGAAATACCTGAATGTATGCATGTAACATACTTCAGTCTGGGAGAACATGAATTATTTATAAGTTGTAACTGGCTTTGAACTAGCTTTCGGTAACTGCGAGTACTCTTATTTCGGTGCTTTGTGTCTATTATTTCTATGTAACGATCTTGTGAGTTAAGCCAATTGCCATCGATTTTTACAGTCTGTTCTTATGTTGTTCTGTTAGACCACTGTCCCACGTTAGAAGGACTGAGCGCTCACAAACATGTTTAACCCTGTACCTCTTCCTAGTAAGGAGCCTGTAGTTCAGTGGTTGTCGTTTATTCATGACTGTGTTTTTGTTCTTCGGAAATATTGTTATAAATTATGCCGTTATTTTTCTCGTTTAAATTGCTTTACATTTTTCATGTTGGGGCCTTTTATAGACAAATATACGGTATGGGGTTTTCTCATTGTTGAAGGCTTTAAGGTTATACCAACGACACTTTCCTCATTTAATATTAAGTTTCCATTTAAAAAGAAATGGTTTTAATCATCTAATTCTATACCAACTAGACATATCGGATCTTTTTATCGTATTTTAATATATCTACCAAATCAAACTAAAAGTGGGTGTTCACTAGTCCTGATGTCAATATGGAGATTCGAAATGGCGAATCATCTCACATTACCGCGCACCTGTGACCTATGATGAACTCATGGCATGGCACCGAGACCCCCAACTCTAGATTCCTTGCAAAAGCGGACGGAACAGATTGTAGTGGGGTTGATACAAAGTCCCATCTTCACGCCTCCCAGGTCTGCGGATCAATCGAAAAACGGAAATATCATGTCACTATTTTTTTTAATTATATTGTTGAATTCATCGGCATCACAGAGAATCAATGTTTATCACTGTGATGCTTTTTGTTATCGAAAATAAATTTGCGTAATTCCTTACTGTCATTATGAAGAATTTGGAACCCGTGACGTAGTAGCCTCGTTCTCAGTGACTTCCGGGATAGAAATATGCATATTTATAAGGTCGATAGATTGATGCATTTAAATACATATTTTACCAAATATTTGACACTTATACTGCTATCGATGTATATATTTGGGGAAAGTTATGTATCAATAAACATTTTGGAACAAAAATTTAAAATCGTGTCATGTCTCCTTTAAATGTTTTCATCTCTTCTGTATTCATATTTAAATGAAATAAATGAATATCGTAGACCTCAGAATATCATTCACAGTTGATTACTTTTTGACACATCGGTACTGACTATAAGATGCTGGAATTTTATTTCTAATTGACCGATCCTTTGCAATTTTGTAAGGTGTGTGTGGTTTTTTTTTTAATTAAATGTTTGATTCTAAATATCTTGAAAAATACTTTGCTTGTTTTGAAATAAAATGGAAAAAGTAGTGTGTTTCTATTGAAAATTAATCTTTTATTCATTTATTTTCATAATGTTTTCATTTAAGTTGTCCGGAGATTAAAATCTCAAGCCCCTAAAAACGTTCAGAATATGCGTGTTTGGTACCTTATTATGTGCAAGTGGCACGTAAATTAGTTAATGTTCCATTTGATGATAAATGTAGATAGCTGCAAAATACACAAAATAGTTTAAGCAAGTAGAAAGCTGCTCGAAAATACCATTTCCCATTATCTTCATGTGCACACGACATACATTTGATAATATGTTCTCTTTATTACAGCAAAAACTAATAGGGTGTCACTCAATTTATAAAGGCGGGACAAACGGTGATTGGTTTCCAAAAAATGGTCTACTGTAAAACGTGTTATAGAGCGATGATGCTCAAACACTTCAAATGACATTGTCATCAATCAATGTGACAATGTTGTTTAAACAACAGAAGGGGCTACTACATAATCACGACTGTGTAATCCTAATTCAAAATAAAATTGAATTTCATTAGTTGCTTTTTAACCAATATCGAGTATAAATGACAATACAGAAAAGACTTTTATTAAAGCAACATAACATAATATCAACCATATATATGAAATTGAAGCAAAGTTCTATTTATTGCTGCAACATTGCAGCATGCTAATAAAAAAAACTTAAAAGGTTGCTAAGACAGCTGACAGCAGCGAATCACTGAACATATATTTTATATGAATCTCAGCAGTGTGTTGTTGTATTATGTATGTGTTCATTGGTTTTGTTATGTTTGTTATTAACTATTGACATGTATGGGCATACGGTGGCATTTCAATTTAAAATGTATGTTATTTATACATTCGGCAAAATTTTGAGTTTTTCTCAGTTTGTGTAAATTTTTTTTATATTAAAAAAACACAAAAAATATTTTAGATGATCTTTTGAAAATAAATATGTGTATTTGTTCATGCAGTTTTTAAAGACCAAGGTAGTGTACTCTCTGGTCGAGAGTTGTCTCATTGGCAATCATACCACATCTTCTTTTTTTTATATGTACGAAATAATTCATTATTTTGATGATGGAATAAATCAATTTAATACCCATGCGTACTTTTCTATATGTGTTATATGTAAGAATAACGTAAAATGTAAAATTGACGCGAAACAAAATAAAAAACGATACGCCCTTATAAGGATATCAAGTGTTGCTCCTTTTCTAATATTATCGCATTACACTAAAGCATTCACTTTCACTTTAGCCATATGTAGGTATGCTCTTTGCCTGATTGTTATCTTCACAAATTTGCCTTTCAAAACTCTGTTACAATCGAATATATGATGGGCTTCTGTATGACTTGGTCCTACATAATGTGCGCACAGCGCCATATGGTTATCATGGCGCTCTCCGACCAAAATATCTACATCACGGAATCGTTCACCTATGAAAAGATAAGGAAATAAACTTTATTATGTTGTTCATTTTAAAATTTTAAAATGTACATTACATCGAAGAGGGTGTGTACTAGGAAAAGTTCTTATGTGTAGGAAATATTTAAGTTATTATTGATCGCAAAAAGTAGTGTTAAAATATTCAATGTTTGTGTACATCTTATATAATGAAATTGATGTCAGAAAATAGTTTAGCATCGCTGCTATTCACGTAATGGAAGTCTATATATCTAAATTTATTGAAAACTTTACCATTGATTAGAAAATTTGTTATCATTGTTAACTTTTTCCTGATATGCTTATTTCTGTTATAAATATTAAATGTTATGGTTCAAATAGACCTTCCCATTTTCATTTTATCATTGCCCAAGAGACTTTCAAACACAGTTGACTCATTTCTATTAATAAATGATTAGCATAACATTAGTTGTACCAATTTTAGTGCAACAAATAATGATTTCGACGATACATGTCTCTTCAGTGAAGCAGGTTTTTCATATTTTCGGCCTCAAACATCACTGAAGAGATGTTTATTGTCGAAATGCGCATTGGTGCAGTAAACATTTGTACCGTTTATGTTATTACTACCACTGGGTCGATATCCCTGATGGTGAACTGTTAGTTCCCGCGGGTACCACCAGCCTAGAAGCCAGTACCTGAGTACGTCGGCACTGGCATGAACATTTTGATATTGTTTGATTGCGATTTGATGTTATAAGATTTTGGAAATCATTTTTTGAAAAAGGAATATATCTCCCTCATGCAAAACTCTGATTCTTTGTCCGGGTTTGGCTATGCTTTAGGTCCTTTTTTGGTTTGATCAGCTCTGAAAATCTGAACTACTAAAATATTTTTCGTTTCATCAGATTTTACAATTAATAGTATTATACTTGACTGTTGAATTTGCTATATTAAGTTCATAGAATATGGTTGGATAAAATTTACCTCGATCAATTTTGAACATAAATCAATGTTCACCTATTATCCTAAGTTAATCTGGGTTATATTAAGATTTCATAAGTAATTGATATAAACATATATACCTCTATATCATGTACAATGTATATTTAAATCTAATAAGTAGTGTTGAAGGACCAGAATGAGGCAATTGAAAATTAAAAAACAAAACAGTATGTGCTCAAACATAAAAGCTTCTAGTTTGGTGTCTTTAAGATGGATATAAAATCTCTGAAATTTTACTAGACAACGTTACCCAGCCAAACTTTTTAAAAGAAGAAGAAAAATGTGATAAAATGAAATACAAGATAGAAGGTATAATTTTTATTATGGGCAGTTCTTAGAAACTTTTCTTCTTTTTTTTTTTTTTTACATTTTCACTGTTAAATATCAGGTTCACAACAATACATTGTATCAAGTACTTTTGCTTTTTCCTCTTTTCTATGTGAATTATTATTATTATTATTTTAACCAAATTATACATTATACACGTGTGATGGACAGACACACAGAACAAATCATGTTTTTATATGTGGGGAATATAAAAAAAGATACTTTAATTATAACTGCCTATCCACAACGTAAAAAGTTCTAATGAATTGTTCCTCCTTATTTGAAACAGTTATCAAAACATTTTTTATATTTTTTAAAATTCTACCCTTAGTTTTTGGTGGGGTTCGTGTTGCTCAGTCGTTAGTTTTCTATGTTGTGTTTTGAATACTGTTGTTTTTGTTTTTTTTTATTGCCATGGCGTTGTCAGTTTATTTTCCACTTATGAGTTTGAATGTCCCGTTGGAATCTTTCGCCTCTCTTCTTCTTATATTAGAAAGGAAAGTTCATTTACATAGTTGAAAGTTATGCCATGTAAAGCTTTGCTTGAAACATACATATGAATAATAAACAGATCATTACTAGGTATGTTTTTAGTTGATAAGTAAATGGCATTTTACTCCTCCCATTTGTAAATTAATATTTAACGATTGAGCTTGCAAGCAAGGTAACCAAAGATACTACTTTTACCTATACACTCATGTCAGAGCGCTATAACGTTACCTATTTTACTGCACCAGATGTGCAAATAATTTAAAATCTTCTATCCAAATATTTCAAAGTGTTTTTATTTTGCCATAGTACTGTCCAAGATATTCAACTACAGTTGTACCTTAGTCCTTCTTAAGCTAAAACTTGAGATAGCTTAAATATCTGCTCATGTCCGGTGTATTTTAGCTCAACACACTATTCATAGAACGTACTCACGTTTACTGTACATGTCAAAGATAAAAAAAATGTTCTTAACAGATAGCTATGATTGATTGATGATACCACTACAAATGTAAACAATATCATCTGGATTGATTTTTGTCTAATCCAATCAAAGAGGTGATCTCAATATTTAAACTACAGGTCTGGAGCTGATTAGTAGCAATTGGTGTTCTGTTTTGTAATTTGTGAACTGTTGTTTTCATTTTCGTTTTCCCTGGTTACGTCAGTTTTTCTGCGACTTCTAATTTTTGATTGCCACCTTAGTATTTTCTCCCCTTTTTACAAAAATAAATATCAATTATTTACCGTTGCCATTTGGTTCATTGTAAACTTCTACGCTTGTGATACTGTACATTTGTCCAAGATCTAATACCCAGTAAGGGTTTTGCTGTATATCTGTGTGTTGTATTGTTTCAAGACTTCCATCAACAGCCAAACTCGACGGAAACTGAGGTCTCCATGTTGAGCTTTGATATGTTGATCTGCTATGAGCCACTTCTTTTGGGATACCTATAAATGCATTTTATCGTATCTTTACTCATATAAAAGGATATGTTGCGAGTAATCAATAATGGCGAGAAAGCAGAGAAAACGAGCTGAAAAATGTGGTTGTCGTGTTTATAGTTCTTCGCTGTTTTAGAACAATGTCATTGGTTTTATTTATGGTGTCGGTAAAAAACAAAGATTTCACAAGCTTTGTAAATAACACGTTCGCGAAACATTAGAACCAAACAAGGCTAAACGGAGCATACAATAAACATTGCCTGACTTTTAGTTGACTGATTGCCGGTGTTTAACGCCATTTTAGCAACTGACCTTTGACAGGAAAACTGCCAAGCAAAGAAACAAACGATCGGTGTCAAACTTGTTTTGCCACAACCGGGGTTTGAACTCACAACATTAGTATTTACAGGCTTTTCATCACTGTAGATTAACGTTTTTGTTAACATCTAAGACCAATCGGCCACCAAGGGTCAATTGTCTGAAAATTTAAGATGTAACCTTAGATATAGTACAATTATATGATTTGACTTGAACATGCTTTATTTAAATCATGATACTACTAAAATGCTCGCCAATAGGGATCAATAACCTAAGGATAATGTCACTTCACTAGCGGCGGAAATTGTTTGCCATATATTTTCGTGAATAGGTTCTCACCTCCACAAAAAACCCCTTTTGCTAAACCAAACATTTTGATCCATCAAAGTCTTTAAGTTCATTCTGAACAATACAACTACAAAATGAAAAGTAAATCAGATAGAGAGGATAAACTAAAACAGTATGATCCAGTTGGAGAGCAAACTTTTATTGACAAACAGTAGTCTTATTTTACTCAATACTTTCATGCGTGTCCAACAGTCTGTCGAATGAATGAGTTGGGTTTTTTTTTGCAAAAACAAAGATGCAAGTCTTTACAGTTCATTTTCATACTAGTTCAGAAATACTAGTAGTACGTTTTTCAGTGTCCGATTTCATTGTACACACAAAACGCAAGTGGTAACGTCAGAAATTGATGCAGTGTTGGGATCAATACAACTTCGTCTGTATCAAATTATGAGTGATGTGACCTAATATTAGGTTTTAAACAGGGTTAGGGGTCAAAATGGCAAAGAGTGGTCGAATTTTTTAAGTGAAAATCTAGATAAATCATGCCATTTACTTTTTTGCCTGTTAAAACTAGGTGGATGCATAACAAAATGACACACGATACGACCTTTTCAGCCTCCACATTGCAACAACACCGATCCAAGAATTCTAGATCTCCAAATCAGCATTCAGAAGTAAAAACTTTATGAGTAAAGGTATACATGTACATGTAGTGCGTGTTTCAACCTTGAAAATAGCATTTGCAATGTAAATAGCATGTATGATGATTTTTGACAATTCAATTCTTTTTTTTTTTTTTTACATACATGTGCACTACTTATGTTTTCTTACCTAAAAACCATGCTTCCTGCTTTACTCCAAAACAATTTCATAGGACTACAATAATGTGCGTTCAGACTCAACGTATTACACTTAGTTGAGTTATCGATTTACTATCGTACTAACCGTAGAACGAACTGGGAGCTTTCATTGAACTTTTGAAAATAATTGATGTATACTCTTCATATGAAAATTAATGTTTTATTTATCATAATCAAAAGTATTTAGAGGAATTTCAGCTGCAACTTGGTATTAATTTCAGGTGGATATTGTTCGTATATATAGCAAACAATAGTGTGTGTACTCGATTATGCTTCTAAGCAACCGTTGCAAGTAACAGTCGCACGAACGGTTTATAATTTAGATTTATTTCCCCTAAAATTGCAAAGGCAAAAAGAAGCTAAAATATAAAGTACATTTATGATCTATTTGATTTTTGCCTGTTCTATTATTAATACAGGGTAGAATGAATTGGTTGGAATTTTTAGGGTAGGCTTTTACAGAAGATGAAAAAATGAGAGCCATTTTAACATACAAAATTAACCTCATTAATAATGCAATAATGACAAAATAAAACTAAAACTATATTCGTCAGTGCGAGTTCTAAAACATAAATTGAAAATTTTGAATTTGCAGGTGGACCAAAGTTGTTCAAAATAAATATTAACACTATCTTATTTCCATATAGGTAATCAACAATGTTTCCATAATCAGTATCAACTCTTCACATTCCCTAAAATCATTAAAGATCGTAGTTCACGTTTTAAAATTTTCATTATCTTAACCAATCTTATATTTTTATGCATTTTCACAACAATCGTCTTAAACATGTATAAGATATTTTATCAATTATAAAAGCATGAAGAAAGGGTAAAATTATAAGATACGCCCGTAAACGTTTTCAAAAATCAATTTACTATTAATCATATGACAATTGTTCTTGTTTTTTTTCAACAATTCTACACATTGAAGGGTTTTTCATCGGCAATAGAGTCGTAAATATTTTTTTTTCAATATGTTTCAGTTTACATTTTTAGAATGCATTTTATACCAAACAGAAATTCGTTTGCTTCTTTTTGTAATTTGGGGTGTAAAAGCTTTGAAAATTTTGTATGAAGCACAATAAACGATTTTACAACCCTACAAAATTACAAAAAAAGCATTTAGTTCTTAAATAGCACAGAATATTATATACTGATTTAAACAAAAAGATCTCTGAAACTGACATTATCAAGATGCTTGATTTCTTGATTGACAACATATCTGCTACGTTAGAGGACGTGTTTTTTCAACAAACAATCGGCATTCCCATGGGAACCAATTATGCTCCTCTTCTTGCCGACTTGTTCCTTTATTCATATGAGGCCGACTTCATACAGGAACTTCTTAGGAAGAAAAGTATCCTTTACCTTTACTTTCCCCTATTTGGATGATGTTCTCTCACTAATTAAATCAAAATTTGGTGACTATGTTGAACGCATCTATCCCATCGAACTTGAGATAAAGGATACAACAGATACAGTTAAGTCTGCCTCATATCTTGACTTACAACTATAAATTGACAATGATGGTCGGTTGAAAACAAAACTTTACGACAAAAGAGATGATTTCAGCTTCCAATTGTGAACTTTCCATTTCTATGTAGCAACATTCCAGCAGCGCCTGCATACGGAGTATATATCTCCCAGTTGATACGATATGCTAGGGCTTGTATTTCCTATCATGATTTCCTTGGTAGAGGGTTGCTGCCCACAAGGAAGCTATTAAACCAAGATTTCCCAGTGGTGAAGTTGAAATCGTCCCTTCGTAAATTTTACGGACGCCATCATGAGTTGGTTGACCGTTATGGAATATCCGTTTCACAAATGACAACGGATATGTTCCAATTGTCGTAATTACAATCTTGTCCCCTTTTCCCCGAATGTAACCTATCGAATTAGACTTATCACCGGGTTTGTACTAACATGAGCAACAAGACGGGTGCCACATGTGGAGCAGGATTTGCTTACCCTTCCGGAGCACCTGAGATCACCCCAAGCAATAACAAAATATATACAACAGGATACTAAAAATGTACTTAAACTTTGTACCTGTATATAACTTTTTGTGGATTTCTTGTACAATCTCAAAGACCTTGTCAATTTTTGTTTCCATTTGTTCACACGTGCTTGATGTTAACAGAAAGACTCCAAATAACAGAGCCGGAAAAAAAACAAACAATTTCAGGAATGTCTTTTTCGGCATTTTGTAGACAGCATTGAGCTAGCAGTTATTTTGTTTAGCTTATATATCTTATTTAAAACAGCGTAAGTTATAAAACTATAACCTTGAAATTGTCGGAAAACATGAGGTTTCCGTTTATACATGTATCTACCACTATATATGTAACGCATTAAACGATATTATCTTTATCCTACCCAAATATTGTAGCATTTATTTAACAGGATAAGAATTGTATGCACTTTAAGACCGCAAATGGACTTTTAACGTCCACAAAATATTCGTCTTACCATACGAATGATGGTGAAAATTGACAAATATTCGTCTTACCATACGAATGATGGTGAAAATTGACAAATATTCGTCTTACCATACGAATGATGGTGAAAACTGACAAATATTCGTCTTACCATACGAATGATGGTGAAAATTGACAAATATTCGTCTTACCATACAAAGGATGGTGAAAACTGGAAAAGTAATTTTGTTATGATATGAATATGAACCATTCATTTAACAGATCGACTACTTGAAGTGGAATTTAATGCTAGCTCACAAAAATGCAAACAGTCCACATGTACAATTAGACATGTCATTCATAAAATAAACATTTCTGACTTTGAGCCTCCGAAACGTGTACTTCTTTCTACATGATTGGTGAAAACCAATTCAAAGTTTATGTTTAAATTTAAAGGAATCATACACATGACCTAATGATAAGAAAGGTACCACAAGTCCACAAAGTCAGCTTAAATACAATGCTTCAGAGCGGAACATTTATTAAATGAAGGAATGTAAGAGTAGTTTCAAACGATATGAGTATACACAACTTAATTGCATGAATATACACGAATGGAATACAGTCTTCTCTGAACCGTGTTCAAAAATACAATTTAATGAACTTTCACTGATTTCAGATCAATATAACGCAATTCATCCTCTTCAGAACAGATACCCACTTGTAAGTTTCAAGTTGCAAATTGATTGACTGCAATATCTATCGTGTCACGTGTTCTCTTGACAACACGTTCCTATCAATCAGTATTGTCAAATCGATTGAGCGATTTAATTATTACCAGAAAATCTTAGTTTGTCTCATAGAAAATACCAGTAAACCGTATTTTTCTCATAGTTTGTACCAGAAAAACGTTGTTTGTCTCATAGTAAATACCAGTTAGACGTTGTTTGGCTCGTAGTATATACATGTAACCGTAGCTTGTCCCAAAGTAAATACCAGTAAAACGTTGTTTGGCTCATAGTAAATAGCAGTTACACATAGTTTGTTTCGTATACAATTAAACGTAATTTGTCAATACTAAAAACCAGCAAAACGTAGTTTTCCTCATAGTTAATTCCAGTGAAAAATTGTTTGTTTCATAGTAAACAGCAGTAAAAAGTATTTTTCTCGGAGATTATACCAGAATTACGTAGTTTTCCCCATAGTAAATAGCAGTAACACGTACTTTGTCTCGTAAAATGTACCATTAAACGTAGTCTGTCACATAGTTTTTCTCATAGAAAATATCAGTTTAACGTAATATGTCTCCTAGTTAATACCAGTAAAACGTTGTTTGTCTCCTGGTTAAAATCAGTGAAACGTTGTTTGTCTCATAGTTTTCACATAACAAATAAAACGTCATAGTATATACAACATGGATAGTGAAACTTATCAATGGGCAGTTACTTCTGCTTCTTTCCAATTGGCGCCAATATTTAAAAAAAAAGTCAGTCCATCTGTGGCGGAAAAATCAGTCCATCTTATTGATACGCTAGTTAATCCGCAATAAAGAATTAAACTCCATATAATTGAACATGTTTTGGTCCAGTTGTTATTGTGGTTTTTTTCGAGAACAAAATCTTTGGAACCAATATCAATTCAAATAAATTTTCCGTAACGGCTACCCTAGATTTCGGATAAAAACGACATCGGCTTTACTAATTTACCATTCCGTTCGCTGTGATAAAAATTATTTTCAAGTTTCATTTCGTCATGTGTAATACAACAGACGATATTGGGTAGCAAAAGGCAATGTGATCATATATGATATAAGGCATTGGGTATTATCTCATTTCATCTGAGTTGTCGTTCTTACTTATAACGTATGGTCGCAATTGTTCCGGTTATGTAGTAACCACACATTATTCATTAATCCATGTGGCCTTGTCTACAATTGCCTAGAGTCAATATTGATCTAAATTTGCGAGTGTATAAAATATTCTCACGATTCTAACATGCAACCATAGTTAGTGTTGATAGAATATGTTATGGAAATTGAATTTTCCCACCGCCGATAATATTTGTAAAACTTGGTAGATGCAATTGGTGACACAACTAATAACATAAAATCCAAAACCAATGGTATCGACGGAAAGAGCATCCGGGAATCATTTTTTTTTTAAATTTATTCTCAGCTAACCCTAAATGCACGATCATTAAAGATGATACCCTACTACAGTTTGCTTACTATCATAAGAGTAGAGAACCGTATTGATTGGCTCGATCTGGAAGACAGAGAAGCGACACACAAAACAGATCTCCTCGTTTAGCATTATAGACTTTTGCCTTTTCAACTCTGTTTGAAATTTCTATAAAGAAACCATCAATGTATTATGATAGTGAGTTATGATAATCGTGTCCCCGATTGCCAGTCTAATGAAAGGCAAAGAATTAATTACCAATAAAGTAGGAATTGTGCTTATTTTTAAGGAAAGTCCTTTATTGGTGGATGTATCCTCACTTTTGTCGTACTTTGGCAAGATCATTGATTGATGGTTATATATTTCATTACCTAAATGACACAGTTTTGCTTTACTTGTTTGAATGCAAGGAAAGAATGATGTTTAAAAATTCAGAGGTTAAATTTAAATTTTATTTCTGTGTTTTGCCATCTTAGGTTTTCATCTTAATCCTATGTATGCTTGACGGGTGTTTCAAAAGTCTGACGTTTTAAGTCAGGTGTAAACGTCAAATCCAACTGTTCGTTCGTCTATCAGCGGGTAATAACATCCATTCCACTGTTTCGGTTCCTATACATCCTTTGCTTTCAAATATTTGGCTTTGAGCAAAGGTAAATCGAGAAAATCGCTTCGAATGCATGAAGTTTTGTTTTCATTTGTCAGCTCGCATGGGCCAAAGTTTAACTAACGGTCTAATTTATAACATAACAAATATGACAGACATGAACCAACGACAACTACTGAACTACAGGCTCCTGACTTGGGACAGGCACATAAAGAATGTGACGGGGTTAAACATGTTTGTGAGGGCTCAACCAATATTTTGCGTTTTGCCTAATAGCTTATAAATATAATAGATAGATAGAAACTTGAATAAGCAACAACAAACAGCAAGACAAGATCTACAAATAAGTATACTGGCCGAAATCATCCATGGACTCCTTATTGGAGATCTTGCCCTTTAATCACAAATTTTTCCAATATTTTACGGTTAGTCTATTATCTTGAAAGCAATAAAAGATAGATAGACACTTTAAATAACACAAATGATCAGCAAGACAAGATCTACAAGTCAAATTTTGCCGAAATGATTCTTTATAGGAGTGATTGCCGTTAAATGACAACTGGTTTGGCTTATTTGTGTTGTGGGCGAAAACGAAAGAAGATAGAAAGAAACAGTTTACTGTAAACAATAAAATGATCAGCAACATAAGAACAACAAAAACGAGATTTTTGTCTTGAATTCTATTTTAATCAACAATTTGGGAGATAATCCATTGTTGAAGATGCACAGACCTAGGCTCTTTAAATCCTCTAGTTTACAGCACTGAGTCGATACCGCTGCTGGTGGAATTTTCAGTCCCCTAGGCTATCATCAGTTCAGTAAATCGGTACTGAAATGATTAAAAAAAAAAAAATCTTAAATTTTGAAATTATCAGGAAACTAAGGTTTCATCTCCCTGGGTAGAGTTGACTTGAATTTGGTTATTATTTTGAGTTCTTTTTTGGTCATATAGCTCTTTATATGTTTCGGTTCTGATACACCTCGGCTTTTAATATTCGGCTTTGAGTGTTTCTGATGAAGGTAAATACAGAAAAGCGCTTGGAACGACTGATATTTGTAAAATATTGTTTTCATTTTTGTGGTCTCATCGTTCACAAATTAAATGAATTATTGTTGTCCAACAATGTTATCTTATTAAATCTACACCATATGTCACTTTGTTATTTTTACATGATTTTAAATGACTTGTGTTCACAAAACTAAAATTATATTTTACAAAAGTATAGTCATGCTGGTAAATAGAATGATATAGTGACATATATACATAAATCTTAACTCAAAACATCAAATTGGCCGTCACAGTTTTTATCATCTATTCTATAGGAAACGAGAAGAAAACTGAAAAAAAATCGTTTAACAATACCATACAAAAAGGTCACACGTATGTAATACTACATCAATTATATGCAAAATCGTTACTGAAGGCCAGCTGTTTATATTTAAAAGGATCATTTTATCCTACCTTTTTGTTTTTGTGTCATCTGAAGACGGAATAATAGAACTTTATTGTTCGGATTCTTCTTTGTAACGTGGCGGTTTACTATACAATTCGATTTATTAATTGTTTATTGTTGTTTGACTATAACATATATAAATATGGTGATATTAAGATTTAGTTCTGTTAAAACACAGAGAAGTGGGGGCTTTTACGAATGGTCAGAAAAATATTCATATTAGGTGATTAAACTTGAAGATATCAAAGATATCAGGTAAGAAATTCAACATCATTTGCGTTTTGAAATTAACGTTTTTTATTTTATACATCTTCTTATATCTATATAAAACAGCTCAAACACACAAAGTATATAGATAATGTCTAGTATTTATAGAGATGCAAATAACTTATTCATGTTTTATCGTGCATGCAAGTTGGCGATTTAACTAGGTGCAAAACTAGGTCATGAGCCTGTAATTCAGTGGTTGTCGTTGGTTCATGTCTGTCGTATTTGATTTTTGCTAATTGTTTTGTTATAAATGACTTTAGTTTTCTCAATTGAATTGTTTCATATGTTTTATGTCGGGGCCTTTTATAGAAGACAATACGGAATTGGTTTTTCACATTGTTGAAGGCCGTACGGTTGCATATAATTGCTTAAATCCACTTCATTTGAACTTGGATGGATATTTGTCTCATTGGCAAGCATACCACATCTCTTTATTTTTATATTAATCCACCATTTGTTTTAGAAAATGCTCATACCAGAGACACGAACATGACAATTGTTTTCCGGTTGTTTCGTTTGTTTATTTAACCAAGCGTTTGGTTTAACAGTTTTAATTGACTTCACATTTTTGAAATTTCCTCGGAGTTCTTTTTTTTTTTTTAGTATATCGTTTTATATTTCATATGGTTAATTTTATGCAGAACAATTAAGCTTTATTTATGGTGATCGAAGTGTTATTATTTTTAGGGCTTTTCCGCAATTGTGAGAAAGACTTAAGATGTTAACTTAAGTCATGATTTTTAAATCTTATCCGAGGTGTAGTTTATGTATCACTTTCACTATCTATTTAACTTTTGATAAATGTTTTAATTTCTAAAAGACATGCAGCCAATACCAGTGAAAGAGAAGTTCTGACTCTCTTAACATCATACTGATGAGCAATACCTCAAATCAATATCTAGAACATCAACGTTACAAACTTGGTTTGACGTTGCCTACTTATGTTGACAAGTCATGTTCGTTTTATATTCAATATAATCAGATATGCTGTCATATTACCACAAAGAAAGCTTATGCAAATAAATACACAATTTTTATATCATTAATTGAAAATACACATGTAACTGTTACACTAATTCAATCATATTAAAGGTAATCTCCTGACATCAATTCCAATGTACATTTAAGAAATTAAAAAAAAAATATTGTTTAAATTTAACTCGAAGATGTGGATTTCAATTTTAATGGATTTGTTTCATCTTTGTTATCTAAAATTAAGAAAGTCAGTATGCATAATGATTAGTATTTTAAACATTATTCTTGATTGTTGATTTTTTTGTTCCTCTCCGTATCGTTTAAAGTTCAAAGACACGTTGTTTGATTGTCCACCCATTCTAGTTATTGGCAATTCAAGACGTAACACCTCAAACTCAGAAACAGCGGTCACGTTGCTTTGCTAAACGAAACTTAGCAAGGACGATGAAACAATGTTTCGGAGTTTGATCAAACCTGGGTATAGAGACACAGGTTATAAAATCACCTTGACGTTTGTGTTAAAAATTTCCAACAGCATGTTTAAATAAAATTGAGAATGGAAATGTGGAATGTGACAACAACCCGACCATAGAGCAGAAACAGCCGAAGGCCACCAATGGGTCTTCAATGCAGCGAGAAAATCCCGCACCCTGATACTTATAAGTAGCACAGATTATTGTTAACCTAATTCAAATGAATGTTCAAACACGTTAAGAGTACGTACAATCTAAGACTCTTTCATCTTGCAATAGTATTAAAACACTTGACTTTTCTACACTTTTCACTTTACAAGTATTCCCCATTCCAAACTTAAAGATAAATTGAAAGAGTTGTGGTCCTGCTTTGTTTCATAAAAAAGAATGGCCTACGTAGATACAAGTTTCTTGTCGTAGGGAAGGATAAATCGTACTTTGTAAAAAGTCACTCTGATGCAAACAAAAAATTGATACTAACATTATCAAGATGCTTGAGTTCTTGATTGACAAAATATTTGTTACGTTAGAAACATCTTATTTCTAACGCAATGACGTTACACCTCAATTAACCTTGAAATGTAAAAGCAGGTCACACCAACGAAAAGATCTTGCTTTTAAAAGAAATATGCAATAATTTTTTCCATTAAACATCCATCTTTCTACGCCTGTAACTCTAATTTATTACTATTTTTGTGGCTCAAATCCCACCTGCAGCCTTGGGAAGGGGGCCGGGGTAGGCGGCCGACCTTCCAACCTGGCGACTCATTTAAAATGACCTGTGACGTGACTTTTGAAATTGTCCAAAACAGAAAATCAGATCAGTTTAAAACTGTATAATTTGCTTTAAAGAGAGTCGAAAGATACCAAAAGTGGCATTCAAACTTATAGGTCGAAAATAAGGTGACAACGCTATGGCATTCAAAGAAAAAGACCGAAAGACAAACAACAGTATACAAAACACAACATAGAAAATTAAAGACTAAGCAACACAAACCCCTACAAAAACCTGATCTCCGGTGCTCCGGAAGGGTAGGCAGATCCCACTTCACATGTGGCACCCATCATGTTGCTCATGTAAGTACAAACCCAGTCAAAAGTATAATTCGGTAGGTATTATTTGGGGCAAAAGATGAGAATGGTGGGTACGACGATTGGAACATATCCGTCGTCATCTGTGAAACAGATATTCCGTAACGGTCAACCAACTCGTGATGGCGTCCGTAAAAATTTCAAAGGGATGATTTCAACTTTACCACTTGGAAGTCTTGGTTTTATAGATTCCTTGTGAGCAGCAACCTTCTATCAAGAAAATTGTGATATGATACGCAAGCCCTGGAATATCGTATCAAAGGGGAGAAATATACTCTAAGTGCAGGCGCTGCTGGACTGTTGATACATAGAAACGGAAAGTTCACAATTGGGAAGCTGAAATCGTCTCTTTTGTCGTAAAGTTTGTTCTCAAAAAGTAAAATCACACATATACTGAACTCCGAGGAAAATTCAAAAAGGAGAGTCCCTAATCAAATGGCAAAATCAAAAGCTCAATCACATCAAATGAATGGATAACAACTGTCATATTCCTGACTTGGTACAGGCATTTTCTTATGTAGAAAATGGTGGATTGAACCTGGTTTTATATCTAGCTAATTTCTATAAAACCTAGCATCACTGAAGAGACATTGATTGTCGAAATGCGCATCAGGAGCAGAAAAATTGGTACCGTTTATGTTATTGTATGACAGTCGCATCGAATTTCATTATATTGACAACGATGCGTGAACAAAACAAACAGACACAATAGGTAAAAATGTCAAAAATAGTGGTACAGCAGTCAACATTGTGGTATCATCTTAATCACTATAAAAACAAACAAATGTAACAAAGAAGCACAAAAAGTCATACATCAAATTTAACATCCTCATTTTGCTTTTTTATTATATGATTTTATTTATCTATGTTAAATCCACCCATAAAGGATGGAAGGTTTTGGCGTACTGGCGTAGAATCGCGCGTTTTACGTCACATAGGTAGATATAAAATAATTGTGTCGTTCAAAGTATGACGGGATACATAAGTACAGAGTCACGTCAAATGGATATCACAAGAAACAGACTTAACAGTAAAAGTAATATTAATAAAGACAAATAAAAGAATACTATAACACGTTATCAAGATGATAAACAACGTCAGTACGCAGAATCTATACTTCAAGACCATCGTGTATTATTTGTGAAGTTGATACGGAATATTTATCAACAAGGTCTTGGTTTTAGAAAAAGGACGAGAAGTTCTTTGACATACCCCTGGTTCATCAACTTTCTGCTCAGACACTCAACCGACTCTCATTGTCTAGTTCTAGATGTAGGTCAAGATATGAGGCAGACTTTTCTGTATCTGTTGTATCCCTTATTTCAAGTTCGACGTGATAGATGCGTTCAACATAGTTACCAAACTTTGAATTATTTAGTGTTAGGACATCATCTATATAGCGGAAAGTGAAGTTAAAGTATAATGCTAGCTTCTTTTTATTCTTCATAAGAAGCTCTTGTATGAAGTCAGCCTCATATGAATAAAAGTACAAGTCGGCAAGAATATGTGCACAGTTAGTGGTTCCCATGGGAATGCCGATTGTTTGATGAAAAACACGTCCTCCAAACGTAACAAATATTTGTCAATTAAGAATCAAGCATCTTGATAATGTCAGTGTCAGAGAATGTTTTGTTTGAATCAGAGGGATTTTTTACAAAGTACGATTTATCACTCTACGTTGGCCATTTTTTATGAAACATTGCAGGACCAATTTGTCTGTTAGTTTGGAATGGGGAATACTTGTGTAAAGTGTAGAAAAAAGTTAAATGTTTAAATAATATTGCAAGATGAAAGAGTCTAAGATTGTATGTACTCTAACATACATTTGGATTTTTGTTTATCCACACCAGGTTAACGTCGTCTCTATAATGGATAGTTTTACAATATCTTTGACGCCAGACTTTGATTGCTCATAAAACTGATGTTAATAATTTAGAAAGATGTTTCGTGGAGCATTTGAAAGACCCAGCCGTATAACGTTGTTTGTAAGGAGACTTGTGTAACTTAAGTATCCAAAGAGTAAGAAAGACCCAGTTCTTTATCTTTGTTTGGATAACACATTTCGCTGAGAAGTGTTATTGGCAATGTTTAAGTCATCAGTAATAACGTGGCTAGTCGGATTGTATATGAATGGGGAACTAGCACGGTTTTATTCATGATACTTGAAGTTGTCAATATTGAGATCCTACAACACCTGTTTGAAATTGAAAATTTTAGTTGCAATCAGTCATTTTTCGTTTTGTATAGGTATAAGAAATTTTTAAAATACGGAGGTATTTTCGAGTGAACTGATTTATGATGAAGGACATTGCCCAGGTTGATGGCATCGAGAACTTTGTTGGGAAAGGAAAGTTTCAGAAAGGATCTTTTCTCCTTTTATCTTTTCCAATGCGAACTGGTTTGAAAAGTTTGTGACTGGTAATAGCCCGAGATGGTAGTTGTAAGTTTGTATTGGTTTGAATAGGGATTTGTAACAGCAGTTGCCAAACATACGTTGGACAGAGAACGGGGTTTTGAATGGGATATTGAATAAAGCTTTGTTTGAATATGATGAATACCCAAATGCTTTTGTATAAATGGAAGAAGGTCATTAATTAAGACATCATGGAGAGAAGGGGATGTATACTAACGATGACCATGACTTCGTCTTCATAGAGGAGTAGAGTTGCAAAATGTCCATCACATTCACTGAGCTACAGGAAGGAGTAGATAGAATACCATACCATAAATTTTGTCATTGCAACCATATGGTGTCGCAGTTTCCAATTCCCGAATCCAATAGTCTTCTTTTTATCTACGGAGATGTGTTGCAATATGAGGATTATTAGTCCTGTGGTATATTAAAAGTGACCTGGTGAACGGAGTTATTTTCTAAACGTGATCTCAGGGGAGTAACCTACTGGAGCTCCATTTTTTTCAACTAGTATTATATATAAGAAGATGTGGTATGAGTGCCAATGAGACAACTCTCCATCCAAGTCAAAATTTATAAAAGTAAACCATTATAGGTCAAATTTTACATGTATTGTGAATTGTGGATCGGAAGATTGTATTTTATTGTTCTAGAAAATTGCAGTTTATTACTAATAGATTCACTGAGGGGCTTAGTGTATACTACAGAAAAAATATAAACTGATGAACGGGTTTAAAGTTATGAACTGAGGAAAAACATGACACATTCGAAAAAGGATTGACGTGTAACAAGATCGTATATTTATGATTATTCGAGAATTGTATTTGGAGTGTTTAGATTCTAACTACAATAGCCTAGAAACATGGATTATCTCTCTTGGTGTGCGAGTTCTGAATTCTTATTCTTAAATTTTGAAATATGACTTGAATTTTGAATTCTGAAATATAAATGATCCTTCTCGGCTTTTGTAAAATATGTACATGTAATTACTTCCACAATTATCTAGTATGTGGAATCAAGTTTACTCAAATCAGATTATGGTTTTTCAAGCGTACGTTGATACATCTATCTTGTGATGAAATGAAAAAGTATAAACCTGATAGATTTATCATTGTTGTTTTACTAACTGAATAATAAAGAAACAATAATACAAAATTTCTTGTGTAAAATGGATCGTCATTTACTGGTTTTTTTTAAATACACTTAAAAACCAATTGCATTATAGAAAACGTAATCAATATATATATCCTGCACGTAAATCTTTAGTGATCAATTTTTCATTTATTGTTACATGTCTTTATTTCTAAACTAACTAGACATAAATTTATCACAATGGAGCATATCGATGGAAACTGGTTTCGAGAGGAAAACGACAAATGGAGTGGTTATAGCATTGGCATAGAAATAGAGAGAATTCTGTACTTTGAAAAAACAGAGCATCAAGAAATATTGGTTATTAAAAGGTTAGTAAAAGGAATGAACACTAGTATTCAAATTGTCTCATAATCTATAACTGAAAACAAATGTTATAAGCACATGAGATCACCGCTGATTTAGGACATTTTACGCAACCTCCCGACAATCAAACAAAGGTCAGATATCTGAACACTGATTTATCTCCCGTTTCTTCCATTTAGGGACTAGATGAGTGAGGTTCACAAGTGAACTTTTTGAAAAGAAAGAAAATGGGTAAAACAATATACAATATACAATAATATATTTTACGAAAGGCGCGTTTGGTGTACCAAATTTTATGCCTGATATCTTCGATGAGTTTATATGTAGAATAGCGAGTAATTGAAAATAGAGAAACCAAGCCTAAATAATTAAAGATTACAGAAACAAAAACCCCATACAAACCCTAACATTTGGGGTTCACGTAAAAACAGAAATCTGTATAAATAAAAAACGTCATGAACTCTTATCCAACTTCAGCTCACTACATGAATTTTACATCAGCTCTCCTACTTTTAAAATTAGTTTCTTTCAATCTCGTATTTCCACTTTTATCAAGTATTGAATTATTTTTTTATTTCAAAAACATGTGTATTTTTATTCAGATATATAAGCATTAGTGGTCCTCAATGCTTTGAATAATATAAATAGCAATTTAACGTACATTACCGTACTATAAGCCGGTATCATTAAGCTTATGGTAAACATGTTAAAGCACCAAAATCAACATCCTGTTTAATAAGTTAGATAATTTGCAGCCTTCAAATCAGGTCACAACAAATATTAATCGTATTTATTATTGATAAAATGTCTCCTACGCCATTATATGATACACGGATAAAAGTCGGTTCAGGGAGATAATTCTTTTAATCAATTTAAAACGTTTAGGATCTGTTTTTTTTCTCAATCGATTTATGAATTTCGAACAGCGGTATACTACTGTTGCCTTTATACAAGTCACTGCTATTATTGATTTTCCCCAAATGTTGTGAAAAAGAATTAAAATATGTTATTTCGAAGCTTGAAATATATTCAAGAAAATTATTGACACAACCGTATCAGTGATTTTAGATTATGCCCCTTAGCGGATGTCTTCAAGCTGAAATGTTCACGAACATTAGCCTGAGCATTGATTGATGGATGATTGATTTTTTTATGTTATAATGCAACTTTCAGTACTATAAGCTATATCGTGACGGCCAGTTTTTATTGGAGTCGGTGTACCCGGAGAAATAGCTATAGATGTCAATTGAAAAATCAACTTATAGTATGAACACAATTATTTAGCAGACGTTTTCATTTTATTACAAAAGAGTTGCAACTGTAACCCATATTAACCAAGGTCAGGGGGCTCCTGATTTATCTTTCATAATGCTATTTTCGCTTTAAGTCAAGCTGTATTGTGCAAAAAGCTAACATTGCTGTCAAATACTACTTTATTGTCTTGTCAATTAATATAATTATATATAAGCAATAGGTCTTAATCATTTATTGTTAATGAGTTTGCGCCAATATATATTTGCATTTGTATTTGTATTTGTATTACAAAATGAAAATAAAATCATCAATTTTGTGCGTCTGATATACAAATGTTCTGCACAATAAAGTATTTATTCATGCCTTTTTTTTCCATTTTTTTATGCTGTGTTTGCACACGTGTATGAATATTTTTCAAAACTTGGTCTTATTTTATGTAAAATAGTGAGTCTGTTCCGGAAAAAAAGATATGTAACTTTCCACTTTTCATGCATTGATAGTATGTGTTCTCTAATTTGGTAAACGAAAAACCCTTCAATTCTAAAAATAGAACAAATATTGTTAAATAAAGCTGTTACGTCTATCAGCTTTCCTTTCTATCTACTGGTGGAATTAACTCTTAAAAATGATTTTTAATGCAATGCCTGCTTTCATCAAATAGTATGTCATAAAGTATCCATATATGAAAGGCGTTATTAGAAAAAGATCGCAGTTTTAAATTAACCCTCTGTTAGAGAAAATTTTGTTGAAAATCAAACATCCAACTTTGCTATTGTTGAACACCAAGTCATAATAACATTAACTGTGGCTAATTATTTTTTCGTAAGTTGATAAAAGGGAATGGAGCGATCATCCTTAGCCATTTAGATATTTTTCCATATGCAATGTATGCAATTACTGGCTTTGAAAGTGATCTTATATTCCATTAATAGATTTGTGATTTTATTTTCGCTTAATAGATTTCCGACTCGAAAATTACTTTCAGTGTAAACAGCGTAAACGGCCATTTTATTTTCTTTTACGACATGTGTTTTAAATAGACATCAAGGTAGGTTTGTTCGCTTGTAAAACTGATGTTTGTGTCTGTACCTAGTAAAGTTATCAGCACCATGTGTTGTTAAGTGTTTAATTTTGTTCGTCTATTTTTTTCGAAAAAGATGGTTGTTGGTGGATGTTGTTGTCTGTTGTATTTTCCTTTTTTTCTAATTTCGTATTATACTTTTGATGTATTACACTGCTAGATAAATCAAGTTGACATAATTATGTGAATTGAAAGTGAGGAAAGAGAATACTAGTAGCATATCAGGTAGTATTGAAATGGCAGACGATGTACTAGTAATAAACAAGACTGTTTTACTGCTATATTTTCAAAGGATATTACATTCCCACTTTTCATAGAATGGTGTTCTTACTTCCAAAACAAATCTTTTAGCAGTGGCATTCTTTCTTTACAGAATTATCAGTGGAAACGTTCCCCTTTTCTTATCCCTTTTAAAAAAATGCAAATATTGCATGTTCAATTGATGATTATTCTAAATAAATTTTAATGGTTAAGGAGGGGCATCAAAACTACATATGAAATCAACAAGCCAAGATATGTACGTACTAGTAGTCTCTTATATCATCATTCAATCGACCAATTTGTTATCTGAAACTATTGGACAATCTAAAAACATGTGCATGCAATTAATTTACACCGCAATGAGCTTGTGTGTCATTTCTTTTCTCGGAATATACCTGTTTGATTATCTATTTAAATCAGCAAAAATAATGGCCACAAGATACAGAATAGGGAAAATGGCCAAATATATAAAGAAAAGAGATTAATGGCAGAAAACATAAGAATAAAGAAAAATGGTCTAAAGGTTATTTCAAGAAAGCCTTTTTTCTATATTTGCAGTAAATCATTCGGAAATGTACTTGTGTTAGATGGTGTTATATCGGCCGCTGAACGGGATGAGTTTACATATTTGGAAATGATGGCTAACTTACCACTAAACTGTCATCCAAAACCAGAAAAGGTATGATCCTTATTTTTTTCAGAAAATTCTGTACAAATTTAAGAATCTTTTCAAGGATTCAAGGAGGCAACTGGATGTCATATATGGTAAGTAAGTGTTAGTTTCTATTGGAATATATAAGCAGATACCTATTTCTTTCGTATAACTTTATTTCACCAGGATATGCATAATATCAGTACACATTGATATAAAGAACTCCATTAATAAACCATGCTAGCAGGGTATCAAATCAGTTGTTATATACGATAATAAAAAAAGAATAGATGATAATGAACCGAAAAATAGAAAATATGGAATAATGGGGTGCTGCAATGTACAAAGATTAAAAAAAAAAATTGGCAAGTAAAATAAAGGAAAGAGAAACATTGTCCAAAATTGAAAACTGTACAAATTAATCCTCCGACTACAATGCAATCTAATGAATTTATTCGATGACAATGTGTTTTATCATTTATAAATTATTAACAAAATTATTCGCTAAATTTCAATACCAAAATATGTTCATAAGTACTGTGTATCAATAGTACCAACGGTCAAATAATTTTCAATTTCCAGCTCACTAAAAGGTTTGATGATTTCCTCTTCCGTTGAATTGCATATTATTAACATTTGGTTCTTCTTAAGTATTTACTATTTGATTTTTAGGTTTTGGTTGTAGGTGCTGGTGGTGGTGGAGTTGTAAAAGAGGTTTTAAAGCACGAATCTGTACGGAAAGTTGTCGCTTGTGAAATTGATAAGGTACTAGTCCTACATTTTCTTTAGGAAAATGCTTGTTTTATTCTATGTTCCTTAATGAGCTACAGCTTGTTGTGTATATTATAACTTAAGTCATCAATCACACATACTAATATACATACATTTTGTTAACTTATACGATTTGATAACTTATTGTACAGGGGATTCCTTCATCTCATGATTTATAGTTGTATGTTAAGTCGTATTTAACTTATGAGCTTCTTTGTGCCAAAAAAGTTTATCGGTCTTAAATTCCGTTTCTTGTTTAACGAAAAGTGCGTCTGGCGTACCAAATATAATCATTGCCATTGAACGTCTATCCACCGGATTTCAAATACCAAAGATATAGGCAATTATAAGAATGCCTTCAACAATGAAAACAAAACCAATACCATATAGTCAACTTTAAAAAGCCCCGACTTGAAAAATGTGGAACAAGAAAACTAACGGTCTAATTTAAAACAACACCATTTACGAAAAAGAAAATTGTCTGACATGAACCAACGCCAATAACTGAATTATATGTTCCTGACTTTGGACAAAAACATAAAGAATGTGACGGGTTTAACCATGTTTTATGGCACCCAACTTTTTAACTAACATGGGACAGTCGTGTAACAGCACTACATACGAACAAACTGTAAAACCTAGTTGCAAATGGCTTAACTCAATAGATCGGTACGACGCACAAAAATACAACTAAAATAAAAACAATAGACACAAAGCACCGATAAAAGGGCACTTGCAGTTACTGACAGCTTGTTCAAAGCCAATTACAACTTATAAATAAATCATATATTCCCAGACTAAAGTATCAATCAGTACAAATCTAACAGATGTGCAATGCCAAAGTATAAGTAAACAGTGTCGACAGGATGTAAGATCATGAGTACTCGCAACTGTAATTATATAGCAATATAAATATAGTTGTGTTATATTTTTGTCAAAAACAAAATCAATGTTAGTACCAATAAAAACAACATTTAAAGATTTTTTCTTTGTTTAAAAATCGATAATCATAAGTCTATTCAAACAATCAATGTGTTTACATGATCCTAGCAAAAACAATGTAATTATAAGTATTGAATGCTTCTTTTAGTAATTTTATAGAGTTGTAAAAGCGTTGACCGTGCGCACATTTTTAGAATGAAGCGCTTCCGCGCTTCATACAACATGTACTTCGGTCAACGCTTTTACACCCCAATAAATTAACAAAAAGAACATTCAATTCTTAATCAATTTACAAGTTATACATAAATTACGTTCAGTGAAACCTAAACCACGGCTACAGACACCGACATAGCAATTAAGTTATGAAATATACACAATATAAGAATTTAGCAAAGGAACATCACTGTCCAAAAAGATAAACAACAATATAGTAAATATCTATTGTGATATTTTGATTGAGTGTGGAATCTATTGGGAATTGCGGAGGGTGCATGCATATCAGGAGGCGTTTTTATTTTTACGAGTTCATGCGATGCCCTGAGGTCATGTTTTTACCTTGTTTTGTATGGATTTATCATATTTGATCATCGGTAAAAATACTGTTGCTTCTAATTAATTAAATAACAAGCCAAATAAATTCCCCCATAGCGAAATTGGTTTGTTAGTTTTGATGTGGTTTTTATCTGAAAATGAAAATAACATAATAAATAAATGTTCGTCCGAATCGATTAAATTGTCATTAATTAAATATCAGTTGGACAGTTAGTTTAACAGTACTTTTTGTGTGTAAACTCGGCCTTTTACTTTCAAACTAAACATAAAGCCCCCTTATTAGTGAGTTAATTTTTCCCTTGTAAAGATATGTATCACACGCGGCGCACACGGTTATGTCATCTTACAGTATATCTCGTGAGTAGAATAAAAAGCAGAAACAGTACTAAGTAACCTTCCTTAGTGTCTGCTTTTGCTTCCGGAATTTATTAGACTTGAATATAAGATCATTGTAGCCTTTTAAAAAACAACTCGGATTTGTATATCAATTTTGGTATATTTTTAAAAGAAAGTTGTGGATGTTTGTCAGAAGTATTTTCCTAGTTTGGCACAGGATTATGACGATGACCGCGTTGAACTATTTATTGCAAATGGGGCACACTATATGAAAGAACACAGTGAGGAATTCGATGTTATAATTACAGACTCTTGTTTTGAAGGTATGTGACTTTTTGTTGAAATATTTGTATAAAATCACATTGTTTAAACTTGTATAATAAATGTATGTTTCATATAGCAAAGCAAATACTAGTGCATATATAAAAAGGACAAAACACTGAAATAATATACCTTTCAATGTGAAAATTGCCGAAGTTTATCATTGATTAGCCATAATTCAGCTTTAACTATGATTTCGACAAGAATTATTATCCATTTAATTGTTGGTTATCTTTTTTATTATTATTCGATGAGTGATAGTTTCAGGACATTTAAATGCAATTCAACTTAAACATGTTAAATAAACTACAGGACCTGGCGAAGGATTGTTTACAGATGGATATTTCAAAAGCATGAAAAGGGCGCTAAAACAAGATGGTGTTTTATGTTTTCAAGGTAATTTGAATGTATTAAGTACCAAGTCAGGAATATGATAGTTGTTTTCCATTCGTTTGATGTGTTTCAGCTTTTGATTTTGCCATTTGATAAAGGACTTTCTTTGAATTTGTTATATTACTTTTCTAAAGCTTGAAATGCTTACAATTCCAACAATGAATAATATAAGTTTTCTCTTAAATGACTGTGAAATCTAGTAGCGAATTTATCTACATATTTTTAATTTTTGTCTCTGAAAATAGATAAAGAACTCATGCTTTCGTTAGAAGTATCAGTAAAAACAATAATTTGAAGTTTCGTTAAGACAAAATAATATACAGGTTTTCGAACTCGTTAATTTCACAAGAAACAAGCGAATGTTGAGATGCTTTCTTGTTCATAACTCAAAAGAAGTTACAGAGCGAGTTGTGTTTCGCGGATGACATATTACTGTATGGAATTAGAGTCCTTTTGTTATACAGCATGCGGGGCCATTCGTGTAGATCCAAGGCATCTACGTTTAAGTAATATAAAAAAAAATGTCAGCCTTCACAAATTTTAACACATTTACATTACATTTTATATTGCTTTTGTTTTTCGATATGTTGATATGTATTTACAATAGTCAGAATACTTTTATGATAAAATATTTCCTTTTTATCAAGTTTAAGAATATGCGTACAGAAATCATTTAAAAAGTTATGATATAATATATACTAGTATATAAAATTAGGTATGTTATTAATTTACAGGTGAAAACATGTTCATTGAGCTCCCATTGATTAAAGAGATGATGACCATATCTAGGAAAATATATCCCAAAGTTGAATTTGGATATTCTGTTCAGCTAACAGTTAATGGTGGTCATTTTGGCTTTATTCTATGTAGTCTAAACAAAGTAAGAAACATTTTCAACTTTTTGCCTACTGCATAATACAATTTAAACTGATCTGTTACTCACTTTGTCTGCCTCTTTAAACGACAAGTGTTATTTAACATGTTAGACAGTAGAGTGCCTCCCCGTGCTTCAGGTTTATGCTCTTATAATATACTAGATTATGGAGTGTGTGTCCGAGCGAGAACTTCTCTATGTTCATTACTTTAGAAATATTTATCAAAAAGTAGTCTTTCACATTCAGCCCCATTCTTCTATTTAATCCGACGTCAGTCGCTACCCTGATATACCCTATCTTTTGTTTTATTTTTCGGATAATTTACCACGGATAGCGTTTGACGTCTTTAGCCGAACAGTTTTATCATATTCACATAATTCAATTTATTGTGTGCTGATTCATATTCTGGACGCCAGTCTTTGCTCATTTCTAATAAAATCCACATAACAAAAAACAAATATGAAGCTTAAAAATGGAAAAATATTAAATACTAAACTCGTTCAAAGGGTATCTACACGTCTCAATCTTCAAAATCGCTTATCTAAAAATACTACCATCGCTAACATTTTTAACAATAAAAATCGTGGTTACCCTTCTATCGATAAGTGTCGTACCAAAAAATGACTTACATGTCCCCGTCTTTCCACCAACAATACGGTAAGGTCTACGTTTAATGGTCGCACTTTTTCTTTAAATTTTGAAACTGATATAACTTGAAAAACAAACAGTATTATTTATTTACTCACTTGAAACAAACCGGGATGCGGTATTCAGTACGTAGGTGAAACTGGACGATATTTATCTAAACGCACGCAAGAACACCTGTTTCGTTTTAAAAGACCCAATAAATTCAAAAGTATCATTTATCAACATCTTAAAAAGCACAATCATCATATTAAATATTTAACAGTTCAACCTTTAGAAGTAGTAAATAAGCAGCCTAGTGAATCTCATTCAAAGTTTGTACGATCACGGAAAATAATTGAATTAAATTGGATTAAAAAATTACAGACAGTCTACCCTCTCGGTCTTAATGATAATATCATGGGAATTGGTAATATATCAAGAACCGATTCTGTTAACATTTTGGATATAGTTTCTAAAACTGTTCGTAAAAGCCGTTCTCATGGGCGTAGAAAAAATCGCAATCAAAGAAAATTTCGGACCAACCATACAAATATTTCGGACCTAATTTATATTTCAAAAAACAACGGCAGACATTATCTATTAACCAAGCTCTGTTCTTTACCTATAAATAAATTAAATAAAATTTTAGAGGATTGCAAAACAATTTCATATTGGAGTCCTACGTATGAAATCGTTCAAATTATAATGGCATATTGTTATTCTAAACTGTTTCACAAAATTGATCGCCCTGAAGATCATAAAAAACATTTTATTAAAATAAAATATGCCAATAAAGGTTTTGATTTTGTAAATATTGCCGGTATTTTTAATGACATTCTGTTAAAGAACAAATTCCTGGATATTTTGATAATACTGAACTCCCTCTTATTTGTTATATTTACAAGAAATCTACCCGAAAATTTGTGTTTAATTATAGCCAAGTCTGTAAAGATGTAAATATTAGTGAAAATATACCTACGTCATGTAATTGTAGTAATTCCGAATACACTTGTGGCCCCATTTCCCATGTTATAACAGGAGACCTTAACATCGTTCGCGACCGAGAGTTAAAATCATTCCTCAGTAAAGGACCTAAATATCGTCCCCCGTCAATTATTAATTGGAATGAGTGTCGTAATATCATCCACGACTCACTTCGTGCTTACTGTTTGAAATAGATAAAACGGGAAAAAGCTGACAAAAAATCTTTGGACTCTTTTTTTAATTCAGTAATGAAGATAGTTGATATACGTATACAACATTTTAAAGAACATTTTACTCTTAACAGCAACCATAAAAATCCTATTTCTCGTATCAAACATAAACTAAAAGAACTAGCCAAGGAATTTGTTTTTGTCCCGGCTGATAAAGCTGCTAATAATATCATTATAGTTTGACGTAAATTTTACATTGAGGTTCTGCAAAAGGAAATCACGAATTCACCAACATTCCAACTGACTTCATTTTCAGAAAACGATATCTGTAACAAACATAAACTATTAGCTACTTCTTTACAAGCAGAACCAAATACAATGAAAGTCCCAACTATGTACTGACTTCCGAAACTACACAAATCACCTTACAAATATAGATTTATTTCGTCTTCAAGTCATTGTTCCACTACTAAATTGTCTATTCTACTTACTAGTACACTTGGTACAATCAAAAACCTGATAATAAATTGTTCAAATAAGGCCTTTGAAAAAAGTGGAATTAACTACTTTTGGAGTGTCAAAAACTCGTTGGAATTAGTTGATAAATTGCATGCATATATTGGTGATTTTGAATCTGTTCAAAGTTTTGATTTGTCTACCCTATATACCACTTTGCCTCATATTCTTATTAAGAAAAAATTCACACACCTAATTAAATGGGCATTTAAAAAGTCGGAATGCGAATACATATGTTCAAACTCTTTTAGGTCATTTTTTAGTAGCAACAAACAAAAGAACTATGTCAATTGGACATGCTTTGATACTATATCTGCCCTTGAATTTTTACTTGATAGCATTTTTGTTCGCTTTGGAGATTCCGTATATCGTCAAGTTATCGGAATTCCAATGGGGACTAACTGTGCACCACTTATTGCGGACCTGTTTTTGTATTGTTATGAGTTACAATTTATGACTAAAATCAGCAAAGACCCATCGAAACAACATCTGATACAAACATTTAACAATACTTTTAGATATTTGGATGATATATTGGCTCGTAATAATGACGACTTCAGTATGTATACTAAAGAAATTTATCCTGTTGAACTTACTTTAAATAAAGCTAATACTAACAATGACCACTGTCCTTTCCTCGGTCTTGATATCTATATCTTTAACGGGAAGCTTAATACAAAAATTTATGATAAAAGAGATGATTTTTCATTTCCTATCGTTAATTATCCATTTTTAGATGGTGACGTTCCCTTGTCACCATCTTATGGTGTTTATGTATCTTAACGTGTACGATTCGATCGTGTATGTAACAACGTATTAGATTTTAGCGAGAGAAATTTTTGTATTACTGACAAATTATTACACCAGGGTTTTCGATATCATAAACTAGTCAAAACATTTACTAAATTTTATCATCGGTATAAGGACATCATTCGTAAATATAACTCAACATGCAGACATCTTATACGTTCGGGTATTTCACATCCAATCTTTTATGGTAATATTCTTTACAAAGCACAAAAATGTCAGTATTCACCTCAAAAGCTATCAAAACCTTTAAACAGACTTATTAAGAAGGGATATAGTTACGATACTGTTGTCAGGTCATTAAAGATTGCATATTTTGGCTTTAATATTGATTCCCTTATAGGGTCTTTGCATCGGAATTAAACATATTTATTCTAAAACTAGTTGTTGGCATGACACGGGTTATGTTCTTCTCATATATTTTATGATGGTATAATACTAAACCCCTAACAGGAGGGATTGTGACTGATATTCATATGATGAAGACATAATCTTTCAATCAGTTTATTTGAAGTCTGGAGCTGGCATGTCAGTAACTGCTAGTAGTCTGTTGTTATTTATGTATTATTGTCATTTTGTTTATTTTCTTTTGTTTCCTATTGTGACATCGGACTCGGACTTCTCTTAAACTGCGTTTTACTGTGCGTACTGTTGTGCGTTTGTTTTTTTCTACATTGGCTAGAGGTATAGGGGGAGGGTTGTGATCTCAAAAAACATGTTTAACCCCGCCTCATTTTTGCGCCTGTCCCAAGTCAGGAACCTCTGGCCTTTGTTAGTCTTGTATCATTTTTAATTTTAGTTTCTTGTGTATAATTTGGAGTTTAGTATGACGTCCATTATCACTGAACTAGTATACATATTTGTTTAGGGGCCAGCTGAAGGACGCCTCCGGGTGCGGGAGTTTCTCGCTGCATTGAAGACCCATTGGTGGCCTTCGGCTGTTGTCTGCTCTATAGTCGGGTTGTTGTCTCTTTGACACATTCCCCATTTCCATTCTCAATTTTATTTCTTACTTATAGTGTATTTATCAGATCAATATTTTCAAGAAAATAATATAAAAAGAAAATGCTCTTAATTTCTAATGTAAAAAAAATCATCAAAATATTATTTTAGAATTTCAAGATATTAAAAAGAAACTTTGAAAAATTCAAATACAACATAAAATAATTTTGTTTGATAAATGATACCAGTCTTACTGTCTTACTCATGATATACAAAATGTACTTTCTAGGGAAAGTCGCGGTTTAACGTGAATTTACGTGCACAGATGTATCTTTTAAACATACAACTAAAGAGAACTGTTATAATTCTAAATAGGTGAAACAATATTAAGCATATCATGATCTTTATTAGGATACTAGTTTTAAGGAACCTTTGAAAAAGTACACAGATGAAGAAATAGAAGAGATGAATTTCAAGTTTTATAACGCTGATATTCACAGGGCATGTTTTAGTCTTCCCAACTTTGTCAAGAAAGTAAGTATATATAAATGTATAAATAATAATGACTTCAAAAATGAAATTCTTACCTGTAAGATTTAAGATTCTCACCATATCAAACAAATTTTAGATAATCATAGGACTTGCCTTTTTAGTGTTTCCATCGCAATTTAAAAGAAGAAGACTTAAGTTTGTTATCTAATAAAAAGCATGCCTCATTTAATTTAAGTTTGCTGTCCAATCATCTATACAATAGAAGGGGGTCAGAAATTTACTCAAGTTTTCATAGCTCACCTATATGTTATGGCAATATTATTGATAAAATTGATAATTAAACAAAAAATGAAAACAACACTTTATAAATTGCATGCGTCCGAAGTGCTATCTGGGGTACTTTCATTAGGAACGATCAAAGCCAAATATTTGAAAGCCAAGGATGTATAAGAATTGAAAGAGTTGAAGAGCTATCTGACCAAAAACGACCTACGAAAATAACCAAAATCATCTAAAATCAACTTTACCTGACTGAGTTGAAACGTTAGTTTCCTTATAATTTCTTAATTTTTTAATGGACAATTTTAGAAAAAAAAAAATTCATGTTAGCACCGAGTACTAACTACTACTATAAAGGTATCCTCGGGTACTGATAGTCCACTAGCAGCGGCATCGATCCAGTGATGTAAAAAATCAAAACAACACTTTATACATTTCATGCGTCCGAAGCGCTTTTGTCGATCTACCTTCATCAAGAACGCTCAAAGCCGAATATTTCAAAGCCAAGGAGGTATAAGAACCGAAATATTTTAAAAGCTACATGACCAAAAAGGACCTTAAAAATAAGTCAAACAATCTAAGGTCAAAAAGTGTTCAGAATCTTCATACACTGTTTGCATTAAAGTGTTTATTTACATATTTATTTATTTGCAGCTCACTGAGATTCAAATGCAATGTCAAAATCTACCTTTTAAAAAAAAAAAATTTTAAAAAGCATTTTTTGCAACATCACAGTTTGAGATATCAAACGTGAAATGTAGATGTTACCTATAATGATATAACATATATTTTATTTGAACTGCAGCTTTTGGGGTATTTTTTCATTTCGTTTTTTAACTGTATTTTAAAAACAGTGTTTTAATTTTTTCAAACTTAAACCAAATGACGAATTACATTCGGTCAACATGTTTTACTTGTTAAATTCGAAAAATATTTTGTATGTTAAATTCGGAGCATTTAAAAACTTCGGTCGCAACAATTTAATAAAGTGTTATTTTTATCTACAACCGCACAATGCTTTGAATTGAGATTGCTAGATGCATCTTTAATCTATATAAGACTTATCAGTTGCATTGTAATCAAACGATTAGAAACAAAAATCAATAACGAGGTTGACAAAAATCCAATTCCAAAAATCATAAGTAGTTGCTTTGGTCACCTAAGCATTGAAGTAGACAACCCATAGTGTTTCGAATGATTGGTCGGTGAGAACAAAACTTTACAACAACAAAGATGATTTCAGCTTCCTTCTTGTGAACTTTCCATTTATATATAGCAAATTTACAGCAGCGCCTGCATATGGAGAAATATCTCCCAGTTGATACAGTATTCAAGAGCTTGCATTTCCTATCATGATTTCCTTGCTCACAAAGAAGCAATTAAACCAAGAGTTCAAAGTGGTGAAGTTGAAATCATCCCTTCGGAAATTTAACGGACGCCATCACGAGTTGGTTGACCGTCATGGAATATCCGTTTCACAGATGACGCCGGGTATGTTAAATTGTCGTAACCACAATTCTGTCCAATGTGACCTACCGAGTTAGACTTATCACCGAATTGGACTTACATGACCAACACGATGGGTGTCACATGTGGAACAGGATATTCTTACCCTTCCTGGCACCTGAAATCACACTCGATTGTTCTGTTATCTGTTATTTCGTTGTTTTCCTCTTGTAGTTGATGTGGTTCCCTCGGTTTTAGTTTGTAACCCGGATTTGTTTTCTCTCAATCGATTTATGACTTCTGAACAGCGGTATACTACTGTTGCCTTTATTTGTTGGTCGGGTTCGTGTTGCTTAGTCTTTAGTGTTTTGTATACTGTTGTTTGTCTTTTGGTCGTGTTTTGTTTTTTGGCATTGGCGTGGTAAGTTTTGTTTTAATTGTGCATTAGTGTTGTTGTCTACCATACAGTTTCAAAATGTTGAGTCTGGTTCTGGTGTCTGCACTCACTCACTTATATTTCATTTTTATAATTAGCATTCTTTGTAAGTAAGCTCATAAAATAAGAGGGAAACCGAACTGTTAACACACACCGCATATGCATTTCTCGAGCAATGAACCTTGTCAGTGGTTATTTTTTGTCTTATCTAAATAGAGTTGTGTTTCGTCTTTGGAGAATTTAATGTTTTATGTTCGACTTTAGCTTCATATATTCACGTTGTTATACATAATATGTATGACGTATAATGATTCAAGTACGGTAGTATACACACAAGAGAGACAGAAGTCGAAATTGTACACACAGGATTTGTGTGTCGTTGCTTTTGTCAAACTTTTCTTATCCGGTATCGTTTAGACAAGTGGGAGTTTAATCGGGAGAATTTGCAGATGTAAGTTTCGATCCTGGTTTTTCTTTTTCTGTAATACAAAATTATATAATGTTATCTTTTTTCTATCAATACGTCGGTAATTTGATAAACAAAAAAATCGCTCATTTAGTTTTTAAACACAGTCAGGAACCTTTTACCTCGTCGTCTTAGTAGAATTTTTTCCCTAAAATAAGAAGATTTTTAAAGGCGGAGTGTGGTAGTCTGTGTCGATTACTTGCTTAACTTAGAGAAAATGTTGGTGCTTTGAAGCTCGACATTGGATATTTGCACTTACCTGATGTTGAGTTTTCATATTGTTGTGTTGCTATCTTATTAACGTAAATGATGTATAATAAAAATTCCGAACTCTCAGGTTAATTCAAAAAGGGGAAGTCCACAAAAAATGAAAAAAAAAATCAAACGTTATCAACCAACGGAACGAGTGAAAAACAACCGTCATATTCCTAACTTGGTAAACCACACTACTGCTTTTAATAAATATATTTTTCTATTACAATTTATAAACCTGATATATGATAATTTTAATACTTTGTTTACTTTAGGAGCTATACCGCGATGCAGTGATAGAACAATATACTTCCATATGACAAAGGGACAGACTATATATCACATGCATTCAAATGTAGCAACATGTTTACAATGTATACAGACATTCTGTTTCATTTTTTAATCAATATTGTGTTAAAAATTATGTCAAAATGTAGTAATAAATGTGCAATACTTAATATATAGATATATACTAACAATATGTTTTTTCTCTTTATTTGCCATTTATATAATTCAGGAGTTCAATATTTTGCTTTTGCAAAGTTTTATCTCAAACACTTTGAGAATATCACCCCTCCCTTGTGGGCCTGTGGGCCTGTTATGAAAAAGATTGATATGAAACAAAATTATAAAAAGGTTTATTATTTAAACTCCCTCAGGCAAAGTTGACCTCTGATGGATTTGGCTATTTTTTGTGGTTCTTTTTTTTTCATATAGCTCTCCAACTGCTTCGGTTCTTATACATCCTTGGATTTCAAATATTCGGCTTTGAGCGTTCCTGATGAAGCTAAATCCAGAAAGCGCTTCGGGCGCATGATATTTATTTTTTTGGCTCTCATGAAAAAGCAAATTATTACAAAGAAGATTGTGTAGGTCGGTTGACTTATCTTATGTATCGTTTTAAGCTAGTCATGCAAATAAGTCGTTGCTATTGGCAGTCGCAGTCATTTCTAAAAATAGAAATTATTATTTTAAATCCAAGTCATGTTGTCGGGACATTCTTATTGAAATAATAAGTCAGCCAAATATAGAAGTTATTTTTGTAAGTATTATACATTTCTGTACATTCATATACAAAGAATAACCATGAATAGACTCCATTGCTATTTATTCCAATCCGGATAAGTTCTGAAATCAAAACGGCACAAAAACATTGTACTGCAGTTGTTAAATTCTTGATAAAAATGACGCTAGAATGAAGTATTTTTTATGTAATTTTACTATTGCAATTTTTCCATTCTGTTTTTCTTTTAAACCTTTCAATTCTTTTTAAGTCATATGATACTTCAAATTTAGAAATAAAAGTTGAATATGATTTATATACTTGAATGGCTAAGTAGTATAAAACACGTGTACATTGACTTTCTTTTAAAAGAACATTCTTTTTCTTATCTTTATCTTTAGAAATTAACTGCTATTGAATTATTGTCTTCCCGTACTCTAATTCGCCGATAGAAAAGGTAACAAACATGGACGTTAGATAGTTCTAATTGATTCTGAAACAAAAACTTAAATACACCAAATGTTTTAACAGCTGTTATGACAAAGTTTAATTAACAAATAGAAACGCCTGGGAAAAAAGTAAACGTCGGTCTTATGCATGTCTTACATCTCCCTTATTTGTCACGTGCTTCGTGATTCTGTGTTGTCAGTTTATTAAGGTCACGTTCGTTAAACTTCGGCAATAAAAGACGAATGTTATCATCAAATGGAATATTTGTGTCGATAATATGCTATGGATTCGTAATAAATGTTAAGAATCGAGGATAGAAGACTTAGTTTTGTATGGTTACACATGCATTGGTTCAATGATTTCCTTATTATAATTTCAAGAAAATCGTCTCATATGACATTAATAGATAAAATTGCACTTACAGATCTGAAATGTTTGCAGCAGATAAAATTGCATGGTGCAATATGGAACCTAATAAAGGAGAATAAAAATACAGTTGTAATTGTAAAATTCTAAAAACAAACTACACTTACAGTGTCACAGAAAAAAAAGTTCGAAGTTATCTAATAGTATGCTTTTGACTATTTTTGCAGATAATACTTGTGACTTTTGGAAGAATAGAGAGAACAATTAAAATGGTAAAGAAATGACAGTATACAATATACTTGAAACAAATATACAAAATATACAATATACAAACACTAAAATAAAGATGAATATTTATATAAATGAACTTTCAAATGATCTTGTAGTTGAGATACACAGATATATTTATTTGGGATGTCAACTCGGTGAAGATTTACCAATCGAGTACTCTTTGGATTTACCGAGACACAAAATTTTACCCATTTTACGTATTGTGGGTCGTTGTCTTATGGATGTAAAAGCCTCAACATTATTACCTAAGACTAGATAATAGTCATAGGCTAGGAATTTTATACCATAACTAATAGCTCATTTACTGCATGTACTAATTATGTAAACTGGCAATAATTTAATCAATTAATTAATAAACATCTATAGAAAAATTATTACTCAAACAACAGTATGTGGGAATCGTAAAGAAACGCATTTAATGACCAAGGAGTGATGATTAGAACTTACTGATGCCTTTAACCATTTTCTGGGGGTCGACTAGGGGTGCAACGAATGTCTTATTTAGAAATAATATCTTGTCAACTTTTTCTGGGTAGAGTCGATTTCTCAACTTTGTTACGTAACTAACAGTTCAGCTGATAAAAAAATTGCTCTGATGGTACAGAGGTGGAGAAATGACTAAGACACGATTAGCTAAAAGTGTAAGCCTTGGAAAGGCGCGCTTGTTCATAGCCTATCTCTTTTTGGCGGAATTTTTAATAACAATTAAGCGCAAATATTCGAAACGTATTTAGATTTTGATTAATTTTGAGTAATATTTAATTTCCCGGGAGGCGCTCTTAATAAAAATATTTTTTCTTTAAGACGGTAACAACATTCTAACAGGAAACTTTTTTTTTCGCACATAGCGTGAACATTTTTTTGTAGTTTTTCGACGCTATCAATCAAAATATTTTTTCCAAATTTAACACTATAAGGTATGGGGAAAATGTGGATTCAGGATATTTTTTGGTCATCTGCTTGACCACATTATTTTTTCAGATTAATCCAAAATCATTTTGGTATTCGATACTCGGTATTACCGAGCGATACTCGAGTACTCGAGTTCTCGTTGACATCCCTAATATTTATACATTGTCGGTAGATACGTTTATATTAGACAACATTTTTAAATGTAATTCAGATATTAAAGTACTAAATTTGAAAAAACACTAAATATGTTTGGAGATTTATATACTGATACCAAGTTTCTTATAAATATTTCATACCACTCCAAATGTGGAAAATCTACTGTTTGCATTACAACCAGAACATTATAGAAACAGTGTGTCAAAATGCTTTACCATGCTTTCTGTTTTAAACTATATTCATTGTATATTTATTTTGTCCTCTCTCCATTAATTGACGGCCAGCTTGATTATCTTTCCAAGAAGTCAGTCATCTTTAAGAAAACTGTCACTTCCATGGTGGAGAACCCTGGCAGAATCTTCAGTCTGCACTATCGTCAATAATTTTCCTTATATTGAAATAATTTCATTACAATGTTGTAAAGTTTCAGTCAATGTTTTTTTCTTTTCAAATCATACACATTGTTTCGGTTAATGGAAATAATTATTGTTTCTGATAGTTTAACTGACATTGGCTTACAATGTCTGGCTATGCGTTGTCAGCAGTTAACTACGTGTCTTGGTGATCCACCAATGCCAAATCATAACCGATAAAGGCTTACATTGGTTTCTCTCACAGTGAATTGTCCTCTACTGGAAAAAAATATGATGTTCTTATGCTCAAAATATTCGTATATCGAATGCTTAGATTCATACCATTTCATCTGGATGTTTAAAACTAAAATGTTTTTCAATCGAAAGTGTTGAATTAGATGAAAATTGTATTAATGACAAACGTGTGATACTATTAGCCTGTAACGTGCACACAGGGTAAGCGTGTCTATTTCTATTTTAGAATGAGTTCTTTACCAGTTTGATACTGGATCCGAAATGTTCTATTTACAAAATATATAACAAGTTAACTTTATTCATTATTTACACCTTATATAAGAATGCCAGATTTTGATTGGTTGTTAGACAGTGTATTTTTCGCATATTCTAACATTTTTTCCTCATTTCAAACGAATTTGCCTGTTTTTCATCACTGCCGGTGAATTTGCCTCAAATTCCCCTCTCTGCCGTGGTATTTGCCATTTTGGATATTCCTTTTTTGCCCTCGCGAGCCAGTTCCCGCCAAAATTATTCGGAACCTTTCTCACTTTATCCCGACAACATGGTTAAGCATTGATTGAGTTAAACCGAAAACTGTCAGAAATATACATATAAAGAGGGGAAAAAAATGTCTATACAAATGACGATTTAATGATGGGATAACAATGACGTTACAAAAAGATAGCACTAACGCGTATAAGTACATGTATAATTATACGTAATGCACTACGATTTCCCTTCACATGTTCAGACAGTTTCAATCAAAATCTATTCGGTGTAATTAAACAGAATGAGATATATCGTGTTATGGAGGGGTATTTGCGAAAAATACCAGTCTTGGGACCAAATTTCCCTCGCCTAGCGGGTTGGGAAATTTCACCGTCCCTTGACTGGTATTTTTCGCAAATACCCCTCCATAACATGATATATCTGTTCAAAATTAACGTCAATGAACCAAAATATGTACAACTGCTCTTTGCGTTCTCTAATATTCTATATATAACTATTCTAATTAAAATATATACACTGGTACAAATTTGTACTATAATTACAAATTTGTCCTGGGTCCGGAACAAACTTGTCCTTCTGGTACGATGATGTACCCTACAAGTTAACACACTTGTCCAATTCGTCACTCGTTCTCTTGGTACAATTATGTATTATACAAGTTGGTCACACAGACTCACACTTGTCCTATACGGTACAACAATACGGTTCAGCTCGTAAACGTAAAAGTCCGTATTTCTAACAGGCACCAACCTGTTCTTTATTACACTTAGTAATAGTATCTATTATATCTAATATATACGAGACAGCGATCTCGAATATCAACGTACCGTACCTTGGTCTTATGTCTCCGTAGACTTATGACAATTGACCCTGAGCAAGGAATCTCTCCTGCTTATATACCCCAATGGTAACTGTACAATTCTTGAAGGAGGGATGTTCTACCAAAGTGCCTCCTTACTCGTATTACAGTTTCCTTTGGAATTACTAGGATGAAAAATTGTGTACTGCATTTTTTTTTAGTTGTAATCTCTGTCCTGCCTTTTTATTTTTCACTCTATTCGGTCCTGCCTTTTTTTTTATTAGTTTATCCTGACTTTTTTTTTTACATAAATTGTCATCCTGCCTTTTTTTTTGGCAAAGTTGCTCATTCTGCCTTTTTTTTTTACTAAAAACTCCTGTCCTGCCTTTTTTTCTTCCCCCCCCCCCCCCCCCCTTAAAATCAAATGGTAGCTCCTTAGAAGATCAGAATGTCTGACTTTTGCTCAAATCCCGCCATAATAAACAAATGGAAGGAAAGGTTTACATATGTAGTATTTATATATAACTAGTTGTGTGAACGTCACCTTTAGAGCAGTTTTATTTATGATTGGTTTATGTTCTGATTTAAAATGGTTACCCTCTAAGGGAGCAACCATTTAACTTCAAGGGAGGGTTATGGTTTTTTGTCTGAGTTAGAAATTTTTTTTTCGCACATAGCGTGAACATTTTTTTGTAGTTTTTCGACGCTATCAATCAAAATATTTTTTCCAAATTTAACACTATAAGGTATGGGGAAAATGTGGATTCAGGATATTTTTTGGTCATCTGCTTGACCACATTATTTTTTCAGAATATTTTTAAGGAAAAAAACCATAAACCAACCCCCCCCCCCCCAACCATGAATTAAATGATTCATGCTATTTTGACATTTAGGTTCTTGTTGTATCATAACCCCTTAGTTGTGTATACTGTTCATAAACACATTGAACGAGTTGATGATGTCCTTTAGAAAAATTCTCACCTAAAAATATTTAATCATGTGGTTGTGTTCCCTACAGAAAATAAAGGTTATCGCTTTATTTTAGGAAGCATCAACTTAACTGTAATATGAGATGGCCGAGAAACTTTAATAACATTAACAGTACAAATTTTATGGCACTAGATAGGCATTTTGACAATTAATGTCTCGTCAGTGATGCTGAAACTTGTTGGTTATGTATATAAACAAATGATATATCTAATTTTGAGATGAACCAGAAAATTAAGAAGCACAATTTTCCTGTATTAAATTTTTGATTAGAATAACTCATTTTTTTGACATTGGGATTAGAAGTAAGTTTAAGTAATTCAGTTTCCACTTAAGGTGGCTTGGGTGTCTTCCTCCATCTTGGATTTTGAAGTAGCAGATAACGTTGGTCTAGATATTAGATGAAATGTGCAAATTTTGAGAGTAGTATATAATTTATGTAAAAGACTTTTGATGTAAATATAGAAAATTGTGTGTTTTATCATAATTACAGCTGTAATTTCTCAAAAACACCTTATTTGTGTTTGATTAGATTTTTTTAAACTTTGCCAAATAAGGGGAGATAACTCAGATAAAGTAATTTTTTTAATAGAAAGTGTTGTGAATTTACCTATTTTTATATGTAGCAAGAAAACAAGTTCGGTGACCCCATTTTTTCTTTTTCTTATATGAAAGCATGTTATAACAGCTATCTTCTCACATTTTATCTTAAAGTTCTATCAAGTAGTTTTCTTTTTATCACACAAAATTTGATTTTCCATGCATAATCTATACAAAATCTGACAATTTTGCACGACATGTAGCGTGAAAAAAAGTCCGGTGGCCCATACTTTTTATTATATTTTTGAAAAAAGGATGATAAAAACATCATTTTGACAAATTATCAAAAAATTCTATCAATTTTACTTAAGACGCCCCAGCCACCTTAATCATCTGATAAAAATTTAAGGAAATGTTTGTATGTAATTAAATGCGTGTTTAAATCAAAAATGTAGTTTCTAAAATTGTCTTTTATAAATTTTTAAATTACAAAGAAACTAAGGTTTCAACTCCCTCGGGGCAAAGTTGATCTTTTATGGATTTGGCTATTGTTTTTAGGTCCTTTTTGGTTAGCTCTTAAACTGTTTCGTTTTTTATACATCTTGGCTTTCAAATATTAGGCTGATGAAGGTAAATCCATAAAAACATTTCATACGCAAGGAATTATAACATGTTGTTTTCATTCTGAATAGTTTTTTTTGTTTATAATTTTCATGCAGTTATCAATAACTTTCAAAATTTTTGCAATTTCTGAAAATATACAGGAAAAATTCCTTAAATTGATAAAGCAAATAAGTGGCTGGTTTGAAATTATAATAAATGTTGAGTATTAAATCAAGATCTTTGATTCATTGATTGACAACATATATGTTACGTTTGGCACATGGAGGTTTTTTCAACAAACAATTGGCATTCTCATGGGAACCAACTGTTCTCCTCTTCTAGACAACTTGTTCTTATATTGATATGAGGCAAACTTCATACATTTCCATGTAGTAACATTCCAGCAACATATGCATATGAAGTATATATATATATATATATATCTCCAAGTTGATACAATATTCAGACCTTGCATTTCCTTAATAAAAGGTTGCTGCTTACAAGGAGGAAGCTTTTAAACCAAGAGTTTCAAGTGATGAAGTTAGTCATATTTTGGAAAGTTTTACTGTCGCCATCATGAGTTGTTGACCTCTTTTCCTCGAATTGGGTTTATGTTGCCCAGTTCTTTGATTTTCTGTGTTGTTTTGTGGACCATTATTTATCTTTTGGCAGTTTTTTGCCATGACAATGTCTGTTTCTTTTCATCTTATGATTTTGAATATCCAATTGGTATCTTCAACCTCTCTTTTAAAAAGGCTTAGCTTATATAAGTCAAATTTTTCAACTGGCCCACTTCGCCAGATCTTTTGTGTGAAAACTCACTGTGGTTAGGAAGATATGTTGATTTACTCATACACATTATTCTGACTCCATGCCTAGGCACCCATCTGTTCTCTTACTTCATACTTCTAAATGTCACATGCTTGAATTGGTGATCAGCTTAATGACAAAGGTAAAGTATTTAACTTGATCTGGCAGGGGATACAATCAATAAGCATTTTAGGCAATATAAAAATAACAACACCCCAGTTACTTTAGAATCATAATGTATTTTTGTTCATTACAATGTTTTCAATATCACATTTACTATCGTATAGTTACATCATTAATGTACAAATGTTACATACATATTTTACAAAGCAATTTACATCTGTAGCTATTTATTATATATTAAAAGATAAATGATTTCAGCTTAAGGTTAAAAAACGTAACTTTCACTTTTATATTGCATGGTCAAGCTAAGCATTAGAAAAATTTAAATCAACATCTGTATATATACTACTGGAATTATCACAATTTAAAGCTCAACCTATCATGTGTTAAGCAGTTTCTGTGCAAGTGATAAATTTTCCTAAATTTTATCCAAAAAAAAAATGAAAATAACGCTTTATAAATTTCATACGCCCTAAGCGCTTTTTTGGATTTACCTTCATCAGGAACGCTCAAGGTGCTGTTAAAAAAGTATTTTGTTGAAAGCAAATTGTTCATGAGGAAATCAGTATATCTATTAAGGTAAAGTCCTTTTGTATCCTATTCTGTGCTTTCATACATTGTAATCATATACAGCTGAAACCCTTCATGTGTTGACCAAAAGGACTTGCAATCAATCAGCCAAATTTCATTAAGTGTAAAAAAAAAAAGGGTATCAAAATCACAATTGTCTCAGTGAAAAAGCGAAATGCAGATATGCACACAAGTTACATATGAGCAATGTTGGTTCTCATTACCTGACAATTTTCAGATAGCTTTTTAAACAAATGCACGCAGTATTGATTAATAGCAAGATAAAGTGGTTAAAAGTTGTATGCTAAATGTTGAAAGTGGAACTAAAAGATTATATGAAAAATTTAAAAGCTCTGAATTTGATGAACAAATTATGAGTTCTGTTATCCAAGCTCTGGTTATTACAAAGTTCTATTTAATTAAGTGTATCAATAATTACCTTTCAATGTTTTTTTAAATGCACTGTATTTCCTCAAGTGATCTATTTGTAAAATAATTTAGACTCTATTACTTGAACAATCATTTTGAAACTTCTTCAACTTAATTTTTTCCACAAGATGAAGTTAAATAAAAAACAATAAAAATAACCTATCACATTTTAAAACTTACACTTTTTTCCTACTAACAAAAAAAAAACAATCAGATAAATGTAAGAAAAACAGTAAACAATGCATGACGATTGTCTCCTAACCAACAAACCGAAAAAAAGTTTCTGTTAGCCATTCGATTAGACTTATCTAAAATTCTATTCTATTTGGTTTTTTTTCTAAAAAAATGTTTAACAATTTAACAGATCTTATTCCTCAGATCTTTCCTCAAAATATCATACTCATACTATCAAAAATGGGATTTTTTTTCCCTTCAACAATGATTCCTAAAATTAGTCCTTTATTTCCATGATTAGATGCATTAGCATAAAGTACATAAATAAATAATCTAGTCTTTATATACAAACATGGTACTGTGTTATCTTTCAATGTTTAATCACATGATACATTATTCTCTGAAATCACAAAATGTTTAAAAATAGCATTGAAAATTTAGATAGATTGATTGCTTAACATCCAGTAGCAAATATTTATATATACAAAAGCTACTTATAATTATCTGATTAACCGACTACAAACACATCTATGAAATTTGTTTAAAAGATGACAAATATTTTTCATTCAAACTAAATGTGAGAACCAGTGGCTAAGTCTATAATAAGGTAATGTTCTTTTTATCAGATAAACATTTTTCAATGCTACATTTAAACTTGTTATAATTTAAGAATATAGTGAAGGTAAAAAAGCATGTATTGAAATATGATTTAGTAGTTAACTTTTCCTGGAAAAATTTTACAATGGCATATTTAAAAACCTTTATTTCCAAGTTGGTAAAAATTTTTTGTATCCTATCTTCAAAGTAAGTTTCACCAGAAATGGACACAAATATTTCAGGTTTGGGGTACGAAATTATTTCTAACGCATACATATAACATTTTAATTAATACTACCCATATCTGAAACAATGATTAAATCATTAGAGTAGCCACATTCAAAGAAAAAAAAAATACACGAAGAAAATATATAACAACATGTGAATATGTGCAATACACAATTATAAAAATCAACACACTTAAACAATAAACTATAACAAACGAGGTAATTAACATGGTGAACAAAGCTTGTGATGGAAAATATGGCATTCATTCTCACATTTTTTTCTTTCCAACAAAGTCATTTACAACAAGAGAAAAAATTCCAGTGGCTCTTTTCACAAAAAAATCTTACAAGAAAAAAATACTTGTGAGTAATAAACATTTTGGTATAACTTAATTAATATAACTAAATTTCAACCATAAGATTTTTGAAGGGAAAGAGCCCCAGTATTCTGAAATTCTGAATATTTGAATGAATTATCTACCTCTAAATTAAATTTATGTTCATGTTCAATTTTATTCAATCTTGGTACTGAGGCCATATATAAAGTTAAGTTACAAAATATATGATTAGTGAACAATTTGCTTTTTCAAGTCACATAATTCTGGAATCTATCAAACACAACATAGTATTAAGGTGGTACATAACACTACAGGGAGATAACTCTGTAACAATCAGCTGGACGTTTTAATCATGTTCTATTGTTAAGGAAATATTAAGCTTCTCAATGATCAAAATTAATGTTTGCCAAACTGCTATATACCCAATGAAATTTTTCCGATAAAGTGTGTGGTTCAAGTTTTTAGAAATTTTTGTCGAAGGGTCAAAGTAAATATTTTGTCAAAATTTTATGAAAATTAAACGAGCCAAATTAATTTTGGTCAAGGTGTTTGGTACCACCTTAATGTTTGAATTTCTTTGGCACAGATTGGTTAACCATCAATCGTAGAAAAAATCAAGTAAAAAATATACAACGATATACAATGAAACCTGTCTATTACACTAAATTCAATCAGCACTAAACATTTTGTGCTGATAAGACGGGTGTTTGTTTTACACAGGTTTAATTAAAATGAATATGCAGTGAATATCCTGATACAAGACTCCAGTTTACACTGGTTTTCAATTTATATTTGTCCAGTTTATGCAGTGTTCTGTTTAGAGAGGTTTTACAGAAATTTTATTTGTTCTCAGAATTAAAAAAAAACCAACAGCTCTTTTCATAAAAAATCCTATAAATAAAAAATTGATTGTAAGTTATAATGAACGAGTAATTTTCTTGTAAGATTTTTTTAGAATAAGTTCACTTGTAATTTTTATTAGTTTATAAAACCTCAGAAAAAATGTTTTAAGGTCAATAGCATAAGCAACGACAACTGCATTTAAAATAAAAATTTGTTGACAAAAACTCATTTCTTTGCATGGCAAACAAATCTTTATAAAAAAATAAAATTGCTTAAAACATATTCAACAAGCAAGAGAAAGACTATCAATAAATTCTTTTCTTTCATATATACACATATAACAGCTTTGATTGAAAGGGATAAACAAAAAGCAGTTTACCAAGATTTACAGTTTCCATTACGCATAAAAATGCACATATTTGCATAGCTGGATTTATTCAAAACTTTACATTACAACATTTCAACACTGCATATGTGTATGTGTTTCAAATAAAAACCTAACAGTGCTTTACAATATCGCTATACTTAAAAACATGAAAATATTAATAAAATAGAAAATAATTTCATGTCTAAAGCAATTGTTGTATATTAAGGCTAAGAGATAAGAGAAAAAATACTAAAAAAAATTATTGGGAGTTATTGAGCAGGTATAATTCAGGATTATAAAAGTACAAGTCTTCAGTAAAAAGGCAAATTTTTTGCACGGCGTATATTGTCCGCTAATTTAGCCATCAAAATGAAATTGCAAAAATATTCTCTTGCTAAAATTCGATCTTTACTAAAGATTGCGGCTGTTTTCATGGTTTTCAGAATTTTTTTTGACAAAAATCGATCAAAAGTTATTAAAGAAATGTGCATGCATTCTGAGTAACTTTCTCATAATTTTTTTTTGTGTAATTGGTAGACGAATCAGACAAGATGTTAAACAAGTTTAGCCCAATAAATTGCAAAATTTTAATTCCGAGAAAAAATAAATCATTTTCACTAATCTCTTTCAGTGTTTAACAGGAATAACCCCTTTTCTGTAATATTTACAGTAAATATGAGACAAATGTGGAAATGACCTGGAATGTCAAATTGTTCATAAAATAAAATATCATTTCCAACAAGTCATCATACAATACTAGTACATTTGCCAATAGTTTTTTTAAGCTTATATAATGAATGTTTTTCTTTTAAATACATTACAAAATTTCTGTGACTCTTTTCTAAATATCTTTCAATAAGAAATACTTTAAAATCATCAAGTCTTTAGTATAACTTTAGATCAATTTTGACTGTTAGACTTTGTTTTGAAAAGCGTCAAACCTAACCATGATTAGAGTTTCTTCCCCTCTATGCTTTTACATTAAAGTAAAGATTAAGTAAATATCAATTCCGTTCCATTCTATAGCATGTATCTTTTGCTTTCATTTTTGTTCCATTCTATAGCATGTATCTTTCGCTTTCATTTTTGTTCCATTCTATAGCATGTATCTTTTGCTTTCATTTTTGTTCCATTCTATAGCATGTATCTTTTGCTTTCATTTTTGTTCCATTCTATAGCATGTATCTTTTGCCTTCATTTTCTACTCTAAAAATGTGTAAAAAAAAAATAAAAATCTACACAGAAATAACTAAACACTCTAAAGGCACAATTTGTTTATCTTATGTATCATACTGAATTGGTAACTGTAAAAAAAACCTACTGTCTTTTAAAACTATTGCTATATTATCATCATCTGAAAAATTAATAAAAAATCCTACAGTCTAATTTCTTAAAAAATGTACAAGGAATACAATTATTTTTAAAAAAATTGTTTACAGCTTATTGTTGCATGAATGATTGGGTTAAATGTCATGTTTAGATACAGGACACAGTCTTAAATCCACTGCTGATGGTCAAAACTGTAAAGATCTTAATTCCCTGATCTTAATTTTCATGCCATTCTAAATCAATAATTCAAACTAATTTATTTTAGTGACTCCACTGCATGTTTGTATGTGATGAAGAAACGGTGATTTTCAATCATCAAATCAAAAATCCGGTCCCCTTTAGAATACAATTGAAGAAACCATTTTTCACACTTTTACAAGTTAAATACTAGAAAACAGCTATATATCACATTATCAAGTCTCCAAACAGTATCTACAGTAGCATGAACATTTGAAATACAAACACATTAATTAACGATAAACAAAACTCAATGTATAAAACTGGAACAATGAAACATATGCATATAATATAAAAATAAGAGGATGTGGTATGATTGCCAATGAGACAACACATTAGATTTTTTAATTTCCCATTCCCAAGCAAATAACTTAAAAAACGAGGAATATGGTCAATGTTTTTGAAAATGTGAATGATCCATGGGTGACGTTTTTTTAATGAATGGGTGACAGTATTGCCGTTTTCTGTTATATTCTTTTATACTTTGCAAAAGAGTTAAGGACATGAGTGAAAACAAACCCCTGTAAGATTATGAGAAACATTTAAAAAAGCCACAGAATTCTTAGGACTGTTCCATTTAATCATACATGGTATAAGGAAAGGCAATTTGAAAATGGAATAACCAAAATTGAGAATTTCAATTACATTTTTACAAAAAGTATTTTGACACCTACAAATAGTTAAGATTTTGAAGCGCCTTCTCTAGGTCCCATGTATGTTTTAACGAAAAAGCCCTTAATCATTTCAACTGATGTACAAACAGATTAAAACATAAAAACTGCAGATATGACAGATTAGTAGCTTTTCATATTTTATCTTCCGAGTTCGTTTTAAAAATCACTTCATGGTCATGCTACTTCTAGACGTCGAGTAAACATTCATTTTCAAACATCTTTCTCTCTCCATTCTCTAGAATATATATAATGATACAATTTTTCAGAAATTCTACATTTTTCATACTTTCACAAAAATGGGTTGTAACTTTGTTGTTGGGGTTGTGCTGGTCCCGTCGTATTAAGTGGAGCTAAAGGTGCCGGCAGAAGTCCTGACGAAGCCGATTGTGAAAATCCTTGTGTATTACTCTGCAGTTGACTTAATGTCATACGTGCAGGCTGATTACTCAACTGTGCAGCAAAAGGATTTGATGTAGCTGGAGCTTCAAATGGATTCAAAGTTGCTAAAATTCAAAATAAAAAATTATCAACAATAATTTCCAATTAAAAAATATGCAATAAAACTTTCAACTGGTAAATGGCTTCATACAAAACGATAAATATTGTGACTTTAATTCAGTTAAATTATCAAACTCATTTTTTTTAAATTGTTTAAATTTTTTTGTTTATGTAATAAACGCATAAAAAATATTGAATCTTCTTACAAAAATAACATAAAAAGCTTTTTTTCTCAAGCATTAATTTTTTCCTTGTATTCAGCTATGTCTTTCTATAGTTAAGTATACATAACGACAGTAGCAATATCAATAGAACTTGTATACATTTTAACAAAACTAATGATGTATATTGTCCCTTTGAAACATGTAACATATATGTGATCACAGTTCTTTAATTTTTTTGTCCACAATAACAAGCATATGTTATTTTTCTCTAATAACCCTATAGAGTTATATCCTTGACTGTCTATATCTATTATATTTTTTCAAGGATATGAGCAAAATCGAAAAAAAAAATTTGTAAGTATTTATGGTGGCAACAACTCCTGAAAGGATGATTTAGATCATTTGACCTACTTTAAGATCTTGTATCTAATATCATTTTTATTGTTCATACTTTCTGTCTATCTATAGATTTCCTGATATATTGACTTATTAGTAGATCTTATTTTGCTGACAATTTTTTCTGTTTACAGTTTCACTATAGTTCACACAAAAAATGAGAGAGAAAAAAATCTACTTTCATGGGTAATATCGCTATATTAACCTATTAATTCACACATTTAATTTGAGGACAAATTTGCCCTTAAATCATACATTTTCCTTTAACCCCTATAACTTATTCATTAACTAATATCACCACAGACAAGAACAGTCAAAACATTAACAAACCTTGTTTAGTACTTGTGGTAACCAGTTGATCTAAATTAACTAAATTTGCATTGTCTCCTAAAAATTCTTGTGGGGTTTTCCGATGCTTCTGCTGTTCTTGCTGTTGTAGTGTGGGTAATGTGTCTTGCATACCATCCAGCAACCAGGGATCTTTTTTCTCACCTAAAAAAATACAAATAACACATCTTCTTTTAAATTTTGCATTGCAAAAAACAAAGAAACAACAGAATTTGTTTTGTTTTGGATAAGTGTTTATCTGTTATAAAGATATCAGGATAATTTAAATTAAGGAATATATCTCCCTTATACAAAGCTGTAATTCTTTGCCCAACACAACTATACTTTTCATCTTTTTTGGCTTATAAGCTCCTCATATTTGTTGAAGTTTTGGATTTTCAAATATTTTGGCCTTGAGCATCACTGAAGATACATTTGTTGTCAAATCGGCATCTGGTGCATTTCATTGGTAACGTTGATGTTATTGTTATTGTCTTAAATTACCAAATTCTGCCATGTTTAATCTGGTGGGTTTTACTACAAAATTCCAATTATAACCAGGGGTGCTAATTATACAGTAATACAAGCAAGAAATAAGATGGATGTTGATTCCCCAATGTTTGTTTATGTTGGCTACTATGTTGACCCTATTATTATCTTACAGCATTAAAACATCAACAACATGTTGATTTGAAAGAAAATTTAAGAACATTTCTTTGCCAATTTTATGTGCTTTCCCTACAAATGTTACCTATTTCTAAAGAATTCAATTAGTAATATTTCAGAAAAACAAAAGAGATACAGGCATTATTTTTTCGGTTTTCAGTAATAAATCAACAAGTTAAAGTTGTATGTCAAAATAAAATCCAAAATCCATGACATAGCCAATTTACTGTACCTTGACCATAAAATTTTCCTGTGCTGAAGGTAATATTTTGCTGCTGGCATTAAACAGCTATCAGTCCATCCATATTTAACACAGTATTTTATATATTTAACCTCAATTTCTGCTGTTTGTACTGTGCACATCATAAAAGCACTTTACATGTTTCATTTAATTTTTTTTTTTTTTAAATAATAGGTTCTCATGAAAACAGCAATAATAAAACTGCCAAAAATATTTCCCACTTTAGATATGTAAGGTATAGACAACAGTTAGACAGCTACCCAACTTAAAAAAAATAATGGATTCTTGATCTAAAAACAGACCTCCAAGTGGATCAAATCCGTCTAAAGCTCCATGACTAGTAGGAATTTTAGCAGGAGAGTTTCCTGTACTTCTGGAACTCAATAAATCAAATCCATCGTCTTCTTTTTGTCCATTTGTTGTAGCTGCACTTGCTCCCATGCCAAACCCAGAATCAAAGCCAGTTGTATTGTCCATTGTTGGTGAGGCATCCCAAGGAGATTTTTGTCGAGGTGGTTGTGACTGAACTGCAGCAGCTGATGATGGCGTTATCCATGGATCTGTTAACAGGTCACAAACAAAATAAATATCAGAAATTCAGAAATGGCAATACTAAATAAACACAAAAAATTCTCATTTTACAGCAAAATAATCAACCACTTACAGTTGTATTCTTTAACCATGTAAACAAGATTTATCATGATTTATAAGATGTTGCTATGGTTATATATACATACAGTTGATTCTTCTTTTCCATTGAGCAAAGTAAGTGTTATCTTATTCTATCTGATCATAAAAAAAGTAAAATTAAAATTACAGATATCACTGTTCATATTTGCAGTGAATACAGTATTTTGAAATTTTGTTGTACCTGAAGCGGCTACACTACTGTAAGGAGGTGGTGCCTGTTGCATTGCCAATGGGGCTCCCCATGGGTCTGATGACATCTGTTGTTGTTGTGCTGGTGACACTGTTCTAGCAGGAGATTGCCATGGGTCAGAAGTAGGAGGTGCAGGTGCAGGAGCTGGTACTGGGGCTCCCCATGGGTCTGTAGTTGCTACAGGAGCTGGAATAGGAGCGCCCCATGGATCTGTTGTCAGTGCCTTGGGAGAGTCCAATGATAGCAATCCACCTGGCTGTCCCTGTAAGTTTTAAAAATAAAATAGTTTCTGAATTATTGATTTAAAGTATCTACCAAGTAGTATTTTGTCAAAACTAAAATGATATCAAATATCAACACTAAATGAGAGCAATGAAATAGCCTTTTATTGATATTAATAGTTAACTACAGATTCATTATTTATGGGATACCAATTTTCATGGATTTCATGGGTATATAGTAAAACTACATATTTAAATGGTCAACACAGTACTGTTTTCTATAGGCTTGTATGCAGATTTTAGGAAAACCACAAAATCAATTAAACACGAGCAGAATTACAATTTTTAATCAATTTACGAAAAGTGGTATCCACGAAAAATAAATGAATCTACAGTATTTTCTTGTGTTCTTTAACCCATCAGGCACTTCTGAGTATTGATATCAAAAATTCATCAATACTTTTCTTATTGATAAAAGCTCTTCATCTGATCATGATGTTCATAGGCCAAAACATATATACTTGTTTCTTGCCTCCTAGCTGAAAAAATGGGTAGGTAGGTAAAAAGATTTTATTCTTTAAATTGTATTATGCATATACATATACATGATATAGTATACTATATACTTGATATACAAATGATATACAGATATTTTCTTGGCTTTAACAGTGCATTTTGAACTTTTATAACCGTGCATGACCAAAAATGTCCATATAATTTGTAAAGTTAGACATGAAAGTTTTTACAGCACTGGGTCAATACAGCTGGTGGTGGACTATCAGTTCCCAAGGGTATCATCAGCTCAGTAGTCAGAAATTTGGTGCTGACATGATTTATAACATACGGATGTTCTCTTCCAGTGACAATCGGGAATACTCTTAAGTAAAAGTTGAAACAGCCAGAGTGTTTTTCCAGTAAATATATAGATATTTTATTTAATCAAAAGGGGGTCAAATAAAAGCTTAAACAATCAAGCACCTAATCCATTTATGTGTCTAACTGGTTTGTAAATGCAAGAATTTTATGAAAATGTATAAAATTACAGAAACTACATGCACATTCATTATAATATGCACAGAATTAAGATATGCAGGGTCCAATAAAAGCATTTAAAAATAATATGAACTGATGACACAGAGATATGTTTCACCTATCGGCATAACATTCAGAAATAGACAATCTAATGGATAGCAACATGGTTTATTAATTCAGTTGCTGGAAAATTATCTAGTGCCTAGTAGTGGGCAGGGCCTGAAAATAATTGTAAAACTGACAATTACTGATAGTAAAATTCAAAGTCACTGGATCATGAGCTAGGGGACAGGGCCTTGAAAAAGTTGTCAAACTAATATGTACTGATAGTAATGCAACTGCATACAAAATATCATTGATCTATCACAAGTAGATCCTATCAAACTAATATAACTTAAGCAGAAAACTTAACATTGAAAATTGCTAATTAATTCAAAGTTGCTGGACCATGACCTAGGGGGCAGTGCCTCGTAATATTTGTCAAACTGATATATACTGATAGTAATGCAACTTAAATATCAATGATCTATTACAAGTAGTTCCCATCAAACTAACTTAAGCAGAAAACTTAACAATTGTTGACGCCGAAGCCTATGTCTCACTTTCTGCGACTTTTGTCCATGCGAGACAATAAACTAGTCACATAGTACTAACACTTTAAAAATGTAGCAAATAAATTTGAGATTAAATGAATTATTAATATATATGTACATGTATATACATTTAAGACATATACTGCATACGTAATGGTAATGTAATAAAAATCTTTACTCTTTTGAAGAAAAAAAGAAAGTGTTACATGGAATCATCAGAATTTTTCTTCAGTATTTTAGTAGACAATAAATCATCAACATCCAGCCAATTTATACTTGTTGCAAGTCGTTTCATCAACAGAAAACAATCTTCAATCACACCTTTGTAATGTTATTCATACTAGAAAGCAAAACAAACTCTGATAAAAGTCTTTAAGTTATTCGTCCTCTACACGCTTTTTAATTTCTAGCTAACATTGGGTAAACCTTAAAAGTAAATATTTAATATTTTATTACAATCAAGCCATTTTAAGCAACTGTTGCAGTAGGGCAAACACATGGTTTCAGTACATTCATGCTTAAAGAAACACAATATCTGAACATGCTATACTATCATGACTATAAAATACATTCCACAATATAGATAAATTTATGCAATTTAAAAAGTTACAATCAAGACTACATAAGGGAGTACTTGGATATGAAATGCAGTAATTTCAAAGGTCAACTGGACAATATACAGTAATTTTGATTTTGTCTATTTAAAGGGAAGTCTTTACTGGTAGAATTTTAACTAAAAATAAGAAGTCTTTTATAATTTGCCATTTCAATATTTTAAACATTTTGTTTACAACATTTTTTTACTACATTTTGTACTTTTAATAGTGGACACCAAAACATTGCAATTTTTCAAAAACACCTAAAACCATGGTTATCCAGACTATTTCAGTTCTTGTGTTTGAACAATTATTACAATCATAAATGAAATTACCCATAATCCCTTGCTTTCTGAAATGGCAAAATTAAGACTGGTACCCGATATACATGTACAGGACCAGATGTATAATAAAATAGTAGACCTTTGGAATGACTGGTAATAATTTAAGAAAACATGTACATATCAAATGCTTGGAAAGTTTGAAAACAGAAGATCAATCTCTTACTGTTGTTTTACTTTTAGATCTTCTTTCCTAAACAAAATAAAAACAATAACAAACAACTTTAAAAAAAAAACTACTTCTAAGATGACAAAACAGAAATATTTCTATTTAAATAAAATTACAATTATCTACTGATGGAAAAATACCATCCCCTTCTCAATATAAAACCCACAAAAAAATAATTCAACTTGTCAATATATTACACTAAAGGTATAATTTGCATTGTATATGTTGTTTCAGTTATATACATGATATATATAATAATAATATTAGCCAATAATATTTTCCTGTTTCCAGTTCACTTTAAAATTTTGTCTGAATACATTTTCTGTTTGTGTTCTTTTTTTCATAATAAATTACTATACATGCTTAATACCAAAATACAAAACAATATGTGACATGTGACAAAAAATTATTTTATTGTGCCCTTGCAAAAAGATAAAATGTGCAGCTTATGTGATTAAGCACTGAGTAATTATAAGACGTCTGTGTCTTGTGCAGTTGCATGGTGGCATGGTGAAACATTGTGGAATGATTATATTTGCCATTCTAGATATGCTGAGGACTAGCGGTGAAATATACTATTTAATGTAATGGATTTTGAAACTGTTTTTTTCTGTCATTAAAAGTCCCTTTTACCAGAAAACTGTATTTGTACACCTGCCAACATCAATCAAAGATTTTATGGTTACAATATGTATATGTACTGTCAGATATGTAAATTTCTCCACCATAAAATCAGCATTTATATATAAAAATAGAATATTATAAGAAGATGCAGTGTGATTCACAATGAGATATCTATCCACCAGAAACGAGATGATGTATAGATGTAAGCAACTGAACGTCAGAGTTCGTCCTTCAACATTGAGAATGAGCAAATTTTATAATTCAAACTAATATTTTTTCTTAACTTGCTTTTTTTTAATTTTATTTTTCTACTGTCCTCATTGATCATGTTGATAAAGACAATTTAGCATCATATTTTTAACCCAAAAATATTTATATTAAGAAATAAGTTTTTAAGGTTTTATTATACAATTTTGCTTTTATATATAAATCCTGATGTCATGAATTTCAGCACCAAATTTTATCAAAATGCTGTTCTACATGCATATCTCTATCATTTATTTATTACTTGGTGTAATCTTAAATTTCTCAGAGAAAAGCAATCTAATTATTAGTACATAAAAAGCTGATTCCAAAACTTTCCCAATACTTATTTGAAGTTATGTCACTCAAAGTGTGCTGTTTTCAATAAAGTTTAAATAATGACATTACTGTGAGATTAAACCTTTAGAAACAGTGATTCAAAACTGACCCACAACTCTTTTCAAGAAAAAACACTTGTAAGTCATGAACATTTCAGTATAATTTGGGATCAATTTTTGTTGAATGATTTTGTAGAAATAACTGCTAAACTCTTGAATTTGAGACAATTTTATACTCACTTCATCTTGTTGTTTTCGACTTTCTTCCAGGGCCAGGGCTAATTTCACATCATCTGATTTTTGTTTCTTCAGTTCTTCATCATGCTCTTCTTTACTCATTGCCAATGCCAGTTGTAACTGTATTTCTTCTTCGCCAGCAGACGATGGTCGGGCATATTCCACCATGTCAGTTGACCTACGCCGTACTTCTACAGGAGAAGCTAAAAATAAAATGAAGATGATTACCATTATCTTTTAAATCAAGCCAATTAAAATGTATATATTTACATAAAGTGCCTAGAAAATAAACATAACAATGCAAGAGTAGATCTGATTCTTTACTTCCTCCCCGAGCGGGGCTCTTCAGTATAATTACAGGATGCTATTCTATTTTTAGAAGCATACAATCACTGTACATTTATATATAGATATGTCTGCCTATGTGTAGTGACAACTGCAAATTATACCTTGTCCATCGGATTTCTTATGATTAAGTGTTGGACACAGTGCAGGCGGTGTTGTCTTGATATCCCAATAGCATGAGTTTGAATCCCGGCGAGGGAAGAACAAAAATTTGCTTCTGCAAATTTGCAGATTTAACATTGTTGTGCTGATATTTAGAGTAATTATATATATATATGTCTTTTCATTTTTTGGAGCATAAGGCATGTAAGACATGTAGGAATAACTTGAAAATCATATTTTATGTTTTTGTCTTTATAAAAAAATGTTACATGGATATAGCATAGACCTAATTCCAATACATGCATTTTCCATGAACAAGCCTTAAAATAACTTTATAAATATCAATGTAAGATCGCTATTAACACTTAATAAACAGATATTCCCTGTTTCATTTTATATCTAAAGAGAGCATATTTAAACATGTGTCATAAACCAACATTACATTTTATTAAGTTAATTTTAAGATGATTTGTACAATCTGAGACTATATAGTAGTCTCGGGTACATTGTATGATGTTCAGAGGTTTTAACATTTTTTAACTTCTTATTTTCTATTTAAATATATTTTATCTAGCTTAACTTGTGCAGTGATTTTCCTATACTAAAGCATATACCTCCTGATTCTATCAGAAATGACTTTTTCTACAATTTTTTTTTTTTTTCTTATTATGTTAACGTTCCATCTACCCTGATAATATAAATTTCAGTAACAATGTGATATAAGAAAATTCCAACTATGCAGGCTGCTAAAGGATAATTCATGTACAAACAATATAATAATTTATGGGAAATGCTGGCTTGCATAAAGCACACACTAAGGATAAACAAGCAAATCTTATATATTAGTAAAATATGTTAATCAAGTATGCAGAAAATTCAGCTACATGTTATAATTTATCCAATAGTGTCTGATAATGAATTATAGGAGATATAACACGAACAAGTCACTATCATAACTGTGTAAGTTTTACTGGTTTATCAAAAATATTGAAGACCAGTCATCCTTTCTTAGCTCATTAATCATTGTAAATGACCTGGAACCAGTTTAAGTGGTTTAAACATGATAGAGGAACTGAGTTGTTTTTTTGTTGATAGACCTGTGACAAGGCGAAAACATAAACTATTTTACATGCATTGTCTCCCCTTCTCCTGAAATGTCAGGAGTGGAAGTGAAAAAAGAAAAATAGAATTTAAATACCATGTTAAATAAAGAATCAAATAAAAAAGAAGGTCATTATCTTGTGATTCAACGGATATATTTTTTACTACTGGTACATTATAATTATATGAACTTTTTTCATACAGAAATTGCCAAGGAAAGAGGTCAAAGTTGCTTCCATCTAATTATTCTAACTTAAAAAAAACATTATATCCTCAAGTCTTTTAAGTCTCTTCCAATTTGTTTACATAATATTACAATTTACATGGTTAAATGAACAGGATTTAACAGACTTACAAGCTAATGCTTACAGGATAATCATAATAATTGCCTTTGAACTAATATGCTAAATTTTAGGAATTCCCACAATGCACTTCTTATAAAATACTTAAGCAAAATTCAGATATATCATTTGTAAAATGTGGGTACTTAAAAATGTCATAAACATTCTAATTGTTAGTAGAAAAGATGAGTAATAAGAGTTGAAATGGATAAAACTCTTAAGCAGGGATAAATCTTTCATATATATATATATATATATATAGTCTGCTGAATAAATGGTAGAATGCAACAGCAAGTTAATTATAAAAGGAAAGAATGACATGAGTAAATACAAATTGGGATTTTGTACTGTTCATAGTACAATGTATGTACAAATACTATATTCCCTACCAAAAATGTTGATAGAAAATTAATTTTCAATTTAAAATATAAATTAACTTGCTATTGCATTTTGAACAACAAAATTGCATAAACATGTCAGTTCAGTTAATTTTTTGTGTTTAAGTCTGCGTGGGTTTTTTTCCCCAAAAAGGAGCACAAGTTGAGCTGGCCATACATAAGCCATATATTCATGATATTTATTTATGCAAATTTGTTAATGTAAATTTCTAGCTGCTCACATGCATCACTGTGCACACTTTCACTCCCACCTCCATAAGAGTCAGTGTAACCTCCTCCTCCTGCTCCGGTGGACAAACTGGGACTTCCTCTTCCGTAACGCACCTGCAGTCACAACATTTAAATATATATTTTGAAAGACATATATAAATATTTATTCAAATTTGAATGTTTCAATGTAATTAATAAAGAACGGTTTACATGTATCTATATTCTGTAAAATGCAATATATTGATGATATTTGAAGATGTCCTCATGCATGTCACGTCCATGGCTATGCAAGGATACTTCTGGCATTCGAAATTTCTGAGGAAGAACAATGTCAAATGTTAATTACACATGATACATACAGTCAGGGATATAACTCTATAGGGTCATTAGAGAAAATATCTTGCATGTGTTATTACAGATACTTTCATGAGTTGTCTACTCTTTATTCCTTAAATTTTCTGTAGTAACATATGTTTGTTATCATGGTTATTTGTTAAATAAATCATAAATATTCTAATTTTAAGTGGGCACTTGGGAATTCTTGAAACTTTGCGCAGAAACTAAATATGTAGCCTTGATAACTAATTTTCGAATTAAATTAATACATTTTCCATCAACCATGGTAAATCGATGAGACAAGGCTTTTAAGGGATAAACTTAGCTGTAATAACAAGGCTTAGTTATTAAAGGCATGTAACTTATTATATGAGACACTTGGGAATTACTGGGAAGCTTGTGCAGAACCTCATTACACATGTACATGCTCTGATCATTATTTCTTACAATAAACTAAAATACATTGTGATTAAGCATGATGTATGTCTGAGCAAAGGCTTTGAAGTGATGTAGAGACGCTATAATAACACCTTTTAGTTATTCATGTTATTACAGGCATATTTTTTCTGTAATAACATAGGTGTACTATGCATGATTGGCAAACTATGAACTGTTATATCTTTCTATAGTTTAGTATACATAAAGACAATAATAATATCAATAGAACTTGTATACATTTTAACAAAACAAATGATGTATATTGACCCTTTGAAAAATGTAAAATACATGTACATATGTTATCACAGTTCTTTGATTTTTTAGTCCAAAATAACAAATGTAACTAAACAGTATGTTATTTTTCTCTAATAACCCTATATAGAGTTATATCCCTGACTGATATACATGTACATGTATTTGCACAACAAGAACACAGAGTTCATAAAACAGTGCATTGATTTCGCTTTTCATCTGTTCAAATATATTACTCATACTTTTTAAGTGCATTTACTATGCCTTTTATCCCAAATACAATGTACATTCTGAGACATGTGAGTCATTTGTGAGAGGTACTTGTATGACAATGATAGTCAATAGATTGAACTTTTATTACAAGAAAGTTTGAAGTTCTAGTAACCAAATTTAAATATCACCCGATTAAAATATTTAGACAGATATATTTGATTTAAGTCATTTAAATCTCTACGTAATCCCTGTATTACATAATACAATGACAGAAAAATATATAACCATGTCTAATTCCAGTATTTTAATATGTACATGTATGTATGATCTACATACATTGTAACAACATGAACAATTGCCATTCAGCTTTTACACATCAATAGTTTGAAATTATGTCACTCAGACTAATAAGTACACTTTTGACAGGAACATGAGGAAATGTAGGATGAACTGGAAGATATATATATGATAAAAAGGTCAAATTAAGCCAACAGTAAACAAGAAATTGAAAAAGATACGCAACGTCATATTTCATGTATAATAGTGGGTTTTTTTCAGAGAATTTATTGCTGCAGACAGATCTTTGTTTCTTTTGAATTATTAACATCTTATAGACATGGAGCAATTTAGAGTTTTACATACTGTATAGTCTGACACCCTAATCATGCTAATGCAAATGTGTGTGGTAACCATGGAAATTCTTTACCTTATCATCACTGCCAATTCCCATGGCATTCTGAGCGAACCTTTCTTTTGCTTTTAACGCTTTGGCCCTTTCATTTCTCAGTCTCTCATCGTCCTTTAAAAGAGCTACCAGCTGTTTTGCCTTTTCCCGAACATTCATTCCTTGATCTTTATTATCCTCACGATACTGAAAGTCTCTCAATGTTTGAATAGCAAAAATATTTTCTTTACATTGTTGTGCCACTTTTTCACTACCAGTTTTAATAATGTAATCCAAGAGCATGAGTGACTTGTAAACATGACGCCAGTTTTTACCATGATCGTTAAGTCGCTTCCAGATCATTTGCATAATTTCCGTAAATGCAACAACATTGTACGTTAGATCGGCTATTTCTGACATCAGTGTACTGGAAGGACCCCAAGGGTCATTGGATGTTGCTTCTCGCACTTTAACCTGCGCCTCGGAATAGTTGTGAATAACATTTTTCACAGTCCGACGTATGGGTGGCATGTTAGACATTGTAAAGCCGTATGTGTCAACCTTTATTAAATAACTATCTGCTTATAATTTCCTAATAATACTAAATGCTTTTTCCCAAATCCACAAATGTAACACACTTTTGTGGAATAAGTCTTTTTTTGTATTCCTTTCTGTAACAAAAAAGATATCAAAATATGAAATAAAACATGTTATAAATCAAACGAGAAGATAAAAAAATGTATGAATGGTCTAACAACTCTGATTTGAACACCTTATCTTGATGATTGATTGATTGGTGTTTAAAGCCACTTTCAGGAATATGACAGTTGTTTTTCATTCATTTGATGTGTATGAGCTTTTAATTTTGCCATTTGATAAGGGACTTTCCGTTTTGAATTTTACTTGGAGTTCGATATTTTTATTATTTTACTTTTTTTAGCATTATTAGGATGATTAGCTATTTCTTGGCGGTCAGTTTTTATTGCCATTGGTAAAGGAAGCCACGGCGCCCAGAGAGAACGAGCGACCTTCAGTAGGAAAACTGACAGTCATAGTCAATTAGGATCGGAGTCAAATGCACCTGCCACCTGCTGGGTTCTAACTCATAACCTCAGTGTTGACAGGCTAGTGATAAGGTAGTTGAACTACTTAGACCACACGCCCACTAGGCCCCTACACACCATATATATAAGATAAGTAGACAGGGTTTGACACTAACTAAATGTATGTACTAGCCTGTAGGGCTAGTGAAATTATTATTCTACTAGTCCTCCAAGTGCCGAAGGCACTTGGACGGTCGTGCCACCGGAGGATCTGGGGGCATGCCCCCCCAGAAAATTTTGATACAAATGAAGCTAAATCCAGTGTTCTGGAGCATTTCCAGAGGATTTTGAACAAGTTTTGTTACATGAAATTTCACTGGTTTGCTAATAAAAAATTAAAAAAAAAAAAAAAAATCACATATTTTAATCATCTATATTAAGAATGTGTTCGAATTATTTTGAAGACCCCTTTCGATCATTACTTCATCATCATCCACCTTTAACTTATCATTATTACAGTATTACTAGTGTCTTTAATGAAGATGGATAAGTTAGGGATTTAAAAATACACCCACAAACAGAGCTCCAGATAAGAATTCACAAATTGGGGTTTTTACCCACCATTTTTTTATGTAATTGGGTGATAAATTTTTTTAATTGCATTATCAATTCCAATTCACCCCTCAAGCAAATATCAAATTGGGTTTTTCACCACCAAGCTCCTTAATGTATTGGGTTTTTTCATCAACACAATATTGAATATTTAGGCATGTTATAATCACATTATATCAACCCCAGATGTGTTTCCATCTTAAATGTGTTTCTTTCTTTGTAGAATATGTGCTAGCTGTTTTATTTGGTTTACTCACTGACGAGCAATTGTACATTTAATTTGTATCCCGTTTTAAACGTTCTGTCAGTTTTGTATTTTCTCAAAACTTATGTAAACTGCAGCTGGTGTCACTAGTTGGACAGGAACTAATTGCCTTTCTAGATCCCATATGATCACCCTACAGTTTAATTATAGTTGGGGTAGGTGTGGCTAAGTGTTTAAATTTTTGTGTAATATATGTGAAATTTAGGTGCTGTAAGAAAGTTTTGCCAGTCCTTTCACCTATTTGCCAGATCTACTTTTTAATAAAAATAAAAAGTAGTTTCCAGATTTAAGATATACCCCAAAACCTTGAGGTTTATAGGGTGGTTTATAATGACGGAGACTAGACTCAGAAGGTGGTAACATTATTGGGGGTCTCACATAAATTGTACATGTACAACTTCAAATTGATCTGCAACAAAAATTCCATTGGCATTGGATGGAATGTTTTTCAGCATGTTCAAGGCAACATTTATTTTTTCAACAGCTTTGTGTCTCTGTGTTATACATGTGTACTTCATAGTACATGTAGTTCTGATAAAATTATACTAATATGCAAATAAAATAATGTGTAAAAATCCTCAAAGTTGCTTCATGGCAGGTGTCAAATACAAAATGTAAAAACTTAAAATTGCCAGAAAATAGACTTATTTGTAATTGTTAATCAGGTCAAGGACATATTACTAAATAAATTGCTTCACCGAGCGCAGCTGGATACGCCAGCAGAGGTCCAACCCAGAACAGTTGGGACAAAAATGGACACAATATTCACGCTTGATATAGGTCTGAATTTGGACACAGAATAACTGTAGTCATGGAACTTAGAATTGGTTATATGATTTGAATTTATATTCATATTTTTGCTTTTGTGCAATACACTATGCTGTTGTGAACTGACCCCCCCCCCCCCAAAAAAAAAAATTTACCCCCCTTTTTTTTTGGCTTTTGTGCAATACACTATGCTGTTGCGAATTGACCCCCCCCCCCCCCCCTTTTAAAAAAAAAAAAAATATTCATGATATTTGAAGAAATTTTCTTTTTAATTTCTGAAATCTGAAAAGAGAAAAAATTGTCCCCCCCTCACAATTTCTTTTTACCCCCCCCCCCCCCCCCCGCCCTTTTTCCAAAATAAACTGCTTCGCTGAGCGCAGCTGGATACGCCCGCAGAGGTCCAACCCTGAACAGTTGGGGCAAAAATGGACACAATATTCAAGCTTGATACAGGTCTGAATTTGGATTGTAATTAAATATTTGATATATTATAGGTTTCTGAATAAATGTAGTCAAAGAACTTGAAATTGGTTATATGAAAGATTTCTTGCTGTTGTGCAATACACTGTGCTGTTGTGCAATACTTAGTAAATCTGTTGTCAGACTATAAACAAATAAAATCTTATAACTTGGAAACGCAAAATCAAAAATTTATAAAAATCAAAAGGGAGCTTACAAAAATAGATATAAACAATTTATAAAAGTTTCATAAAAAATGCTGAAAGCATTTTTGAGTTATTGTCTGAAAACTGGAAAATCCCCCTTTTTGTAATGAATAAAACCCCATAAATCGGAAACGTATTATCTGAAATTCATAAAGATCAAAAGGGAGCTCATGTCGATAGAAATAAACAATTCACCAAAGTTTCTTGCAAATTGGTGAAATTGTTTTTGAGTTATTGTCCGAAAACTGGAAAATCCCCCCTTTTTTAATGAATAAAACCCCAAAACTCAAAAACGGTAAATCCGAAATTTATAAAAAACAAAAGGGAGCTCACGTCAATAGATATGAACAATTCATAAAAGTTTCATGCAAATTGGTGATATATTTTTTGAGTTATTGTCTGAAAACTGGAAAATCCCCCCTTTTTTTAATGAATAAAACCCCAAAACTCAAAAACGGTAAATCCAAAATTTATAAAAAACGAAAGGGAGCTCAGGTCAATAGATATGAACAATTCACAAAAGTTTCATGCATATTGGTTAAAGTGTTTTTGAATTAATGTCCGACATGTCGACAACGGACGGACGGACAGACGGACGGACAGACGGACAACGGTATACCATAATACGTCCCGTAAACGGGCGTATAAAGAAGCAACTTTGAGGATTTTTACACATTATTTTATTTGCATATTAGTATAATTTTATCAGAACTACTATGATTCTTTCCCTCAAGATATGGTCATAATCTCAATTCAAATTTCCAGTGGAGTTTGCAACCATAATTACCCATTTAAATACATCATAAAAGTCTTAAAATAGAAAATGACATACATAATCATGGCTAAAATTAATATATGAAATATTCCTTAAAGGGGCACTAGCTACGTACGAGATATATAAAAAATCTAATATATGATTTTTTTTTGTTCAATCATTAATGAAAGTGAAATAGTGAAATAATTATTCGCTTTTAGCCGCCAGTATGGTTTAATTTTGTCAAAATAAGCTAAGAAACATTGATGATGAATTATTCACTTGCAAATGATGACCTCATTGAATCCGTATTCATGTGAACTTCAATTTAACCCCTTAGCTAGAGATGGATAACACGAGAATTGTATGTGTAAAGTTATTTAAAGGAAAAGAATGTCAACATTGAAAGTGAAACAAAGGTAAATCATTTGATTGACTGATCCGATCCACAAAAAATCTTTCTAATACAGGTAAAAACGATGATAAACATAATATGAAATTAAACAGACCTAGAAAAATCCAATAGCACGAGTTCGCTTAATCTACATGTATTTGTATCTTTATTTATGTTTACATCGCTTATATGGTCATTGGTTGACTTTGGAGGTCAACTCGATAGTTAATTAGATGGCGTCTAGACTAAAATACACACGAAACGAAGCTACGTGTTATCATGCCCATGTCCTGTTAACTGATTATTTTAGACTTTAAATAGTTTGGATAAATGTTTTACATTGTTATAAACATGATAAATCAAATATGAGAATTTGAGTCAAATTGGTGAACATGAATTTGACAGCTAGTGCCCCTTTAATCAGCATTTCTAAAAATAAATTGACAGCTAATCACCTCAACAACATTTCTTTGTACATAATTTAAAAGCAGTGTAAGGGAGGTAATCCAAACTTAACATTGTACTTTTTTTTAATTGTCCATTAACCAGGAAACCCTTGTTTTTCCCTCTTTTTTGCCCCTAATTCCTATACGGTTTGAGCCATGCCCCCCCCACCAAAGCCAATCTTAATTACCATCCTTTTGTGGTATGGAAACTTGTGGTATAATTTCAGAGAGATCCATACACTTAAACACAAGTTATTGTCTGGAAACTAGAAAAATGCTTATTTGGGCCCCTTTTTGGCCACTAATTCCTAAACTGTTAGGACTATAACCCCAAAAATCAATCCCATCCTTCCTTTTGTGGTTATAAACCTTGTGTTTAAATTTCATAGATTTCTATTTACATTTACTAAAGTTATTGTCCGGAAACCAAATGTCTTAGGACAACGCTGACGACGACGACAACGTGATACCAATATACGACCGCAAAAAAAAATTTGTGGTCGTATAAAAAGGTCTGTTCTCTTTTAACATGTTTTATAGAAATGATAGCATATAAACATCTTATTTTGGCCATAAAGTAACAGAAGAATCATAGCACTGACAAGATTATTCTGTTTAAAATCACTCCGAGTGATTTATAGTGAAACAGGGTGATCACTGGGATTAAATGCTTATTTAAGACCCAGTCATATATATAAACTATGGAATACAGAAACGGAATAAAATACCTATGTTCATTGTGAAAATTTACCATCAAAAGCATGAATAGTTATCTTTAATTGAATATGTATTTACACATGTTACATGTACATGTACATATAACCAAAAAATCATTATATAAAAGAAAGATCTAAGATCTGAACTAAAAAAATATTTTTTCATGAAAGAATTTTTGTGGGTCAATAAATGTATTACTGACACCAAACTGATTAGGCTACAATGTAAAAAATATATGAGTGTTTACTGTAACCTATGGACATAGTGTTAGTCAGCAATTTAAAAAATAAATGGGGAATATGTCCATGCCCCCGCTTGCATATCATATAAAGTTATAAAGGGACAAAACTGAAGAACGTTAAAAGTGACGCCACCCAATTTTGTACTTGATCGGAGTTTTGTGGTAATAAGTATTGTGTATAAGTTTCATAACATTTGGTTGAGGCAAACTTAAGTTAGAGAACGAAAACGAAAAATTGAGCAGTTTTTATACGACCACAAAAATAAAAAAATTTTTGGTCGTATATTGGTATCACGTTGTCGTCATCGTCAGTGTCGTTTGAAGACAGATGGTTTCCGGATAATAACTTTAGTATAAGTGAATAGAAATCAATAAAATTTTAACACAAGGTTTATAACCACTAAAGGAAGGTTGGGATTGATTTTGGGGGTTATGGTCCTAACTGTTTAGGAATTAGGGGCCAAAAAAGGGGCCCAAATAAGCATTTTTGTTGTTTCCAGACAATAACTTGTGTTAAAGTGTATGAATCTCTCTGAAATTATACCACAAACTTCCATACAACAAAGGGATGGTTAGGATTGACTTTGGGGGGTTATGGCTCAAACCATTTAGTAATTAGGGGCAAAAAAAGGGGGAAAAACAAGGGTTTTTCTGGTTAAAGGACAATTGAGACAATTTAAAAGCAGTGTAAGGGAGGTAATCCAATTCAAATTAAAGAACACTGTTTGATTACCTCCCTCACACTGCTTGTAAATTATGTATTAAGAAATGATGATTGTCTTGAGGTGATTAGCTGTCAATTTATTTTTAGCAGTTACTATTAATTAATATTAATTTTAGCCATGACTATGTATGTCATTTTATATTTTAAAACTTTTATGATGTATTTAGATGGGTAATTTTGGTTGCAAACTGCATTAGAAATTTGAATTGAGATACTGACCATATCTTGAGAGAAAGAATTTTTTGGGGAATAAGGGAAAGGGGGGAGGTGAAAAAAAAATGGAGGGGGGGACAATTTTTCTCATTTCAGATTTCAGAAATTAAAAGAAAATTTCTACAAATATTTTTTTTGGGGGGTTAATATTCAACAGCATAGTGTATTGCACAAAAGCAAAAAACCAGGGTAAAATAAAAAAAATTTGGTAGGGGTCAATTCACAACACCATAGTGTATTGCACAAAAGCAATAAATTGAATATAAATTCAAATCATATAACCAATTGGAAGTTCTTTGACTACAGTTATTCTGTGTCAGAAACCTATTATGTGTCAAAAATTTAGTTCCAATCCAAATTCAGACCTGTACACACATGTATCAAGCGTGAATATTGTGTCCATTTTGGCCCAACTTTTCAGGGTTGGACATCTGCAGTCGTATCCAGCTGCGCTTAGCGAAGCAGTTTATTCCATTTGTTAAGGGGCATAACTCTAGAACGGTTAAAGTGAAGCCACCAAAATTCAAACTTGGTCTGTGTTTTGTGATAGTAAGCATTTTTTATAAGTTTCATAATATTTTGTTGAAGCAAAAGATTAAAGTTAGAGAATGGAAACCAACTTTGGGGCATACGGAGGGACGTACGTACAGACGGACAAGGGTAAAACTTAATGCCCCCTCTGCTGCGGCATTTGTTTGAGGGCCTAGATATATAGCCTTATCACAAGTATCAGATCCAGTGTTTTATTTACCTATGTTTCTTTTTAGTGAACACTTGTCTAAGTTATTTTTGTCACATAAGATATTAAACTCAGATATGATTTTACTCAGGTTTAACATAATATAATAAAATGCTCCGCTGGGCGCAGCTTGATACAACCGCAGAGGTCGAACCCTGAACAGTTGGGGCAAGTATGGACACAACATTCAAGCTTGATACAGCACTGAATTTGGATTGTGATTAAATATTTGACACAGCATAGGTTTCTGACACAGAATGAATGTGGTCTAAGAACTTAAAAAATTTTAATTTACCTATTCAAACCATATCATTATCATTTGCTTTTATATATAAATCAGAAATAAACAATTTAAAATGGAAAATTTTAAAGAAAAAAAAAGGAAAAACAATCCCCCCCCCCCAATTTTTTTAACCCCCTTATGATTCATCACCCCCAAACTCAATCCCAGCCTTCCCTTTGTGGTATGGTACCTTGCAGTACAATTTCAGAGAGATCCACACACTTGAACACAAGTTATTGTCTGGAAACTAGAAAAATACTTGTTTTTTGGCCCCAAATTCCTAAACGTTTAGGGCAATTACCCCCAAACTCAAACCCAGCTTTCCCTTTGTGACATGGAACCTTGTAGTACAATTTCATAAAGATCCATACACTTACACACAAGTTATTGTCCTGAAATTAGAAAAATGCTTGTTTTTTGCCCCTTTTTGGCCCTTAATTCCTAAAATTTTGAGGCAATTACCCCCAAAATCAATCCCAGCCTTCCCTTTGTGGTATGGTACCTTGCAGTACAATTTCAGAGAGATCCATACACTTGAACACAAGTTATTGTCTGGAAACTAGAAAAATGCTTATTTTTGGCCCCTTTTGGCCCCTTATTCCTAAACGTTTTGGGCAATTACCCCCAAACTAGAAACCCAGCTTTTCCTTTGTGACATGGAACCTCGTAGTACAATATCAGAACGATCCATACACTTACACACAAGTTATTGTCATGAAACTAGAAAAATGCTTGTTTTTTGCCCCCTTATTCCTCAAATTTTGAAGCAATTACCCCCAAAATCAATCCCAGCATTCCCTTTGTGATATGGAACCTTGTGGTACAATGTCAGAGAGATCCATACACAAACACACAAGTTATGTCTGGAAGTTACAAAAATGCTTATTTTTTGCCCCTAATTCCTTAACTGTTGGTATCATAACCCCCAAAATCAATCCCAACCTTCCTTTTGTGGTATTGAACCGTATGGTAAAATTTCAAAGAGATCCATTCACTTAAACTAAAGTAAGAGTGCAAAAACCAATGTGTCTTCGGACGACGACAACAACGACGACGACGCCAACGTCATACCAATATAGGACGCAAAATTTTTTTGCGGTCGTATAAAAATAAGGAGATGTGGTATGATCATGATGATTGACAATAAGACAAATATCCACCCAAGTTCAAATGAAGTGGATGTAAGCAATTATAATCAATCGTACAGCCTTCAACAGTGAGAAAAAACCATACCGTATAGTCAGCTATAAAAGGCCCGACATGAAAAATATGAAACATTTCAATTGAGGAAACTAATGGCCTAACTTATAACAAATCAATTTATAAGACTTGGTGGCAATTTTCAGTATTAGACTAGCAGTTGAACAAATAGAAAATCACTGTCAAGAATAATACCAGTGAAAATATAATTTTCCCAATTTTTCAGTGAAAAAAAAAAAGGGTTGCAAATTGGCTATCACAAATTAGGGTTGGTTGGGGTATATTCACAGTGGGTTGTTTTGTTTGGCCTAATAAGTCGTTTCCATTATTTCCAGTGTGCAAGTGAGTGTTGACAGTTTAAAATCTCAGTTTTGGTGCATTCTCAAGGGATTTCATTGTTTCAAAGTACTAATCTGAAAGTCTTAACAGAGAAATGTCACATTGAAAGAAGATTGTTCAATAACATCAAATATGACAATTAACCTTCAATCAACCTGGGTAACTCATTAATAAAAGGGAACTCGAAATTGGTTTTACAAATGAATGCTAAATAAAAGTATGATACACACATCAATATAAAAAAAGTAGTAGGACGGTTTTTTTTCAATTAATTGTATAAAACTACAGTAACTTACGGTCTTAGCTATGTTACAGGACATTGGATACAAAAATATACAAGCAAATAAGAAACTGAAATAGTGTAAATGTATTTCTTAATACCCATAACCCGGCTACTGTCACTGTCAGACTAAGGTAGACAATTCCTTAAATTAATAATCGTATCATGTGTAAAAAATTTGTATCCTAAGATTTACATTAAAAGCTTTATAATGTTGACTAAGCTATACTCATGAAATTGGCGTACATTTTTGACAAAATACAGTTGAACAATGAAGTGTCGATGAATAATATTTCTGACAGGAAGTTGATTGAATCTTACTTCCGGTTAGTGGGTGTACATTAGAACAGCCTACAACCTTTACTAATTTAACTAGTAACAGTTGTTTTGGGGATCACAATGTTATAAAAACATCAATATTAGGACCATGATGTCAACATCTATCTATTTGTAGATATTTTTAATCTATATCAACATTTCAACGAAAATAAACAAGGTCAATCCTACTTCCGACCCGTTTCCACATTTACCTTAAATTAACCACTTCCGGATTCAGGTGAGGTGCAGTTTCTTTGTTGTTTATTTTTTCTAAACGTTGTGACGTTTAAATAACTCAATCAACACGTAAACCTATTTTTAGAACCTTTATTGTATTGTTTTCCAATTAGTTATTTGTACTTTGTTTGATAACTATGACTCATTACACAAAGCTCAAAGCCCTTGATTCAAAGAACCCCCCTTTTATTATTTCTTTGCTACAGTACAGGCATGACAGACTGACAAATAGTTTTAATTATTTGAAAATTGCCATTTAATTTTCTTTATTAAACAAGTTTGTGTCCATAAAACAAATTTAAATTGGAAGCAGTATAAATGTAGTTACTTCAACTTCAAGCTTGGGCGATACATATATATACCGCCCTGGTATTTACCTGTTTACCAATAGGTACTTGTTTCTATCAATATTGGGAGGTTGACTATATTTAACGCCCCAGTCAATACTCTTCGAGAATATGGGAGAACTGGGTATGCAGACAACTTGGACCAACGAATGTCAACTCTGACCTTCTATAATGTCAACATGGTCAACCCTGTCAAAATTTTTAAAAGAGAGTTTGGACTATTTAAATGAATATAAATAATCAAATGTTATATTTTACTTAAAAGAATCTTAGATAGTTTTTACAGTTAACATTTACAGACAGTCTGGGATTAGATTTTTTTGACATGTCATGATGACAATTGTCATAAATTTATATACCTTTATGGATTGTTATTATACATTTGTACTTAGACACAAGCTAATCTTCACCCCCAGTTTTCAGTGGGGTTTGTGTTGCTCAGTCATAAGTTTTCTATGGTGTGTATTGTGTACTCTTGTTTGTCTGTTGGTCTTTTTTCTTTTTTGGCCATGGCGTTGTCAGTTTATTTTCGACTTATTAGTTTGAATGTCCCTTTGGTATCTTTCGCCTCTCTTCATGATCAAGAAATACATGTACAAAATATAGCATCTGAAGGGAAAAAAATATTAAATTCTGTATTGTACTGACTCACTTTTTACAGTCAATATGAACTCTTTTACACTGACGGCAGCAATCGCATGTGAGACAGGGTTCCGCAGAACCCTTTACAATTTTTTTCCTAGTAAATTCTTTAAAACAATTTGCTTAAAAATTGTTTAATGTTTGTTGCATTTTTTTGCCAATGAAAACGGGTTAAATTTAGGGTTGGATCTTGTAATATCATTTCTATGGAAAAAAAATTGATATGGTTAACTGTCTTAATAATCTGAATGGAAAATTTATTTTCTTTATAAAATTGTCACATTTTTTATTCAGCCATGCTTTTGAGAGGGTGCAGAATTCTGTTGAAGACATATCATGAAACTAATTTTGTGTTTTTATGGCTTGCAGAAACTTTATACACCATTTTAATCATCTAACATGTCTACTGCTAACTTTTGGCATTTAATTTGCTCTTGAATTTAGAAAATATTGTTTGAACAGCTACTTTATTTTAGAATAGTTCCTTTGTAAAAAAAGAAATTATAATAGATTACTATTTATGAATTAATTTGAAAAAGTAATATATCAAATTTAATCAGTTGATAAGAATATTAAAATATTCTATCAATATCTTCTGCTTGTGTAAGTTATTGAATTAAATTTGGTACAAGATGTGTATTGATATCAAAGTTGTTGAAGCACTTTTTATACGACCACAAAAAATTTTTACGGTCGTATATTGGTCGACACTTGGTTTCCGGACAATAACTTTAGTATTAGTTAATAGAAATCTATGAAATTTAAACACAAGGTTTATAACCACAAAAGGATACATTGTGATACATGTCTGAGAAATGGCTTTGAAGAGATGTAGAAAAGCTGTAATAACACCCTTTAGTTATTACAGGCATATATTTATCTGTAATAACATAGGTGTACTATACATGTACATGATTAGCAAATTATAAATTGTTATATCTTTCTAAAGTTTAGTATACATAAAGACAATAATAATACCAGTAGAACTTGCATACAATTTAACAAAGTAAAGGATGTATATTGCCTCTTTGAAACATGTAACATACATATGTTATCACAGTTTTTTGATATTTTAGCCCATAATAACGACATGTATATTATTTTTCTCTAATAACTTATTTAAGTTAGACCCTTGACTGTCAGTTTTGGACCTCTGCGGTTGTATCCAGCTGCGCTTGGCGAAGCATTTTATTTGAAATGCTATTATTCCAATTCTTTCCTTGGACAAGTAATTATATATATAAAAGTACTGAAACCATATATACAGTTTGATAGACAACTGTCATTATTTACAAACAATACCACTCAAAGGTGTGAGCTTTAATTGGAACACCTACAATGCCAATCTTAATTGACCACAGCTAATATCTTGTATTACAATGTATTACACTATTGAATAGACACTTTATTATTCAGCTCAATTCATATCTTAATACACATTTTATTGTCAATTATTGACAGCAATAGTATACCTATAATAACTTTTGATCTACACTACATTTTGTACATCAAATTATTCTGTTAATTATGTCTCAAAGATGAATGATTAAAAGAATTTAAGGATTAAGAATTAAAAAGATGTATTTTTTTGCAAAAGAAAAAACAAAATCTGTATAAAAAATGCAAGCAGTGTCTATATTGTACTTGTAAAATTAGTGCTATAATCATCTGATATTAGTCAATGATTTAAAGGTTAATTCAAGTTAAAATTCTAATTTGCTGGAATCAATTTTTTTAGTGATATCATGAAAATAAAATAAAACTGATCCTCTTCAATGTCATATGATCAGATGATATTTTATCAAAAATCAATAAGTGATCCTAAGATGAGTTAGAAAAATTGCATACCAATGTTTAAACATAGAAATACTCCCAAAAGCAACCATTTTACAAGTAAATTTTTCCAACCTGTGAGTAGGATTTAAAATTATGCACACAACTCTTCCAGCCTTTCCATCAGTGATTTAGATTACTTCAAGGATCTTACTATACAAATCCTTGATTACTTTGATTGTCGGAAGACCTTAGAAAAAGTACATTTCATGAATTTCATGAGCTGAAAGGGGTGATTTTTAAAAAGAAAAATAACTGGTAATTTTTTATGAAAATGATAACACGTTCTACATAACAATCCTTTGTTGCCTTCTTTTGTCAAGCCTGCGACTTTTGTCGCAAAAGCGAGACATAGGGATCTTGCATTCCGTTGGTCTTCAGCGGTGGCAGCGGCGTCCACAAATATTCACTCTGTGGTTAAAGTTTTTGAAATTAAATAACTTTCTTAAACTATCCTGGATTTTTACCAAACTTAGACAGAAGCTTGTTTATGATCAAAAGCTAGTATCTAGAAGGAAGTTTTGCAAAAATATATTTCCTGTTTTTCCGTATATTACTTATAAATGGACTTAGTTTTTCTTCCAGTTAACATTACATACAGTCTGTAGTTAAAGTTTTTAAACATTTATTAGATTCATAAACCATTCTGGATTTTTACCAAACTTGGACAGAAGCTTCTTACAATTAAAAGATACATGTAGTATCTGTAAGAAAATTTTTAATAATTCTTTCTCCATTTTTATTGAGCCTGTGACATGTGTGACAAGCAGCAAAAGTAGGCGAGACACTGGGTTCCGCGGAACCCTTACAAATTTTTTTTTTAAGTCCCTTGGTTTCTTTCATTGTCTTTTAAAAGTGTTTAAACACAAGTTAACACATTTTGGGCTAAAATTACTTATTCAAAGTTGTGATGGTTGTCTCTTTATAAATGTCTTAGTTACAGAAGCTTGTATAAAGAAAAAAATATTGAAAATGATATAAAATAAAAATGTCTGTCTAACTGTAGCTAAAAAATGGCTGGATCACAGCACCAACGATGCTTCGATTTCCCCATAGCAACAGAATTATTTCCATAGTAACCAAAGGAAATTGTGATTTTATTTGTGTAATAAGGTTTTTACAGTTTTTTTCTGATGACTGTTTTGCATTCAATGTAACCAAGGGAAATGTGGTATTAGACAACTTTTGATTGTAAGTGTAAATATAGAAATGCTTTTGTTGCTATATTCTTCATCTCCAAACCGAGATTGAACACAGACGATGACCTCCTTTTTTTCAACTTAAAGATTTCTTCATGTTTTTACGAAAATTTATTTTTACAGTACACTAACTGAAAATTTATTTAATAAAAAGCTGAAATCAATAATTCACAATGAATATCGTGATCATGACAATGTCAGTGTTCTAAAAACTTATTTGTCAACAAGAACTTAGTATAAAAAAATGGTGACAGCAATTTAAAAAAAATCCTCACAATTAAAGTATTAGCATGATTAGTGCATGGCGAAAAACAAAATAATTCATCAATGAAATTCGATTCAGATATTTCCAAGTAAATTCTTTTTTAAATTGGATACAAAATTTATTAAGTCTGACACAATTTTTTTGAAGGCAAAATGTTTCAACAAAGGTACCACATAGAGGCATCATTATGGAGTAAAGGGGAAGGCGTCAAAAGGCATCATTGATTATGGATGAAAAGGTTAAATGTTGCTAAATTTGCATGACCATGATGACCTCAAGCCTCACCACACCGGGTGAATTGGTTCCAGAAGTTGCCTTTCAAATGCTGATGTCGCCCTAAGGTTACCCTAAAACAGAATTTGAGGTCAACCTATAATTGACAGCCTGTCAAATTTAAGTTTCTGATTCTTTTTTATCAAATTATCAAGTCAAGTAAGGAAACAAATGTATTGATACTATCAGAACAAATAGTACATGTAACCAAATTAATATAAAGCAAAGTAGGAACACAATTAACAGGTTTACATTTTTATTTAGGAGCCAGCTGAAGCCCACCTCCGGATGTGGGATTTTCTTGCTGTGTTGAAGACTTATTGGTGGCCTTCAGCTGTTTTCTGCTCTTTGGTCGGGTTGTTGTCTCTTTGAGACATATTCCCCATTTCCATTCTCAATTTTATTTTAATCCAAAAATCTGCATTTATTTTACAATTGTAAACATTGTAACAGTAACACAATTGGATCACCTCCATTTTTAGCTCACCGGAGCCCGAAGGGCCCCATCACTTGGCGTCCATCGTCGTCTGTCGTCTGTTGTCATTTATCTGTCGTCGTCTGTCATCATAAACTATTTCAAAAATCTCCACCTCTGAAACTACTGGGCCAAATACCTTCAAACTTTAACTAAATGTTCCTTAGGGTATCTTGTTTATAAATTGTATCCGAAGTTTGTATCCATCAACCAACATGGCCGCCACGGCTAAAAATAGAACATAAGGGTCAAATGCAGTTTTTGGCTTATATCTCAAAAACTAAATCTTTTAGAGCAAATGTGACATGGGGTAAAATTGTTTAATTGGTCAAGATCTATCGGCCTTGAAATTATCAGACGAATACAACAACCCATTGTTGGGTTGCTGCCACCAAATTGGTAGTTTTAACAAAATTTTGCAGTTTTTTGTTATTATTTTGAATATTATTATAGATATATATATAAACTGTAAGCAGCAATAATGTTCAGCAAAGTAAGATCTACAAAAAAGTTAATATGACCAAAATTGTCAATTGACCCCTTAAATTTAAGCTCAGATATATTTTGCATAACCTGAATAACATCTGACATGTCTGATTATTGTTATTATTGAAATAAGATAACAAGAGTTGACATTAGATCTTAGCAATATTTAATTCTGACAGGCATTGCTGCATGACATGTTGTTAAATCTATTTCTCTTATATATATATGGTAAAAAAAGTTCCTCGTGTTAAATAGATTCCGCAAAATATTTTTCATGTCTTTGGCAGTGGCCTAACAATTTTTTGCTATAGGTCCCCATTGGTGTCAAATGTTGACATTGGTCATTTTAAAGCTTTTTGTACACTTCAGAATGGAATCAAATTTGAAAAAAAGACCATTTTTGGGTGAGAAATGCGAGTGTTTGTATGTTGTTGGAAGAAATCATATCTGTGAACATTGCCACAAAGAAAAAGTAGTCTGTTGTGACCTTTGAAAGTGAATGTTGACCTAATTTATACAGTTTATGATATATTTATATTATCCAATTGTACATGTACTAAAACTACGGTTGCAACATTATGATGATTAAATTTTTCAGTAAAAATTCACTGTGGAATTTGACCATGCAGTGTACGATTTCACTGAATAGTCATGTGTGTATTGTTTACAAGGTTATGATGGTATAACATGCATAATTACACCTTATGTAAGAATCCTGGGTTTTGATTGGTTGATAGCCAGTGTATTTTTCACCAATTTACTGTTATCAAATGAATATCGTTCATTTTTTAACGCCGCCGGGGTATTTGCAAAAAGGATATGCCTTTTTTACCCTCTCTGCCATGGTATTTGCCAAAAAATACTCTATCCGACTGAACGCTTGTAACTTCTCGATCATCAATGCGTTTTTGAACGTTAACATTCGGTGTAATTAAACAGATATAGCATGTTCTTGAGGGGTATTTGCGAAAAATACCAGTCTTGAGAATGAATTTCCCTCGCCTTACGGCTCGCGAAATTTAACATTCTCTCAACTGGTATTTTTCGCAAATACCCCTCCTTAACATGATATATCTGTTCAAAAGTTCATCTTACCTTGCCAGATTGCCAATTAAACATGTCTTTAAATAAGACCCAAGGGTTGACACATGTTTACACATGTCATGCATGTACTTACATCTTCTTTTGTCTGCTGTCATTTTCAAGCTTTAACTAAACAGACAGAGAAATTAGATTTCCTGCAAGGAATAATTAATAATTTATTGATTAGTTATCAAGATATAGAAACAATTGTTTAAATCAATTTGTCACCTTAATTGATTGTTTTAAGATTAAATCTTAATGGAGAGAGTTGTGAATTAGACAATAAATCATTTAGGTTATGTAACCAGAGGATTTTAGTCGGATTGGTATGGTTCTCAGAGAGATAAGTTACAATGATTAAAAACCTAAGATTACCCATATTTTGTATGGTTATTGATTTAAAGACTTGTACTTACATGTGCATGTAATTAAGACAGCAGATAATGAAAGCAAACAATAATATATGATTTAAAATTCCCAATTAGAAATTTTACCAGTGCATGACTAATGGCTGCATGAACAGGATGAAGACTTGTCTTCACAATGGAGATTTTCAGATTTTCATGATTTTGGATAAGAACTTCCTGAGACTTTCAATAATATTTTGAGAGTTGATTGATTGATTATCGGTGTTTAACAACACTTTCATCTGGAGTACCGTTACATCATTATTGCTAGTATGGCTAATTATAGTCCATAAGATCAAGATGTATTACCAACTTCATGTCATAGTTGCTAGGGTTAATTATTGTCAATAAACATGTATGTCACAATGAACAATGATTATATAAATGTACATTGTATACAGTTAAAGGGGTTGATAATTTTAAAGTCATTAAGTCACATGAACATGTTATAGTTGTAAGGGGTTGATGATGTTGGTAGACATGTCAAAGTCCTAAGGGTTGATAACGTCAATGAACATGTGATAGTTGTAAGGGGTTGATTATGTCGGTAGACATGTCAATCCTTAGGGTTGATATTGTCAATGAACATGTGATAGTTGTAAGGGGTTGATGATGTTGGTAGACATGTCAAAGTCCTAAGGGTTGATAATGTCAATGAACATGTGATAGTTGTAAGGGGTTGATAATATCGGTAGACATGTCAAAGTCCTAAGGGTTGATAATGTCAATGAGCATGTTATAGTCATACTACTGTAAATTCAGAAATTATTGCGTGCATTTATTATTGCGATTTTTTCAATTTAGACTAAAATGCGATTCTAATTTTTGCGATATTGAGAAAAATCCTGTTTAATTCATACAAAAAATTTCAAAATGCAAGTTTAAATTATTGCGATTATAACCCAGTCGCATTTTTCGCAATAATAAAAACATCGCAATAATTTCTGAATTTACAGTATATGATTTCAAGAGTTGATAATGTCAGTGGGGTGATTATGTTAGTAGCGTTGACATGTCATAGATTAAAACACACCTAAATTTAGCACACATATTTATATAGGACGAATGACAAATTTGAAAAAAATAGATTTCAATATTTTTATTTAAAATATGCCATTTCCCTCCACCCCATTTCAAATTCTGGATTCATATCTGATGAATTAAAAATGTCTTTGGTACATTTAAACTACTGCCTTTTAAATTTGCAATGTCAGCCATTGTCAGTTTTAAATCAGATTTAACTTTATTGAATGATCAATTTTGATTTGAATGGATGTTTACCCTGGGCTTACTTTTCATTTTTCTTTAACAACATACTATTATATGTAATTAGTGACCCTTCCATGAAATAGACAACATTATTTATTTATCTACTTTAAGAAAGGTGATCGTAACTTATTTTTTGTAACATGTAGAAGGAGAACAAGATTTGTATTTTATGTTTTGACTGAAATAAGAACAATTGTACTTATAAAAATTTCTTTTTTACTGCCTGGTGGGTTTTAAATTATATTTTTGCTAGATAAGGTAAGTGAGTTGATATCTTTATAATGACATAACATATGAAAACTATAAAATATTTTATTGTATAAGGGTCTAGTTCTGGGCCTGTATTCTTTAATTCTTCAGGCCAGTTTTGTCTATTCTTTCTTTATGCCCATTATTTTTTATTCTTTATTTTTGAGCATTCCATTATTATCTATTCTTTATTTTCTAGCCTCCCATTATCATGATTATTCTCTATTTATTATTTTGTTCGTGTTGTTTAGCCATTCTTTCCAGCTGATGATTTACCTAATCAAGACTCTCATTTATCCACACCAGAAATATGTCAACTTTTTTATTTTTGTAGATATAGAGTTTACAAGTGGCATTAGTTAAGAATGGCAATAGGAACCTCTTGAGAAATCTGCAAATGGGAAGTTCACAACCAGTAATACTATTGGTGCTTCTTATTCAACAAGGTATTATAATCTTCTACTGTTTCTTATGTACACACAATATGCACACCTGGCACACACACAAGGTGATTCAGACAAATATCGCTTTTCCATGTGACTTTTTACAGTGAATACTAGTGTTTTATAGTGATCCAATTTGTGAATTCAATATGTACAGAAACTATGTCAGTTTGGTCATAGGCACTTGTCTAAAATACTTTTATACATATACCCTAATGTGTTATATTAGGGTTACGATATAATTATACATTTTTGTATAAGTGATTTATAAGAGACTAGTGCCTGAGAATTTGGTATAGCAATATTATCCTTTCAAATCTCAAGAAATCACCCTATTTGACAGTAATTATATTAACACCATTTGGAGTATATATTTAAGCTGAAACACCCTAAATATAAGTACTGCATATATATATATGTATTGTTAAGTTTAAAGAAGTGGATATTGTACTTACTTTATGATATTAAAATGTCATCAAGTGTTTTACAACTGTCAGGAAAGAAGTGACGATGGGAATTTCCTTTTAACATATGGTAAAGACAGTACTAATTGGTTCTATATTGTTTCTTAAGGAGTTTTAAAAGTGTTAAGACGGAAATCTAATATTAAAATCTAAACTTAGTCAGTTAGATATTGGTTTTCCTTATTTTATAGGGGCATTAGCCATTATTAGCTTCCAAATTCATGTCAACCAAGTTGACTCAAATGCTCAACTTGATTTATATAAGTTCCATATAGGAAACAATGTACAGTGCATGAATTGTTGTAAATTATGACCTCTGAAGATTGATCCCTATATAAATTTATATAAATATATACACATTAAAAGAGATATTATCTGCATTAGACTCGTCAATGACACTTGTATCACATACAACATGTACAAGTAGAAAGATAAAATGACATTTTCTATTTTTGTTGTACATTTTTGTCGAGCCTTCGACTTTTGTCAAAAAAGCGAGACATACCCTAGAGAAAAAGATCAGTGGAATTGCACTGGAATACCACTGATATTCCATTGTAATTTCCACTGGAATTCCAGTGATTTTCAGTGGAATAATTTGGCTGGAATTCCACTGGAACTACATTGGCTTTCCAATGGAATTACAGTGGAAAATCCAGTGTTTTTCCACTGGTATTCCAGTGGAATTCAAGCCAAAATATTCCACTGCATCACTGGAATTCCAGTGGAAATTACAGTGTTATTTCCCTGGTATTCCAGTGGAATTCCAGCCAAATTATTCCAGTGGAATGCAAATGTAATTCCAGTGGTATTTTGCACACACAAACTGATTAACTAATATAAAAATTATGTGTCAGATATAAACTTCTCTTCCTTTCTGTAATTTAAAACTTGCTGTCTCTGTACTTCCAACTAGAATTGCCGAATAAAGGTACTCAAATGGAGTCTGCATAAAATCTGTTTCATATCATTGCTGGCAGCTCATATTTAATCCCCTAAAAGTACAAAAATATCCACAAAGAATCAATTGTTCAAGAGGTATTAATGATTCTATGAAGCAATTAATTCAATAGAAACAGTATTATGCATATATATTATATATATCATAATCTTACATTCATTGGAAGCCTAAACTCAAATTAAGTACCCCCCTTTTTTATCCCTTGAAGATAAAACTGGCGACTTATAATTTTCACCAAGTTAATTTACACAATTTAATTTCTACATATCAGATTATCATATACCATTTACATGTCAGATTTATGTCTGTTATGAATGTGACAACAATATATATATATTCATTCCATTAATTGTCTGTCAAAACTTTCTGATGTTTTGCTCAGATTAAAATCCTAAATGTTTTATAGTGCCTCAACAAATTGTATTTTATAATTATCATATGTAAAATCAAATACTTATCTGAAAACATTTGCGTTTGGATTCTCCATTTTGTTTATCCAGCGTAATCATATTTTGATGACGTATGTAAGTGCGTTTACGTCAAGGTGTCAATCTCACCCCATATAATATCGGCCCGAAGTTGATTCGTCCCCGTAACGGTATTCCAGTAAAACTTCCCAATACCGGTGGCCCGTTGGACCACGAAAAACGGCTTAATTGCGGGGGTTGCCATTTTGTTGAAATTTGAAATCACCAAGAGTTACTTCCCTTTAATATGGGTGTTTGAGAATATTTGAAAATGTATTTTACCTTAATCAAAATATACGTTTTCCTTTGGCTTTGTGAATTTGAGTTTTGTAAATAATATCTATCGTAAAATACAGCTACAACTTCTATTTCACTTATTTAAAAAAAAAATATTTTGCAGGAATAAAAAATAAAAATACCATACATTAATGATATTTCACAAATAATTAGTTAAAATCTTCTACTGATCCACAATTAAGCGACTGTGCAAGGGCTGTATAGCCAGTCTAGGTCGTTAAAAACTTCCATTTGTTGTTGACCCACAATCTAATCAGTACTCACGATACTGTTTCATAATTACCTGTACGTAAGTGTGCTGTAAGTGTAATTGTTACAAACTGTCATAACACAATGAAAGAAGGTATTGAAACTAAATTGACAGGTGAACAGTAATCACAGCCTCGGAGTATTCAGTTGTCCTGATTGACCGGACGATCTGAAGGTTACATTACAAATGATACGTACTGATCAGTGATTTCAGATGACAAGGCCCGTTTTATGAGGATGAATTTTATTGATTTTAATTATTTTAATTATTTAAATTCAAAAATACCCGCCGGTTCCAGATTTCAAGGAATAACCATTTAATTAAACGCAAATCTCCTGGGTCTTCTTGATTTGGCCAGTATGGTGGGAGAACTGTATTCAGATCGAGAAATTTCAATGTATAAGAAACAAATTAGGGTGTTGCATTAACTTTTTTCAACAGAATGGCAATTTTATTTTTTGGCTTTGCACGTTGCTGCAGAAGGTGTCAAAGCAACAATTAAATAGCCTTTCAAGACATCATAATTATTTGGACTAGGTACAAATGAATTGTACTGATAATAGCTATTAGAATTTAATATAAGTACTTTTTTTCTACCAAAAATAATGCCCATCAGTATCTTAATGATAAATCACGCAACCCTGCTTTAATTTTTGAAAACAATCTTTTAAAGTGCACTCAAGTTTTTGTTCATGGTTTTTCATCACTAAATAATCAAACTACTCATGAGCTTTTTTTATGTACACTTGGTTTTCTAAGGTATTTTAATATCATGAAAATACTTATAAATGCATGTATATATTTAAATCAAGGAACAATGTATTCCAGTGGAATTACAGTGGTAAAATTTTCCAATGTCATTATTACAGTGGAGTTACAGTGGTAAAATATTCCAATGTCATTCCAGTGGAATCACCAATCAAATTCCCCACTGGAATTTTTAGTTTTATATGATTTACCAGTGGAATTCCAATGAGTCTTTGGAATCCAGTGGAATTCCAGTGGAATCAACTGATATTCCACTGGAATTCCATTGACATTTTCTATGGGGTAGCGATCCTACATTCCATCGACGGCGTCGTCATTGTCGTCGTCTTTGGCGTCCACAAATATTCACTCTGTGGTTAAAGTTTTTGAAATTTTAATAACTTTCTTAAACTATCCTGGATTTGTACCAAACTTGGAAAGAAGCTTGTTTATGATCATAAGATAGTATCCCGAAGTAAATTTAAAAAAAAAATTCCATTTTTTCCGTATTTTACTTATAAATGGACTTAGTTTTTCTGCCAGTTAACATTACATTCACTCTGTGGTTAAAGTTTTTGAAATTTTAATAACTTTCTTAAACTATCCTGGATTTGTACCAAACTTGGAAAGAAGTTTGTTTATGATCATAAGATAGTATCCAGAAGTAAATTTTGTAAAAAAAAAATTCCATTTTTTCCGTATTTTACTTATAAATGGACTTAGTTTTTCTGCCAGTTAACATTACATACAGTCTGCAGTTTAAGTTTTTAAAACATTTATTAGATTCATAAACTATCCTGGATTTTTACCAAACTTGGACAGAAGCTTCTTACAATCAAAAGATAGTACAGAGAGGAATATTTTTATTATTTTTTTTCCTCATTTTTGCTGAGCCTGCGATTAACAGCAAAAGTAGGCGAGACACTGGGTTCCACGGAACCCTTACGAATTTTTAGATCAGTTGTTGAAAGTTGAAAGGCCAGATCAAGATCAAGTTGAAGAGCATTAAAAAAACGAAAATTCTGAAAAATGTACAATTAAATACAACTGAGGCAATCTATGCCTTGATTGGAAGAAAACCCCTTAGTATTTTGAGTCATTTAACATTTTATAAACATTAAATTTACAGAAATAACTTAAGTTCTCAGTTTTGATTTCAGATCGTGAACTTGATTAGGTTTATTAATATTTATATTTTTCAGTATACTCAGTATGTCAGAATGGAGACTGTGGATGGAAAGCTTCTTGTGTGAACAATAGTTGTGAATGTCCTGTCAATTATACATTATACTCAAACCAGTATGATTGTGTTCAAAGTAAGAATAATTTAAAGATATAAGTGAAATTGAAATGTGGATGCTGACAAAATATAAACATGACCATGTTAAAAAAACAACATCACAAAACACTGAATTAAACACAAGTTTGAATATTTAGTCAGGGAGGTGCCTGGAAGAGTAATCACTTTCTGTTGCTATGGTTATACAACATGTTCATGATATTGTCGTGTTATGGAAGAGAAAATGGTCTGTGATACTGAAGTCATAACAAAGAAAGCACTTTGTATGTTCTGAAATAATGCAAAGCCTTTTATGAACTGTGCATTTTGATTGATTGATTGTTGTTTAATTAAAGTCCCAACCTTTAAGAAGGTTGTAGTGATCACTAGCCCATGTAGCTCCTCACTATGGTGGTGAGTTCAAACCTGATCGTGGCCTGATGGTAGGTAAGTTGGACTCCATTCTAAATTGACTAGGATTGCCCGTATTCCTGCTGAAGGTCAGTGGTTCTCCCTGGGAATTCTGGTTTCCTCTGCCCATATTCCTGCTGAAGGTCAGTGGTTCTCCCTGGGAATTCTGGTTTCCTCCGCCCATAAAAACTGGCTGCCATGATATACTCAAGAGAATTTGAAGTGGCAATAAACATCAAAAAATAATTTAATTGTTTAGAAGGTGTTTTAATTTCACAAAATTGAAATAAAATACTTAAAAATCTTATTTAATTATTTAGTAAGTTCTGTTTCAGTTGGATTAAATGGTTCAAAAATATATATCCTCCTTATACATGTTATACAGGCAATTTATTTGAATGAAAAGATTCAAAGGGATTTGAAAATATTCCCTTGTACAGTGGATTCATTACCAGTTTTCATGAATATCTTTGGTGAACCACAAATTTAAGTGTTCAAAAGAACTGTGAATTTTTGGAAAGTCTTGTGGGCTGAATTTGTCAAAATCTGGAAATCGCATAACCATGAATTTTTCCTTAATTCACGAAAAATCACAATTGGTCATCAACGAAATTAATTTAACCAACAAATCTAATAAATCTAATTTAGAAAATATCTAGAATCATGAAAATTTTTACGATTGATTCTTTATGCAGCAGCAATGTGCCAAAAGGAACTGTGTTTGTTGATTTGTTTTACTGTTTTAAAAATAACATAAAAGGATAGAGGTATTTTGCACTAAATGAAATTGATTGCCTTTTTCGAAATTGTTGAAAAAGTTTGAACTTGCAGTTTTTGTATTGCAGATGGTTGCACACATGATGATTGTTTAGAATGTGATTCACAGTTAAGATGTATCAGGTAATATAATATGGCATAAACATTTCTGATAAGTTGTTTAAAAAGGGGGAGGGGTTTTTGTACTCCACAATGAATGCAGATTACTCTTACAAAGTGTCAAGTTTTTAAAATGGGTAAGGGTATTTTATAATGTGTTTTCTACAATACGTGTAAATGTCTCTTACAAACTACCTTATATCCAGTAAGAAATAATTCAGCTTTTTATAAAAAGATTATATTTATACAAATGTATGAAAAGTAGGTACTGGGTGTGCATCAATGAGAGACAGCAATTGATCAACAAAAAAAGGTAAAATCTTCAAATAAGAAATATATGAAAGAAAAACTTTGTAGACTGCAATCCAAAAATAAAAAAAAAACAATCAAACTAAAAGACCTGGAGGTAAGTATAATGGCTTACTGTATTATTTTAGTTGTGTTATTTCATTTCAGGTGTTCAAAGTTTATAGATGAATTGACGAGGGCATGTTTAGATAAGTGTGTAGGTGAAACAAAAGTTATTAGTGATGGTCTGCTGCAAGGAAATGTTTGTAAACGTAAGTTGGGAAAGTACATTGTTTTCTCTCTGGCATATGCATGTTACATGTATCAAAATTTAAAACTTAAAGAATAAGAGTAGACATGGTAGATATGGGGTAAATGTCTTTGCGAAAGTAACAAAAGAATATGTTTTCCAAAAAAAGACATTTTGAAGTAACAATGTTACCGTGATAACCAAATGCCTAAACACATGGAAAGTTTTAAATTCTGATCTAGATAAGTTGCAAATAAATTCAGCAGAGATTGTAAAATATTTTTTCTGAATTCCAAATTCTGTAAATGCCAAAAATGGATAGGAAAATAAAAAAAAAATTGGTTCCATTCATAGAATGTGGGATATTTGAGCTAAAAGAGTTTGAATTAAGATGCCTTTAACTGATCAGATTACTATCCATATAACTAAAACATAACAAATTCATTATTATTCGCATTGAACATGGGGGAAATCCTGTTCATTCTTGGGAAAAATGTAATTCTATTTTATCTTGAAAAAATTTTTAGAAATCCAGGCTAAGCATTGTTCTTGTAGACTTTTATTAGAAATTTAGGTTAAATACATTATGTCTACAGATAAGTGGGAACAAAATTTCTTGATGTATAAATTCCAGCATATGGATATACAGTCAACATAAGGTATTTTTGTTGAGGCCACACTTAAAAATATTTTGGTTTGCCTAAACCCTACCCAAAGCTTACTAAGAGACAGTGGGTAGGTAGGTAGGTAGGCATTTTCTTTTTTTTAGCAAAGAGAAGTTGAAGTGTCAGATGTTTTTTAGTATTCATGACTATCTGATTAAAAAAAAACTTTTTCACACCAGGGCAATAAAAGATTTATTATTATTATAGGCAGCTATTTTCTGGGTAGGTAGGGTTAGGGCAAACAAACATATTCTTTTTTATGGCCTGAAAAAACTCTCTTGGTGGTGATTTTACAGTGAATTCTTGTGGGGTTTGTGATTCACTTTGAAATATCTCTCTGTATACATGGTATATTGAATATAAGTACATGGTCTTAAAACAAAGTGTTATCATTCCAATTCACAAGGAAAAACACTCTTTCACAGTGAACAATTAAACGTGATGCATGTCTCTTTAACAAAATCAATAGACAGTACACATTTGATTAAATCATCCAAGTGTGGTGATGATGTGAAGTTGATGCTTGATGTGTATACATTGTACAGATAGATCAGCATGTGATTCAAAGGAATCAACTATATAATTTGTGTAATAGATATGATATATTAGGTTTGATTCAGAGTATCATCAAATAGTCCAATTTATAGAAAATTCAGACCCTATAGCTATCTGTGTCGTAGTCAGACATGAATATGTGTAATTTAAAAGTGATATTGCTTATTTCAGAGACAGGATTTACAGACAATACAGAGTAAATAAAAGCTGTAGCATGCTTGAATATAGCATAAATAGGTTTTATATAAATATGATACATTATTTATTTCAGAGACAGAATCTACGGACAGTACAGAGTTAATAATAGCTGTGGCATGTGGTGTGGCTGGAGGTGTTATACTTTGTATAGTTGTAACATTAATATTCTACTGTCATTATAAACATACAAGGTAATGGCTGACCCATTTAAAACATACATGGTACCCCGGGAAGGCACTTTCTAAATGGGTTTACCATCTATAGTGGAAATTTTAGAATTTTTATTACACTTTTGGTGTACCGTACACAAAACCAACCGACCAATAGTTGAGTTTGGAATTGCTGTGTCTGAGTCCCATAAAATTAAGAATGGAAACGGGGAATGCGTCAAAGAGACAACAACCCGACCAAAGAGCAGAAAACAGCCCAAGGCCTTCAATGGGTCATCAACACAGCAAGAAAATCCGGCACCCGGAGGCAGTCTTCAGCTGGCCCCCTAAACAATGATGTATACTGGTTCAGTGAAAATAGAAATACTAATAAACTCCGAAACATATAAATGAACCAAAATTAAAAAACACAAGACTAACAAAGGCCAGAGGTTCCTGACTTGGGACAGGTGCAAAAATGCGGCGGGGTTAAATGTTTTGTGAGATCTCAACCTTCCCACTATACCAATGTGGAATAAACAAACATACAGCAATATGCACATGTATGTTTTAATGGAACAATATTAAATAGCTACTCAAAAATATGAGGACTAAAGTTTTATTAGTATGTACAAAGTACTTATATTTGTAGATTTTGTGATTAAAGGTCAAACATGATTTTGAAGTGAGCACAAAAGCAAGTTTTTAATCGGCATGTATGCAGTTTTTGTTGAAACTACAATATCAAATATCCACAAAAATACAATTTTCCTCAATTAAGAAAAATTGGTAACCATGTAAATGAGGGACAACAAGCCAACAATACAACAAAACCAAGAAAGACATAGAGGACAATGTCAAGTGTCTATACCATATGTCAAAATTACCATAATTCTAGACAGTTTGTGAATAAATTTAACAACATCTACCATCTACACCAAATTCCTCATATGACAAAAAGCATGTTGAAAAAGTCAGCCACCACTTGTGAATGCAAGTAACCTTATGGTCAAAAAATTTCTACGCCAATTATTCTGATTTTTACCTGTCTGTTTATTTTAATCCTGGATCCCACACTGACGTTTGTCAGGATTCCTGACATAAAAAAAAACAAGTTTTCTTGGTACATTTTACAAGCTACAGGGTAGACATGGGGCGTTATACACACAGATTTTACTGTTAGGGAAATAGAAGAAAAATGTTTGTATATTAAACCACATAGTTTGGTTATTTGTTTTGATACGTGTATCAAAAATTAAAATTTACTGTTCAGAAAAATTTGTCCAACTTTTATCCATGCTTTTTAATATGCCATGTATTTGACTTCCACAGAAAGAAGATAAACCTACAGCAACAGAAGTATAAACCACAAAATATGCAATTAGGAAATCTAACACAGGTATGAGACACTATTCCATTAAATAAACTTTAAATTTGGAGACAATTTTGATGTTTGCATTTTTGGAAAAAATGGGCCAGGATTGATTGTGCAAAAATAAAAACCAGCAATTTTGATAGTATCATTTGTATGCAGAATTTATTGAAATCATAAAAATGGATTTTGCCTTTCAACAATTGCAATAATAAATGCAAACAATGTAAAGTAAAGCATATGATGCCTCTGCTGATATTTGTAGAAAGCAAAACCTGTTCTTGAGATTTTCACTATTAAGTTTCCTACTTATAATTCAGTTCTGCTTTAATTTTGAACAGCTTGTTTCATGATTGATATATTCTTTTATTACCTTGGTTGAAATGAATAACCATGATTTCCAAGTGAAAGAAAAACTGATAATTTCACATGTGAAATAAACTCGGTTATTTCACTCCTCTTTCGTCATACAATAGGTGTTGTCAAGATGTTGTTGATGACGTCATATCAAAGCAAATTGTGAATGCATAGAAAAAGATATAGTTCCTTACATTTTCTTCTTTAATTCCATTAAAAAGCTCATTGTCAATGTTATTAAAAGAATAACTAATCAAAGAATTCAAATATTGAAAAATATTCAACTCGTGACCGAACAACACAGATAATTAGCTCATGCGCTACACGCATTCGTGAATTAATGTGTTGTTCGATCACTCGTTGAATATTTTTCTATATTTGAAAGAAGTATAATATTTAGCTGTTTGTTAAAAAATAATTTAAAAAATCAGCATTAATAGCCTCATTAATAAAGTCATCTGAATGACACTTAGTACTGGATCTTTACTTGCCATTAACAACATGACTGGTGGCAGTAGTGGAGTAGAAACTGCTTACCCTTCCTGAATACCCGAGTTCACACTTGTGGGCTTTGTTTTTCTTGATGTTTGTTTATCTTTGTGTCTTGTTTATTTTTGCCATGATGTTATCTGTCTTTTAACTTCAATTTTTGATTGCCCGGAGGCTCTTTATAAATTCTGCCCATTTATTCAACAACCAGCTTTTATTGATAAATTGTAGGCAGAATAGTGGCATACTTTCTCTGCTATCTATGTTTTAACATAACAGATGACCATGACTTTTTCATGATTATAACTAGTTATTGGTTTCAATTGAAAGTATGTATGTACTAAAAGTATTAAAAAAAAATCATGGTTTATCAATTCATTTCAGATACCAGTGTTTGACAATAAAGGCTTTGGTAAGTTTCAATATTTTTTACTTTGAGGTTCTGTTATCCTTGGAACAGAACATACTGTAGTTATAGTGGTGTTCAAATTTAACTGAATATATCCATATAAAGTGAATTTAATTAGAGAAGATGTAAGTTAATATGGAACTTAAACTTTAGAGAAAGGAGGGGGAGGGTTAGAGGGTTAAAAAAAATCAGTTTCAAAGGTTTTAACATGACTTAAAGTCACATTACATCAGTAATATTTCATAATTTAAAAAAAATTAGCTCAGAAAATTAACAAGATTGTTGGTTATCTTAGTAAACAGTTTTATTAAACATTTGAATGTATTAGTGTGATTATTTTAACAGGAAGGGTAAAGAAAGAGCAAAAAGATGGTATAAAATTCAATTTGACAGTTTTAGCACGCACCAGTTATAATGCTACTTGAATTCCACATGACCCAGTTTTCTAGCATTTCATAATCATTATTTATAATACTTACCATCTGATATTAGGTCATAAATACATCCTTGTAGTTTGTCAAATGTAATATTTAAGGAAAATTATAGTTTACCACACCCATAACTGTTTATCTATTGTTGATTCAATTATTTTGTGAATACAACGTACAATATATAATGTACCAAATTTCCTGAATGGGAAATAATGTATATTCTTAAAGATGTTAAAAACTTAATTTCATAGATTTGACAAATACTGCATACAAGCCTTCATCTATATAGACATTTGTTGTTTGTCAAACACTTAATTTAGTGGTTCATCTTAACCTAAGTTGTCTTTGAAAATGAGTACCCCTTGAATAGTAATGAAACCATAGTATTAATAAAAGCATTTAATTTCCAGATTTTTATTTAGACATGACCTTTCATGTATTACACTTATTGGTAAAGAAATGCATGCTTGAAATCTTTTATGTGTTTGAAAAAAAATATTTTCATTTTTAATCTCATTATCATAGAAAAAATTTAAATTTTAGGCAAAAGATGATATCTGAGGTTTTAAATTTATATTTTTAAGCATTCCTCTTTATGAATTGATAGCTTACATCTGCAGTCTTCCTCTTCTTCCATTTGAAGCAAGCATGTTTGATAAGAATGTTGCTTATTTGTTTTTGTGTGTGTAATATGAAGACTGTTTTCTAAAAAAATAATCACATTAAATTTTATGGTGTTATTCATACATGTACTGACAAAAATTTATAAATAATCAGGATTGCTGGTGATAAAACAGTTTATAGAAAGAAATAACCTTGATAACAAATGTTTAATTTGCGTAAATTTTCATTTCATAATGTAATATTCTGGTTTTAAGACTTAATTTCATACAAGGCTTTTGCAAATACGGTTTTCTAATGCAGTGCTATGATATGTGGAAAGATAATTATGCTAATTTTCTCAAAAACATATTTAATGGGTGCACAGTTTGACGTTAACATATAAATAGCATATTACATGCAATAGCTTTCTAATTCCTAATAAAAAAAAAAGAACTAATGATTGGTCGTTTTATTTTGTACTGGGAGATATCATGTATATTGTAATTTGCATTTTTCTAGTATACATAGTATATATATTTTCCTTGTAAACATACACATGTACCAGTTCACATGTACTCATATGTAGCTTTAATAAACAAGTAATCACTCATATCTTGTAGCATGTTATATCTCATCCATATTCATTATCAACTTTTCTGTCCATTAGATCCTAAATCTTTTGAATGATTTGTATCTTAATTTTTCCTGTTTCTTTATATTGCATGTTTATTAAGAACTGATTTTTTTCCACCAGTTATTACCGGTATATGCTGTGTGCAGTTCTTTAGAAGTAATATTTTTCTGCCCCACCTAGCTAGGGGCGTTATGTTTTTCGGTCTGTGCGTCTGTTCGTTAATCCGTTCGTTCGTTCGTTCGTTCATCCGTCTGTCTGTCCCACTTCAGGTTAAATTTTTTGGTCAAGGTCGTTTTTGATGAAGTTGAAGCCCTATCAACTTGAAATTTAGTACACATGTTCCCTATGATATGATCTTTCTAATTTTAATGCCAAATAAGAATTTTGACCCCAATTTCACGGTCCACTGAACATAGAAAATGATAGTGCGAGTTGGGTATCCGTGTACGATGGACACATTCTTGTTTAGTATTTACTTATAAATAAATAAAACATGATAGATATAGTGCAATGAGACAGCAACAGGAATAACCAAAAGGCAATAGACCTTTTTAATATTACCGACTTTTGACTCCGGAGTTTATATTTTTTCGACAGGTTACCTACTCTGTGATAAGACATCCTGGTACTCGGTCAAGTAAGAGCAACATAAAAAGGTAAAATCAAGCTTTTAATCGATACAATTTATGGGGAAAATTAACTGCTTTATATTTTCTTAACACGATAAAATCATCAGAAAACAGAAAACTTTCCCCTCAAATTGCACGGATTATGTGTTTGAATTTTTTTCTGTTGGTTGCTGTTACTTGGCAGATTTCTAGGATGTCTAACCTGTCAAAAAATTATATAATCCAGAGTCAAAAGTCGATAATATGAAATAGTTGATTTAGTAATAGCTCATATTATATTATAATCTGTTTATTACCATGGTATTTGGAGGTTATATTTGCATGATTTTGACAGAGGTTGCTTGAACATTGTCGTGAATTAGTGTTTTTTATCAGATCTTTACAAAATTTCCTTTCATATAATATACCATGCTGAGTATTGTAAATTGAATTTAAAAAAAGGAAGGTTGTATCAACACTGGCTGTGAAAGCAAGAAATTAAAAATATTTGGGGAGTTATAATATTACAAAAAGGGTCTAAACTAAATAGTCTCAAGTCTCAAAGGGAGAAGATAGAAGCTACCATGAAGGGAAAAATAAAAAAATAAAAAAAATTGGCAAAATTTTTTAACAGTCCACAAAACGCTATACATTAACCTAAAGATAGAGGCACACAAATTCCAACCATAAACTGAGGTTGAACTCAGGTCCATACCATATTTCATGGTTGACTGAACATGGCAATGTGCTAGTATGAGGGTTGTAATGGGGGTACCTTCATGACAGACAACGGTAAAAATTCTTGCCAAATGACGTTAACGGTAATTTTTGGTTCATGACAATAAAATGTACACTTTCCTTTAGACGATAAAAATATCGACTATTTTTGACGAATCACGTTAATTTTTTTCCAATAATAACGGTAACGGTAATTTTTTGAGACCTCTGACGAATCACGATAAAGATATTATGACGAATCACGTTAAAATTTTAACCAGCTTAACGCTAACGGTAGCCGAAAATGACCGTTTGACGCCTGACGATAAAGGGCATTCCTACCCTCTAGTATGAGCAGGATATAGTGCCCTATGAACATATATTCTTGTTTTAATTTCAATTTTCATTTATTCAGAAAAAAAATAGAACTAGCATATGAACATGATGAATATATTTTAGTTTTTTGTATTTGAACTGCATGGTTACTTTTGTACTGTAATATCTATCTATTTTTAGAGAATGATGTTTTGATGGGATCCAGTGCAATAGATAATGAAAACTACCACAAAGAACTACAAAAACTGATGCCACAAGCACCAACCTTATTAGCTATACTTAACAATATCAGATCTCGACTCCGATCCATGGATTTGAATGATCCACGTGTTCCTACCTACAGGTAAAAATTAGTCCAGTCAGCTAAAGGCACATTTTATTCTAACCACACATCGACATAATGTATAGCAAATCAGACATTTAATAAAAAAGGAAAGCATTTAAGATACAAATGGAACAAACAAAATTTATAAAGGGTTCCACAGAACACTGTGTCTAAGTGTCTTGCCTATGATTGTTGCTGTCAGTGTAAAATTGTATTATTGTCTGCCAACAAATAATATAAAAATAAGGAGATGTGGTATGATTGCCAATGAGACAATTATCCACCAAAGTTCAAATAAAGTGGATGTAAGCAACTATTGGCAACTGTACAGCCTTCAACAATGAGAAAAACCCATACCTTATAGTCGGCTATAAAAGACCCTGACATGAAAAACAATTCAATTGAGAAAACTAACAGCCTAATTAATAACAAAACAATAAACTAAAAACAAATATGACAGACATGAACCTACGACAACCACTGAACTACAGGCTCCTGACTTGGGACAGGCACATAAAGAATGTTGCAGGTTTAAACATGTTTGTGAGTGGGACAGTGGTGTAACAGCACAACAAACTATAAAAATCAGTTGGAAAAGGCTCAACTCATCAGGTCGATACAAATCAGAATAATCAAACAAAAACACAGACCGGACATGGCAGGGTATTTATCCATCCCTCATCCCTAACAACAAAAATGACACTTTAGTACAGATCTGAGAGTACTCACAGTTACTGACAGCTCGTTCAAAGTCAATAACAATTAACGAAAAAAAAATCATGTATCTAAGACTAAAATATCAATCAGTACATATCCAACATCCAATGGATTTAGTAAAAGGCATCATTAACAGTCAGAGAAAAACATGATCTTGTGCAATGCCAAAATAAAGGTATCGACAGATTGTAGTACCGTTAAAGTGCATATGTTTATAACAAAACTATTTAGTATGATTTTAATTTACTGATAACAAAATCAATATTTATACCAATAAAAACAACATTCAAAGATCTGATTACAGTGTTGAATTGGTAACATTTTAGAATAAGATTATTTAAAGGATTGATAAGTTTACCTGGATCGTATATAAATTTCTGTGCTGCCAACATCACCGTAAAATTAAGGATGTGCAATTCGGTCTGAAATAAGTATTTTACAGGTACAACCAAACTTGCAAACCAAATCTTTGTATCTATGGAAGAATTTAGTAAAGGTTTTTAAGTAATTTGTTGAAATGAAATCCCTGACTTAATAATTTACCAGTAATACATAGATTACACTCATTGAAATCCAAAACATCACTACAGACACCGGCATAAGGAACGAATTGGGATATATAAACACCGTAAGATGGTGCCAGAGGAACTTCACCGTCCAAACAAGGAAAATTAACAATTGGGAAAGAAAATTCGACCTTTTTGTCGTAAATGTTTGTGTAGAGTTTCTGGTGTAAAACTGAAATGTCTAAATCTAGGAAAGGACACTCCTTGCTGTAAGTCCATTTATCAGTAAAATATGAAAAGAATTTTAAAAAATTGGAATTTTTTCTACAGATGCTATTACTTAAACTTTAGAAGCTTCTGTCCAAGTAACATGACATGCAAGTTTAACAAAGTTAATGACGTTTAAAACTATTAATCCTAGTCCATTTATGATTAAAATGCAGAAAAAATGAAGAAAAAAAAAACATTTTGAAAATTTTGCTTGAGAAATTATCTCTTTGTCAAGAGAAAAAGGATAGTGAGAAAAATAGTCTATATGGATGGAGAGTCATCTCATTGGCAGTCATACCACATCTTCTTATATCTATATAAAACACTTCACGGAAAACTATTGATAGAGCAACATATAATCTGCCAAGAAAACGGTGATAAAAATGAGTTGCTGTGTAAGGATAAGGAGTTTCTGCTCCTTTAGTTGTACCTATCATGTTACAAGTAAAGATGTGTCACCATTGCTGATGTTAAATTAAAAAAGGAGTGTGGGTGTGGCTATGACAGGAACACATCCTTGGTAATGTAATCTATGTAGATTGCAACATTTGGTATATGATGTGACTGATAATTAAAATTTTATTTTTAGAGTGACTGATCTTTTTTATCTATTTTACATATATATAGAGGTGTAATTCACCAGCTGTGTAGAGTATTGGTGCTATTAAACAAAACAGACCCTAGAGCCAGTATTCCTTCAGATGCCCCAGGACTGCTTCAATGGGCACAACAAATGTTAGAAGATTACCAGATGGATGTACAGGTATCATATTCGTTTGCTTAAGAAGAAACATAAAAATGTTGATACAAAAACAGTCTGAAGGATTTTAATAATAAAAGATCTGTGGAATTTTTCCCAACTTTTTTACAAGAAACATCAGTATTAAAAAATGGGGGGGGGGGGGGGGGGGGGGGGGGGAAATGCCAAAGTCAAAGACTAGCAACACCATAGCCAAAAGAAAAAAGCTCAAACAAACAGCTAAGGTGATATACAACTGCTAACATCAAAGTCATTTTAACTGTGATGGATAGTTGGCAATCATACCACATCTCCTTAATTTTATAATAATAAAAAAAAAACGGCTCAGAAAGTTATAGCAATCACATGTTCAATTTAATGAAAGAGATTCCTTATACTATTTTTCTGGAATATCTTAACTTTGACAGTTGAAATAACTAAAGGTTTGATACTATAAATTCAGAAATTATTGCAAGGTTTCTATTAATGCGCCAATTATATATATTTATTAATTGCAATATTATGAATTTACATTCTGATATCTGATACATATATCTTAATGCAGATTTTCCTGAAATCGCAATAATTAATCTCCCATTTTGGTAAATTCTTCACAAATTGCATAATTGGTATACATAATAATTACTGTGTACAGTATTTTGGGAGATATGATATAATATAAAATGACAGACATTGTCAGTGAATTCCCTAACAGATAATCCAGTGAATCAAAAAGAGTTTCACCAATAAGAACATGTAGTTAAAATTATTGGAACAACACTTGCGTGGAGGGACATCTGAGGCCGAGTGGTCTAAGTAGTCGAACTACTGCATCACTAGCCTGTCAACACTGCGGTTGTGACTTCCAAATCCTGCACGTGGCAGGTGCGCTCTACTCCAATCTTAATTGACTGGGATTGTTAGTTTTGCTCTGAAAGTCGGTATTTCTCTCTGGCCACTCCAGCTTCCTCCATTAATAAAAACTGACCACCACAAAAAAGCACAATAGTGCTGAAAGTGGTGCTAAAAACCAATCAATGAATCAATCAATTACTTGCCTGAAGGGTCGGAAACGCCACTTGTCTGTAAATTCTCATTATTTTATATGCAGGATCAACCACTGTCTCAAGGCTCTGATGTTTCACCTGTAAGTAAATTCTCTTATTTTGTTTGTAGGATCATCACCTGTCTGGAGGGTCAGATGAGACACCCGTCAGCAAAATCTCTTACATAGATGTTCCTGTTGAGCAACAGAAATCTCACCAATATGCCGTGCCCCAACTCAACAACATAACAAAGGAAGAGGAACGGCCTGTCCATCATCATCAACCATTTCATCATAGTCAACAAAGTTCCCTGTCTCACCACTCTGATACTGGGTATTATAGCAGTACTCCCGTCCCTGTGGAATATCGCAGCACCACTCTACCGCATGCACAGATCAATTCATCATTCACCACATTCACTTCCAAAAAACAGAAAAAGCATGATCCTCGGCTTGTTCGTAGCTCTACTAATATTGCGCAATACCCCAGGGACAATTCACAGGGTTATTTTGCTAATGGACGGTATTATGATCCTTCACCGAAACCTGAAGTTTATGCACCTGCAAGTTCTTACAGTGACCGTGACAATAAAGTCATGTCCACATTTCTTTCAGATCTTCCACCGGACCCAGGTTCTAGTGCCTCATCTTCAGACAGCTCATTATATGTTGAGTATGTTGCTTGTTTATGTCTACAATTTAATTTTTTAAATAGATATTTTAAACTATTTTATCTCAGAAAATTAGCTTGTTTTTTTTTTAGGTAACTTATACAGTAAATTAATTTATTTTCACAATACTTTATTTCCCGCTAAGCCCTTTTTATTTGACGTCACAGCAATTTATTTTCAAGATTTTCTTGGATGTATTTATATATGGAAATTTATAACGATTTACATTCGCATTATTTTTCTACTCTCGAAAAATAAATTAGGTCTTTGAGTTAACAGTATCTTGAAAAATGTTAGCTTATCTCAATGCCAAAAATGATTTCATCATAGATATCATATTCATCAGTGTGGGTTATAGTTGAAGCTTTAATATTGTGTTTGGTTTGGTCACACTAATGTTTGCGGTGTGTTTGCATTCCTCAATTCCTTATTTTAATACTATTAACATGATTAATAGTACTAAGAAATTGTGCAATATGTGAGCAAATAAAATAGAATAGTTTTTTTTTCATCATGACAAATTAAAAAGAATCAGCAGCCTTACAAATTTGAATTTCTTTGAAACTTTAGCAATCTTGTCCTTCAAGAATTTTTTACTTGATGATAATTTTAATGTATTTAATATTTTTTAAAATTTAGGTAATTAGAGGAAACAAAACACTTACAAGTAAAATTGTTCTAAATCAGCAAAATGTTTTAACAGTGTTGTTAACTTAAGGCATCTCAATGATACTGACTTACATTTTCTAAAGCATCTACTGTCATGACTTTTTCAGCTATTGAATATTTTGTGTGAAATATATATAAATGAAATATTAATAAAGGATTGTTGAATTTTAAAATATTTCTCACACAGAAAATAGAATATGATGAATAAAAGGAATACTTTTGATAATATGGTTGGGTAATACCTATATTACCAAAAAAAGGGCAAATATTCTGACTCCAAAAATTACCTGATCCACAAAATAACAATTATTTTCTTCTTAAAATATAATTTTGCTTGAAGAAAACTTGGACATTCATGAAGGAATAAGATTTTGTTTGATTATTATTAAGGTTCACTGGTAATTTTTTCTTTAATTCTATACAAGACATAAAATTTTGAGTCTTCAGTGGGGTGGAAAGTTGTTTCCAAAAATGAAACAGGGACTGCTAGTTCTACTTCAATTTTGAAGAATAGACCAAAGAAAAATGTTCAAATGTTCTTAGATTAATAAATCGTGCTTCAACAAGATTTCACAAGACACGAGTCTGTATCATTACCATTAGAGATCTGCAATCCAGAACTCTTAAACCTGAGTTTTAACTTTCATTTTGAAAAGATGTGATTTTCCTTTCCAGTGCTGAAGAAAATGATAACAATGAGCTTGACAGTTTACCAGAAGACGAGGTGTTACCTTTTAATCCTGAGGAAGCAACAGATCCAGTAGAGGTCTAATATCAGAGTCATCAATCAAACTGTCTTCTGCTGAAAATTTACATTTTTATCTAGCTGCAAATTGTGATATACAGATCTTTTCAGAGAGATTATTGGTGCAAATTTTTCAGGGATTTTATTTTTGTAGCAAAAAGCTTTGACTGTGTACAAATATGATTAAACCTAGATCTTTGTTTACTCTCATTCACCAATTCATGCTAGGCTATGTTTTAAGAAAGAAGGGTGTTTGGAGATTAGGTTTATTAGATTGAATGTCTGCTGTACTTGTCATTGTTCTTAATATAACAATTGAATGACATTATTGTATTGTATCAGTCTTATTAAAATGACATTTTAGCTTGCCGTTCACTACACCTCAGGCACAAAGATCCCATATTGACTGGGTCACATTTCAATTACTCTAGGTCATGAATATTTGTTACAAAACATTAATTCAATCAAAACCCAGCTCTTAAATGAAAGTTCCACAAAATAATAAAGTTGATACTGTACCAGTAATTTCCCTTTTATAATCATATTTCCAAAAAGCTGGAAGCAGGAATATGATTGGCCAGTAAAGGTTCATTACCAGGAGTTGACATGTGACCCCCAGGAGGTTGTTGTAAGATGTTTGTGCTGATAGCCTTGTGAACAGTTTGTAATAAGATTGATATTATATAGTAAAGAAATTTCATACTGTAAAAGATCATTGAGGCTATTTTTAATGATTTGTGCAAATACCTTGTTCTCATGGATACTTTTAAGGTTTTAGGTTTTGATGTATCTATCAAATTAGGACGAAATAACATTTTATTGAATATCTACATAGTGTAGTCCTAGTAATCCACAAATGTACTGTAAATTCAGAAATTATTGTGTACGTTTATTATTGCGATTATTGAAGAATGAACAAAAATGCAAGTTTAATTATTGCAATTTTAGATAAAGCTTCATACATATTTATGTATCATATATCAGAATGCAAGTTATTATAGCAATACTCAAGGAGTTGCATTACTCACAGAAATAAAAACGTTGCAATAATTTCTGAATTTACAGTTTTAAAGTATTTCCTTAGAATACCAATTAGGCTGTATATCTTACTCATAAATAGTTAAATAATAACAATTCAGTGTGTCTTGCTGATATATATAACAGCTTAGCATCATATTCCATTTTCATCATGTTCGTCTGATATTTTATAACTATTCCCATCTACTTAATACTGACCATGTGCAGACACTTACCTTGCAAGGATCAAACAACTATCCTTTCTACTTTCAGTTTTGATAATTATTATGTTGTCAACTAATGAAACTTCAGCCTCCAAATTTTTGAAGGAGTTCACCATTATACTATTACTAACTGCTGAGGGATCCGAAAAAGGTCTTTACAACAGAAAGTGGCTTCCTAGACCAATTAAGGTGGTACATAACACTACAGGGAGATAACTCTGTAAAAATCAGCTGAACGTTTTAATCACGTTCTATTGTTAAGGAAATATTAAGCTTCTCAATGATCAAAATTAGGGTTTGTCAAACTGCTATATAACCAAAGAAATTTTTCTGATAAAGTGGTTGGTTCAAATTTTTTGAAATTTTTATATTTTTGTCAAAGGGTCAAAGTAAACATTTTGTCAAAATTTTAGGAAAATTAAACGAGCCAAATTAATGTTAGTCAAGGTGTTTGGTACCACCTTAAATATGGCTCCCATAGTATAGCCAAATTACATGAAAGTGGCATTAAATACCAACATGAGCAATCAATCACAACTGAAATTAAATAGAGCGTTATTAGATCCTTGTAAGCAAAGCTTGAATGCATATTAGTATTTTAATCAGATTGTTTTATATGAACTTTTTTCTTATAAGTTCAGCATGGATGAATCTCATCACTTTGTATCAAAGTACAACATTTTTGTTTTGTAGAAAAAAGATTTTTTTTAGAACTGACCGTATAAGAAATATTTTAGAAATGAGATAGTTATGTCTTTCATCAGAAGCCTAAGATGTTTCAGTTGTAAGAGTATTTTGTACATATATCTAGGGAAAAAAGGGTTTGACAAATAAAATAAATTTGCGCAAAATCATGGGTTTGTAGCTGTTAGTTACCTAAGTGTTTCTGACATGAAGACAATAATTCTAATTTTTGCCTGTCACCAATCATTTGATTTTCAATCTAAACTTTTTGTAAATCACAATTGTGATCAATGAAGTGTGCATGCCTCTTTATTTTGGGAGGGAACCCACCAAACTTTATTTTAAAGGGAGGATGGGAGAATTGGAAGGGGAGTTACACCTAGTAGAAAAAGGAGTTTGGATGGTATTAACACTAATTAGCTGACATTGAAATAACTTTTACAAAATTTTCTGATAAAAAGGATGTTTATGATTGTTTTGGGGGTCCAGGAACCATCCCTGTTTATTACAAAGTTGATATAGCATATCTATACATTAACAGTGGCGGATCCAGGGGTTGGGACCCCCCTTTTTTTTGACGATCAGTGCATTTGAATGGGGACATATAGTTGGAACCCCCCCTCCCTTTATCCTGGGTTAGGAACCCCCCCCCCCTTCCTTTTATAAATGGCTGGATCTGCCCCTGATTAATATTGTAGCTGATTAAATGAGCTCAATATTTATTTCACCATAGCTGTTTTCCAAAACTGTTTTAAAACTTTTAATCAATTTAAAGAAAATATTAATATGCTACCTAGTATTATTAGGTCTTTGTGATAAGAATATTAAAATGATATTTATACATTTTTAGGAAAATATATAATGAATTCATGGCATCATCTGGTGTCTTTAATGTTTTGTTGTGATAGATCAGTATTTTAGTAGATTTTAGTCGGTGAAACATTATAAGTGTCTTTTTATAAATTCATGTAAATAACAAGATTGTCATTTGAGAACATATTTTATATATTAGAGTCTATCTTATATTCATTTACATATCTGAAATTGAATGTGTATCCTGATTTTTTCAACGTTGAATTTGAATACACAAATTTTGTACATTTTTTTGCAATCTCCATGTAATATTACCATTTATAATAATATGATCAATTATTGTAATGTTACTTGTTGAAGTAGAATATAAGTACAATGAAATACTTTTATGAATATGCAAGAGGAAGCATAATAAATGCATGAATAATGTAAAGATGTTAAAAACATTGAAAAGACCAAGAAAACACTGATTGCCAATAGCAAAAATATTTGATTCTATACACATGAGAAAATCAGGATATCAGTTCAAATTATTAAAATCAAAATGTCAGATCTTATGAATTTTATTTTTGTGTATGTCTACAAAATTGTAAAACTTTACATGTGTACATACATTTTGCTAGCTTGTTTTTTTATGGTATTGGTTGTGTTTTTTAAAGGGTATATTTAAATGAAATACATACGCAATATTGTCAAGATATATTTTTAAGTTTTTCATGACATTCCATTACAGGAATCTAAACCAGAATTAATCATGTGATTATTTTTAAAGACCCAAATGTTCACTATGCAAGAAAAACATTAAAAAACTTCATAAATCTTCAATGTTGTAAAAAAAATTAAACAAATTCTGAAAGGCTTTTCCTTCTGGTGCCCAAGTATTTTCTAGTAACACCAAAGCAGTTTCCCTATGATAAATGCACCTCGTTGAAAACTAATTTTATTTAAAAAACCTATTCAGAATGCTCCATGGTACAATATATAAGGGTCTGCAGGGAATTTCAATAATGATATTTGTTCAACAGTTTGTCAGTTTCAATTTTTTTACTTGCAAATATTTGACTGCAATTTGATTATGGTCTGGCTAATTATTAATGCAGATTAAAGGTAAACTGATATTTTGCTTTGACCTATTTTCTATAAAAAGTTTAATTATAACATTGAAAAATTATTATCAAATTCCTGATCATTTTTGTATGATTGTATTATTATCACTCTTTCTCTCTAAAATTGAACCAGTAACAGATACAAAGTTGTTTTATTGAGATCAATTTTAGTGGCCAGGTGTTACAACATCTGCTAAACAATTATGTAAAACAGAAATTATCTCAATCTTATACTGAGTAGCCAAGAGTTTTAGTCTGTAATTCTGATTTTTAGGGGTATTTGTATTCAAAATGTAACTATCGCTTTTAATCTAACAAATGCACTTGCTGCTATAACCAGTTCTGATTTTTAATTGTAACTTAGTGTTTAAATCATATACAAAAAGAAAGATAATTGTTGTTGCTTATGTAACATCCAGTGTAAAAAAAGATAGAAATATAGCAATACTTTACTAGATACCACTGCTGGCACATAGCCCTCAAAAAAGCTTTTGTTCCCATTTAACTGTCCAGGTGCGGATCTAGGATTTTGAAAAAAGGGAGGCTCTGGCAAGACAGCTTGTTTAAAGGCTTTGCATTTATCTCATATAAAGGTCTATAAGTGTGAGGGGAAAACACCCCATCTTAAATCCACCTCTGCTGTAAATTCATAAATTTTACATTTATTATTGCTAATGTTGAACAATGTTAAAAAGATGCAAGATTAAGGGATCAACCATTTAACTTCCAAGGGGGTTTATGTTTTTTTTGTCTGATTCAGAATATTTTTTTTGTCATCTGCTTGACCACAATATTTTTTTTCATCAAATTGGGGATCAGAATATTTTTTTAGGAAAAAACCATAACACGTTTTTATAGTTGAGACACCTATCCCATTGCAATTCTCACAATAATAAAAACAATACAAATGTTTCTGAATTTACAATACTTGTTTTTCACTATGCATTTTGTTATCGAGTTACTTCACACTTCAGGGATTTCTTCTTGTTTTATAAATTGTTGTACATGTACGTTTTTAAATGAATGTTTAAAGGTTGTGTTATTTTTACATGGTTTTCTTTTACTTGTTTACATTATCAGGTAAAACATTTTAAAACCTTAACTTTTACATATCAATACTTGTTCTCTATCTTTGTGCAACAGTGGTGCTAAATTTGATTTTTTATTCTGTAAACCATAACTTTCATAAACAGCTGTCAGCTTTGCAATAATAAAATGTGTAACCAAATAATATTGGCAATTAACAATTTCTTTTTTTGGAAACACCTTGTATTGTTTCAAACTTTTATGTATGTCATACTTCCAGCAAAATGGTCCAACCTTAGGAAGCTACCATTTTATTTTTAGGGGGGGGGGGGGGGGGGGGGGGGGGGGGGGGGGGCTAGGATGAAATTTGAAAAAAAAAGGCAGGATAGTTTTGAGTAAAAAAAAAGGCAGGATGAGCATCTTCAAAAAAAAAAGCAGGATAACAATTTAGGTAAAAAAAGGCAGGACCGAATAGAGTGAAAAACAAAAAGGCAGGACAGATTACAACTTAAAAAAAAATGCAGGACAAAATTTTTCATCCTAGCCCCCATAAAAATCAAATGGTAGCTCCCTTATATAAATTGTATTGCAAATAGGTCAGATGAATTTTTAATTCATTAAGTCAGAGCAAAGGTAGTTGCTGATCTTGAAACTGCTGGTGAAAATTTTACCTATATTTTTATCCATTCGACTAATGTTGGTGTCATAAACTTATCATAAAAACTTTACACAAAATATACTTTTATAATGACGAGTTCAAAGGAAATATTTATAACAGTTATAATTGATTTTATTGTAAATATTTATGAAGTTATGTTGCTTAAGAGTACTGACTGAATCTCTTATTTCAATATTATGAATAAAAGGTGATGTGGGGTATGCATCAATGAGACAGCAACCCAGTGACAAAAACATACCATCTTCAACAATAGACTGAGGTCTGTACAATGTACAATATCACATAAAAAGGGCAACAGGAATTACCAATGAAATTGGACAGTTCAACACACCACACCTACCATCAATCCTCAACTCATCTGAAAAAATAGTTGTTCTAACAAAAACAATAAATTGCTTCACCGAGCGCAGCTGGATACGACCGCAGAGGTCCAACCCTGAACAGTTGGGGCAAAAATGGACACAATATTCGTGCTTGATACAGGTCTGAATTTGGATTGTAATTCAATATTTGACACATAATAGGTTTCTGACACAGAATAACTGTAATCAAAGAACTTAGAATTGGTTATGATTTGAATTTATATTCAATTTTTTGCTTTTGTGCAATACACTATGCTGTTGCGAATTCCTAATTCCTAAACGGTTTGAGCCAAAACACCCCAAAGCCAATCCTAACCATCCCTTTGTGGTATAATTTGAGAGAGATCCATACACCGTTCCACAAGTTATTGTCTGGAAAGTAGAAAAATGCTTATTTGGGCCCCTAATTCCTAAACTGTTGGGACCATAACCCCCAAAATCAATCCCAACCTTCCTTTTGTGCTTATAAACCTTGTGTTTAAATTTCATAGATTTCTATTTACAAATACTAAAGTTATTGTCTGGAAACCAAATGTCTTCGGACGACGACATTATACCAATATACGACCGCAAAATTTTTTGAGGTCGTATAAAAAGCAACGAACACACATTCCCAATAGCCTGACTTGGTACATGCACAAAATTTGTCTTTCTGAAAATAAAATAAAAATCGTATTCCCATAGCAACATTTCAAACCCAATCGGATTAGAATACAGATCTGACACAGGATTTATATTTCAATTAAAGTTTCAAACACAATTTTACACAAAACTCCCATACACTCTTGTTCTCATCGCTTGCCAAATTAAGAGGGAAAAAAGAACATTGTATGGTCATACTGTTTTTTATTTGTTTCATTATAGATATAAACCAGAATATTTTCCTGTGAATTTATAATTACCGGTAGTAGCATCCTTGTGGAGAACTTGCCGAACATAGAAGTTTTTCTCAGTGTTTAAAGCCTTCAAGGGGAGGTAAATTTTTGCCTCTAGATTCAGCATAACTATAATTAATGCAACACCAACTAAATATTAAAAGGAAACTGTAACCTTCAGCAAATCAGATGAGCAGCACAATTTATTAAAAATTAAAGAACAAAAGGAGATTATTTAGTTTTATCTTACATTTGCACAACAATGGACAAAGATTAAATATTGAAAATTGGGGTTGATACCAACATGTATCGCTTTGTTGTACATTGATTGATGAACATTAAAGTAAGTCCTATTTTACCAAAAAGGAGACTCCCAGTCCATTGCCTCACTTCTTCAGTGAAAGCTATGCCACTGTTTCCATTTCATCTTTGTTCAATCATTTATTTATCTCTTATCCTAACAGCAAGGCTTTTTTGCCAAAAAAAATCCAGGAATTCACCAGGACATTAATCTATTTTTAATGGTGGCCGTGGATATCCCAAGACATACTCTAAGTTATCCATAAAAATTTGGAAGTTATGAATTGTTTTTCTTACATTACAATCCAAAGAATTCGGTCATGGTCCAATAGTAACTTTGTAAGTTAATCATACAAAAAAATTCCCAACCGTCACTAAATTTCTAAGTCTTCTCATACAGGCAATATTCTGAATTAGACTCTGAATTGCTAAAGAAAAGCTTGAATTTTAGAACAAGCTTAAATGAATAAATGGTTTAATAAATCAAATTTAATGCACTTTAGTATTATTGATAAACATTATTTTGCTATACCTTATTTACGCCTTTCTGAGCCATTTTGGATTTATTTATTTTCCAATTTTTAGCAGTTGGCTGTTAAATTATGAACACAATAGGAACTCCATTAATAAGTGTAAATGCAAAAAGGAGCTGCAAAAGATGTATCCAACCTGAAAATTGGAGAAAAATTTGTTTCCCTTTTGAGTAATAATGCCCCTGAAAAAAAAATGTTTTCCAATTTTGGCATTTTGGGCTGTTATTTTGAAAACTATAGGAGCTAAAGTGTCAACTGCAAAAATTGTCAGCATGAAAAGATCTATCTACCAATACTCAGTTTTTGGCTGTTATTGTGAAAGATATAAGAGCTAGGTTAAAAGTTTTAATGCAAAAATTATCAGCACAAGAAGACCTATTATAACCTTGAAAGTTTTGGAGAAAATGTCCCTGAAATGATGATTTTTGTCTCGCCTGTGACTTGTCACAGAAAGTGAGACGTATTTAGAGATATTGATCTGCCGGCAGTGTGAACTAATTACTTAAAGCTTAATTTTTCACAAGGTAGCTCTAAGACCTGGAAGCTTCATACTTTGTATATAGATGCCTTATGTTATGAAAGTTCTGTCTGTCATAAGTCCATTGTTCTTGACCTCATTTTCATGGTTCAGTGACTACTTGAAACAAAAGTTAAGATTTATAATAAGCAATAGGTCTACTAAATTTAGTGTATATGATTGTAAAGTGAACATTTCCAACTAGCAGGTCTCATCTGACCTTGACCTCTTTCTCATGGTTCATTGGTCAATGATAAGTTTTCGTTAAGACTATAAGGGAGCTAGCATTTGATTTTTATGGGGGGGGGGGGGGGGGGGCAGAAAAAAAGGCAGAACAGGAGTTTTGAGTAAAAAAAAGGCAGGATGAGCAACTAGGCAAAATAAAAAGTAGGATGACAATTTATGTAAAAAAAAGTCAGGATAAACTAATAAAAAAAAAAGGCAGGACTGAATAGAGTGAAAAATAAAATGGCAGGACAGAGATTACAACTAAAAAAAATGCAAGACAAAATTTTTCATCCTAGCTGCCCACCATAAAAATCAAATGGTAGCTCCCTAAAGTATCAATGTTAATCATAAATTGCAAAAAGGATCAGCAACACAAAGAGCAGTGGCGGGGGTTTCCAACCTCCCTTTTTTTACGATCAATACTTTTGAATGGGGACATATGAATGGAAACCGCCTTTTTTTATGGTTGGAACCCCCCCCCCCTTTTTTAAAAATGGCTGAATCCTCCCCTGAAGAGTAACATGTATGTGCATATAAAAGTCAAAATAAGCAAACAGTTGCAGAAGATTTTTCACACAAGGTGAGCACGACCGGGGGGGGGGGGGGGGGGGGGGGGGGGGTTGGGGAGGATTTTGAAAATAAATATCCTAGAGTGGTAGGAGCTCACTTCATACAAAATACTGTCAAAAATAGTAATCTTTATTTCTTTTTCAATGCTACATGTTTGTATTGTTTAATGTCTATCGTTTTGTCATTTATGTGTCTGTCTGTCTGTTTGTTTTTGTTTGGTTTTTTTTATTTAGTAACAATCCTTTTATTTGGATTTAAAACTAATGAAATTCTTATTCTTACAAAAGGGCAAAGTGTTGGCGGCACAGCTGAGGAAAAATTAAATAAGCACATATAGCAACAAATGAAAAGTCAATCTGCAAAAAATCATCTTGCCCTCTGACCGGAGTATCAAATGGTTGTCCCCTATTAAAAACAGACAACACAATTGTCAAATATAGTTTAATAAAAGAAAGAAAAATACTAAGAAACCAAAAGATTGAATGAGAAGGATGAATTCAAATCAAAAGCTTTATTTAAAGTCGGCATGTCACAAAACAAAAGCTCGTTGAACTTTTACAGTTAAGATAGTGGGAACTCTGTAGCCTTGAAAATAGAACTTGGATTTAGCGAATACTTTCTCAGACAAGGGTGTACGATCATTCAGTACAGAGGTACTCATTCTATTCCACAAAACACGAGAGCCCGTCAAAAGACTGGGAAGCATTTTGTGCAACAGAACAATAGTCTGCCCATCGCATTCGCCTTATTGTCATCATTGCAAGATAGATAGGAAACTAGGCAATGATTCCATTCTTCCAGAAACTTCTCAGTTTGAAAACTATTTGTAATCATGGCATGAAGTTGCACCCCACGAAGTGAAGTTTTAACCTTGCAACAACACAACTCAATCGCGCCGTTTTGTCCTCACCGAAGCTGTACACCAGAAGTATTTCCACATTGCTTAGTTCCTGTGAAATTAAAGAAGAATAAGGAAAGGATTAGGAAAGGGAATTTAGGAAGAAACAGAAGAGACAAATGTAGAAAAGATTCAAGAAAACAGCGAGAATACAGAGCAGCATGTTTCCATGCCAGATGAGAGGAAAAGGAATGATGTGCCGCATTTGCGCATGTGCTTGGTCGATCACATCCGGTGATCATAGAAAATGTATCTAGATTATTTTACCTGGAAGTTATTTTAACTCCTCCGCATGAACGAAACACTTTTCTGGATTGGCCACCAGGAACACCCAAACCCACACATTTGATATCCAAGGATGTGAAGGACACACAAAGAGCTAAATGACAATAATAAAATAACCAAATTCATCCGTATGGTCAGACATGTATTATATGTCTGAGGGGGTGGACAGCTTTTGAGGGAGGTGGGAGGAGGAATGTGGGAGACAAAAATAGGTGGGAGAGAAAAAACGATTCTAAAAGTGGGAGGTGGGGGATAGGGGCGGGAGTTGAGAGAAGGGTACCCCCTGTCCACCCCTCATGTCTCTGGTATCATATAGTCAAGGGTTTGTATAGTGAGACTATACAGATCCTTGGTATGGTCAACTTTGCCTGAGTGACAAGGAGGTTGCATGGATCCTTAATTTCTTAATAAAGTTGTTTTTTTAGTATGGATTGTAATATAAATGAGGGATGAAACATATGTCCAAATACTGTACCCAAGTGCCTGTGTCAAGGATGGCATGATTAGACCTAAACACGCGCGAAGAGCTGTCAAAAGGGACATACAAATACTGCCCCCTCGGAGTCAAATTCATCTTGGGTCAGCCTTGTTTTAGGGAGTTGAAATCTTTGTTACTTAATAATTTCTTAATTTATCAACGGAGATATTTATAAATAACTTGTTAAAATTCACGTAAAAAAAAACAAGCATTCATTACTGAGTTGACTCAATATGTTTACGTTGAACTGACCCTCGGGGACTAACAGTACACCAGCAGTGTTATCGCCGCCGGACCTAGTGCTAGTAAATATTAATTCTAATTAATTGATAAAAAACAAATAAAAGTAATAGACAGCGTCTTCCATAAGCAAGATTCCGGATAATTTTAAAACAAAAAAAAAATCGAAGAAAGAAAGAAACAAATAAAGACTAAACGGAAACTGCCTCAGAAAATGATAAAGTTGCCAATTAAAATGACAAGTCGAAAAAAAAAACAGCAAAGAAACTACATCCCGACGTTGAAAGGCCAGTCTCCACTGAAAACTAAAGTATGAATTAAGCAACACAAACCAGAGGACCACCAAATGTTGGGTTTAAACAAGAGGCGCAAGATATCACGGGGACATTAAAATAAAGGAATTCACTATGGTGCAACGGAATTGGTTACCGGTTCCTGCTCCATCTATCAAAAATATAAATTCGGTATGACATTTTTGCATGTTCAATCTCCTTATGGAAATGTCCGAGATTAGAAAATACAGATTTCGTTTGATTTCAGTATCTAATTTTCAGTTTTCTTTAAATCTAAAGTAGTATTAAAGAACTGGAATTGGCCGAGCCAAGGATTTGTATAGTCTTACTATACATATTTTGGCGGAGCATAAATTACAACTAGATTAAGAGTTTAAGTGGGCATCTTTTCTATGTCATTTGGTCTCTTGTATAGAGATTTGTCTCAAAGGCAATCATACCATATCTTCTTATTTTAACATAAGTATTTATATAAATGTACATTAAAACCTGTCTTAACATTGGCGTTTGGGTGAGCGAATACCGTCTGGAAACTACTGTTGCTGCGTTTGATGCACAATTCTGAATTAACCATCAATTACCCGTAACGCCAGCCCGTAAACAATTCCCGTTCTTAAATAGTTACAAAATAGTTCTAAGGACAGAAACTAACCGGACGAATGTAAAAATTAATAATGACAAAAGTCACAATTATTTTTTTTACATAGGAACAATTTTTGAAATAATTTCTTTTTTTTTATAAATTTATGCTTCTCGGTTGAGGCAGTTGTTGATTACCATTGTTAATTGATCTAAAATGAAGATTTTCCAAATTTCAATACGACTTTTCTTTAATTTTTGTCTGTGACTATTAATTTTGGCCAGCGACTTTCTCTCCTACATTCATAAATATCACATTCTTCATGTGCTTGTCACAACGCAATGAACCTGTAGTCCAGAGGTTGTAGTCTGGCTGCCATGATTGTTTTTAGCTTTATGTTGTTTGCAGTGGCGGATCCAGAAATGTTCATAAGAGGGGGCCCACTGACTGTCTAAGTGGGGCCCGCTCAAGTCATGCTTCAGTGATTTCCTATATATTCAACCAAATTTTTCCCACAAAAGGGGGGGGGGGGGCGGCCCCCCTGTGCCCCCTAAATCCGCCTCTGGTTTGCTGAATATGGACCGTTGTTTTTTTTTTTTATTTTACACATGTTATTAAATTCTGGGACCACGTTTAATAAATAAATGATAATATAAAATATAATAGTTTTATTATAACGCACCCCTCCAAAAAAATAATTACAAAAGAACAGAAACGAAAGACATAGTGTTTTACCGATTTACCGATGTTCTTAATTTGTCAATCCATTTGAATATATACAAACCATTGCCTAGAATGAAATAGAAGTCTTGTTCTTTTATAAGTGGGAAATCTAGTAACAAAAAATTACCTCTCCTGTAAACAACGAAACCTAGACCTTTTCAATGTTTCAACGGTCACAGTTAAGCAAGGACGCTATCAGTTATAAATTCACGGGAAAACGTTCTGGTATATAGTAAAATAGAAGTAAGTTGAAATAAAAACGAAATTTCATTTAATGTTATCATTTCCCTCCGTAAGTAGCAAACGACAAGTACAGCAGGCTATCGGAGCTTGATGTAAAACTGGTTTAAAATGTTGCTATATGCGAATAAATTCCTGGAGTACCAACTTCAATTTATTGTTCTACTGGCTGTATATATACCTCTCTGGAACATGCTAATTATCCGCATATATATATGCAGCTAGATCAGAGAAAGTCCAGGTAAAAATTCCAATGGAATCGATTAATACGCAGCAAAGATTAACACTCTTGAAATTGAGTTACTAAGCAAATTCAAACGGACCTTATCCTGATGTGAACATTAAATGTGAACAGATTGAGAAGACCGCAAATACATGTACAAAAATCGAGACGGAACTTTTCTTAAAATTGTATAAAAAATTGCAAAAAAGATACCTACTTTATAAAAATATTTAACTTTATTATTTTTAACCTGCACAGACAAACTTTTAAATTGTTATTTTCACGAAAAGACAATATTTCTATATTGATTGAATGTTCATGTGACAATGGCAGACAGGGGTACTCGAAAAATACGATGTTAAAAATAAATTTATTTCGGGAAATTGTATTAAACATGCTAAGAACTTTGTGGAACACTCCGAAAATTGGTGACCTGAAAGATCTTTAGATTTTGTATGTTCATAATGAGTCCATAATGTTTTCAATTTTTTTTATCAATATGCAGCAAAAATTAACATTTTTTAGATTGCAGTTTCACAAGCTTCTAATGCTATCATCTCGATAAATACTTCAAACATAAAACGTCGTGCATTTGCATGTATATTTCTAATAACACAGTTTAACAAATAGTTTCTTTAAAATGTACAATTGTTATCTAGAAATAACTTTTGATCAGTATTGTTTTATTATTGGTTTTCTCGACTCTATCATAAGAAGAGTGAGTTTTTTCTTTTGTTCTTGTTCACTAGATTTCCCTCTGCTATGTTTAATGTTTAGTGGATTAAATGCTTTCATAGCTCGGACGTCGTCGAAGACACTAGGGATAATTTGTCTGTAGTTATTTTCTGTTTTCACCGCAAATAACCTCTTGTGAATTAACCTTGGCATTGATTGGTCATTAAAAGGTCATAGGTAAGATCACAAACCAATCAAAACAATAAACCCACAGTCTTATTGAGACGATGTGCAAAATGGCAGTCAGTATAAATACAAATGCCGCGGAGACGAGCAGAGTGGACATTAAAGCGGAAATAATTATTATTCATTTATTATTTTTGTTGCAAAGTTGCTTTTACCCCTTCTGTAGTAATTTCCACGCTTCAAGCGTTGATGTCAGCTTTCGATTTTCAACTTTGAAAGTTTTTAAAACTAAGGATTTGTGTATATTTTGGAAAAGTTTGAAGCTTGTGAAGAAAACCTATTATCTGTTTCTTCGCCATATTTGTCTGCATGGCAAAGCAAAACGAAGGAATATGAATAATGAAAGAAATTGAGATCAATTGAAAATGACAACCAGGTAAAATAAACACATATGCAATGAAATATGGGAAAGGGGGGACGTTAACTACATCGTAAAGGAGATATATATATAAACAAGTGCATACAAAATCTGGATCAGCTGACTACACACATTTCCCACATAATGCAATGCTTATATCATTAAAGTAGCAAAATGAGTTCAGCCCTACAAGCTCAACTGTTGTAAATTTAGCTCAATAGGGTCTAGAACACTTGTGTGGCAAGGAAGAGGGTTGTGAAGGGAGGTATATGCACAGACAAACAGGAAAACTAGTGAATGTAAAGTTTGATAAATAGCTTACACTATTATGTTTTGTTAACAAATTAAATTGCACGAAACACCATGAAGAAAGAATTTCAAGCACAAAAACACGTCAAATTAAAATTGCAAATATGTTGCACAAATTATCCCATTACCACAGGTCTCACTAATTAGCCGCTAGCAGCAGGGAGCATAAATTAATGACAAGAAGACTAATTTAGCGCCAAGAAATGTTAATATTAATTATTTTTAAATAAATAAATATAGAAACCTGCATTAAAGGCTGGCTTTTTTTTAATTTAGTGTATTTTCATAACTTTACTAATCTGAGGAGTTGGCAGGGTTGACAAATTAAAGATAATCTTATCTTTATTTATTTCAGACACAAAAGGACCATATATATGCATGACACAAATTATTCTGTGTATTCTTATCTTGAAATAATGTAACATATTTTTTCACTAAAATTCCATTACTGTAGCTGCTACTAAGTAAAACAAAATTTGAAACTTTATGAAACAACAATAATCAGCTGTAATTAATTATCTTTTTCAATTAATTGATTGCTTTGATCATGTTGATAGTAAATAAACTTTCTTGTCGCTAAAATTGTTTTTTCTTGCTAATTTTTTCTTCTTGTCGCTATTTTTTTCCTTCTACATTTTTTTTCTTAAAGCTTCTTGACACTTTCTGTCCCTTTTTTTTTTTTTTTTTTCTAATTAGCGAGACTGCATTACCGACAAGCTAGGAATTGAGCCTTCATTACAAAGCTCTAGATAACTCTCCGGAAAGGCATTTAACACGGACAATACAACAAATATGTAACGGCAATGTATAATGATAATATTGCCACATGCCTTGAATACAAAGATCTCGTATCGGGTGTGGGTCAATGTATATGTTAAAATATGTATAATTTATATACATTACAGTACTGAATAACAATTTACAAAATGTTGGTAAACAATGAGACACTTTTAAAAAGCTTTTTTATTCATACAAAATGGTTTTAATAACTTGTTCCAGATTAGATCGGTTGTTCCTACTCTTGGATACTGGATCAACACCTTTGATAAGAAAATCAGCTGCTGAACAGCTTGGTGAGGTCCAGAAATTACACCCTTATGAACTGAACAATCTTTTATCAAAGGTAATTTTATTCTATGAAAGATTTCTGTATTTGATAACCAAGTTCCACAGCCACTTGTCTCTGATTTTTTTTACCTTTAAACATTTAATAGGTACCTTAAAGTACCTTAATATATTTTTTCAGAGACAAGTGCCTGTGTCAAATTCTTTAAATTATGCAACTATAAATACACTTGTAATAGATGGTTTTGAAGCTAGATGTATGAAACGATACATGAGAGAAGGATATTTAAGTCAATATAATTTTATTAGAGTAGTGTCCCTTTGGACTAAACATTTTTGACATTCAGGGATGCTTGTAGGTGGTCATTGTGTAAAGAAATATTTATTGACTAAACTTTTGGCTAGTAATTACAAGACTTTTCCCAGAAACTGAATATGTTTCTAGGTTGATGTATTTGAAAACTTTGTATACATATTTCCATGTTGGTAGGATGATCAGCACAGTTAAAAATTTCAGATTTATTTCTCCTTTAGCTTTAAAGTTTGACCATCTTTAGACCTAACTTTGTAATTGCATCTCCACTTACTGGTCAAAGGTTGGTCAACTTGAAATTTAGTATGAGTTCTGACCTCACTTTGTAATTGCATCTCCACTTACTGGTCAAAGGTTATTGAATCAACTTGAAATTTTGTATGAATTCCATTTGTAACCATGGTATCCTAAATATGTTGATTGGATATTCCAGTCTGTAGTATTTATCAACTTTTATGTCACATTTGGTAAGGAAACCTTAAAATTGAAAAAATAAAATAAACCAGTCCCAATTTATTTTGATGTGATTTTGACAGGAAGTTTTCAAAATCACCAGTAACAGATGCTTCTTCAACCTGTATTTTTCTTAACATAAAACAAGATATAAAGATATCACAATTTTTCTGGGTATAGTACATGTATGTGCCACTAGTTGGGTGTTGACTGATAATGTGGAAAAAGTCTTGAGAAGTGTAAAAAAATTAAAAGATGGACTTCTTCGAACTGTTTTATAATTCTTTTGCCAAAGTTTTTCTCCAATGATGATTTTTTTTGGCTAGAATTTTATTTTTTCTCAAAAATGCGAAAATGGTGACCATCACCGCGAACCCTGCTTTCCTGTCATAGATTGAGCCTTATCATGTATATATCTTTGATCCCTTTTTAATCAAAATGTTCATGTTAACAATGATAATGAGAAACATGTATCAATCTAAAAACTTTCAAATGACTTTGGAAACTGTTTTGACATTAGTAGGAAAAACTCAAAATGTAAATATATATGTAGCCTTTGTTAGTCTTGTATGTTTTTGTTAATTTTAGTTCATTTATATGATTCATAGTTTATTGTGACGTCCATTTTCACTGAACTAGTACACATTTTTGTTAAGGGATCAGCTGAAGCCTGCCTCCGGGTGCAGGATTTTCTTGCTGTGTTGAAGACCCATTGGTGGCCTTGGGCTGTTTTCTGCTCTTTGGTCGAGTTGTTGTCTCTTTGACACACTTCCCATTTCCATTCTCAATTTTATATTCCTGTAATTTGAGTATTTTCATGAACGTTTTAATTCTTTTTTACTCCCAATTTTTAGGTTCATGGATACTTATGTAGCCAAAGTTGGGAAACCAGAATTGCCGCAGGGCAGGCAGTTGAAGCAATATGTAGGAATGTGCCAAAATTTGAACCCAAAATATGTATTAAGCAAGGTGAGGGCTATTCCATTATCATGATTATGATCATTGATAATGGGTGTCAGAGGGTAAAAGGGAAGTTAAATTTTTGGACATGGGATGATGATAATTAATGGTAAAAGCAAGTATGTTGTTTGTGCCTAATCCTACCCGGCCACATTTACTTTAGTGGAATATTTATTAAGTTATAGGTCACCATACTTGTCATTGTAAAAATAAGATGTGGTATAATTGACAATGAGACAACTCTCCACCAAAGACCAAATGACCTAGAAGTTAATAACTATAGGTCACAGCACGGCCTTTAACAATGAGCAAAAACCATACAGCATGGCAAGCTATACAAGGCCCTGAAATGAAAAATGTAAATTAGAATGGTTAAATGAAGATTTGAGTCAAAAAAAAGTTTTATAGCTTTAGAATCTCTACAAAATTATATCATGTTAAATATAGCTTAATTTACTTTTGTAAAAACTATTTTTTTATATTTATTTTAGAGTCCTTAGAACCTGCCACTTCAGAAGTTACAGGGAAGTTGCTGTTTTCTCAGTTTGATCTCAGGAAAGTTCTTGTTCATGGAACTTCATTACTTAGCACCGAAGAAAAACAGTTTGAACTTGGAGAAGAATTTTCTGGTATGATTAAGAGTCTGTCTTCCTAAATGACAGTATAGTAGTGTTGTGAAGAGGAAGAGGGACAAACAGGCTATTGGGAGATAAAAAAGGGGGAAATATAAAAGAGAAAAGTTTTGTTGTAAAAATGAAGATTCACAGAATAATAGATTGATGGAGTATAGGTGACAAAGGGGTAGACAAAAGAAAGAAGCAGAGTCGAATTTGGATCTGGTTGACACTTTTTGAAATTTTATACAGAGTAAACAACATTTAATTTTTTCATGTTGGAAGTTGTACTCATGTAAGAAGTATACTTCCCCACAAAATATGGGAGATAACTTGCTTAATTTTTATATACAAATTGCAAAACATTCTTTACAACAAATTTAGTTTGGATAAAACATAAGGCCTGCAAAACTAGTGTTCATATTATTTGTTATCTCAGGTAATATTGTTGCTTAGTTAAGTATATTTATTTTAACCTTATTTATAAAACTTTTACTAGATTTTTCTTAAACTAACACAAAATGAAGACTTTAATTGGCAAAAATCCTTTATACAGAAATATGTAAGACTGCCCTACTTAAAATTTAGCTCGCATAATTTTGGTGAGTCTCATAATTTATAGATTGAAACTTGGTTGGAAAATGTGGTAAGTTTTACCATTGTGAGAATCTTTTTTTGAAAGTTAGGATGAATCGGGAAAGCCTTGTATTAAAACAGTAATGAAATTACAAAACTGAAAAATTTGGAAAATAAAATTGAGAATGGAAATGGAGAATATGTCAAAGAGACAACAACCTGACCAAAGAGCAGACAACAGTCGAAGGCCACCAATGGGTCTTCAACGCAGCGAGAAAATCACATCTCATTGAACATGTTGAAGCAAGCTGAATGGATATTTATGCATCCATTTCAACAGTAGCAATGATTTAATGACTAATGTATTGATATATTATTATATGATAATTATAGTTTAATATTTGAATATGTATTCCATTAAATTGAATGTTTTCTATTGATTTTACTTTAGGATTAGATGATAAAGAGAAACTAAGTAGACAACGACAGATGTTAAACAAGAAACTAGGTTTAGATATGGCGGGAAGCTTGAAATTAGGTCTTGATGGGGATTTATTTTCGGACGAGGATCTTAAATCTGGATTAAGCACATCTTGTGACAATACAATTAAACAAGAAAAGGTATTTATAAACAGTTTTTAAGTAGATAATGGTCATTTTGGTATTGATTTATTGAACACAATTCTGCAACATGAAAAGCTTATGATTTTTATATGACCGCAAAATTTTTTTTGCGGTCGTATATTGGTATGACGTTGGCGTCGTCGTCCAAAGACACATTGGTTTTCGCACTCTAACTTAAGTTTAAGTGAATGGATCTCTATGAAATTTTACCATAAGGTTCAATACCACAAAAGGAAGGTTGGGATTGATTTTGGGGGTTATGGTACCAACAGTTAAGGAATTAGGGGCCAAAAATAAGCATTTTTGTAACTTCCAGACAATAACTTGTGTGTAAGTGTTTGGATATTTCTGAAATTGTACTTCAAGGTTCCATATCACAAAGGGAAAGCTGGAATTGAGTTTGGGGGTAATTGCCCGAAACATTTAGGAATTGGGGGCCATAAAGGGGCCAAAAATAAGCATTTTTCTAGTTTCCAGACAATAACTTGTGTTCAAGTGTATGGATCTCTCTGAAATTGTACTGCAAGGTACCATACCACAAAGGGAAGGCTGGGATTGAGTTTGGGGGTAATGAATCATAAGGGGGTTCAAAAAATCTGGGGGGGGGATTTTTTTTTTTTTTCCTTTTTTTTTCTTTTAAAATTTTCCATTTTAAGTTGGTTATTTCTGATTTATATTTAAAAGCAAATAATAATGATATGGTAGGAGATACACACCAAACAGGATGTGTAAATTATTATATAATAAGTATTGTGCAATAGCAAGAAATTTTCAATTGCACAGTATTGCGCAATAGCAAGAAATATCCAATAGCACAATATTGCGCAATAGCAAGAAATTGTCAATTGTACAGTATTGCGCAATAGCAAGAAATATTCAATTGCACAGTATTGTGCAAAAGATGATACTTTGTATAAATTGCTTATTTCTTGACCAATTTCAATGAATTCTTGGGGTTCTTTAATATGCTGAATCTAACCGTGTATTAAGTTTTTGGATTTTGGGCCCTGTTTTTAAATTGGTCCACATTGAGGTCCAAAGGGTCCAAAATTAAACTTTGTTTGATTTCATCAAAAATTGAATTATTGGGGTTCTTTGATATGCCGAATCTAACCGTGTATTTAGATTCTTAATTTTTGGTTCCGTTTTCAAATTGGTCTACATTAAGGTCCAAAGGGTCCAAAATTAAACTTAGTTTGATTTTAACAAAAATTGAATTCTTAGGGTTCTTTGATAGGCTGAATCTAAACATGTATTTAGATTTTTTATTATGGGCCCAGTTTTCAAGTTTGTCCAAATCGGGGTCCAAAATTAAACTTTGTTTGATTTCAACAAAAATTGAATATATGGGGTTCTTTGATATGCTGAATCTAACCATGTATTTAGATTTTTGATTTTTGGGCCCCGTTATCTACTTTGTCCACATTGAGGTCAAAAGGGTCCAAAATTAAACTTTGTTTGATTTCATCAAAAATTGAATTCTTGGGGTTCTTTGATATGCTGAATCTAACCATGTATTTAGATTTTGGATATTGGACCATAATAGGTGAATGTCCAATTTAAAATTTTTAAGTTCTTAGACCACATTCTTTCTGTGTCAGAAACCTATGCTGTGTCAAATATTTAATCACAATCCAAATTCAGAGCTGTATCAAGCTTGAATGTTGTGTCCATACTTACCCCAACTGTTCAGGGTTCGACCTCTGCGTTCGAATCAAGCTGTGCCCTGCGGAGCATTTTATTTATTAATGATAGCAGTTAATGCACTTTTATTTATTATACTTGAGACTCAGAGCAAATAGGATAAATTGCTTTGACTGCATGTGTGTCTGAAACAAATGTTCTGGATGATAACTTTTGCTTTCTTTCTTTGCTTGATTGATATGCAATTTATAAAGAAGGAAGATGTAGGAAAGCGGAAAGCGCATATTGCTTGTATTGGTTTGGGGTCAAAGGTCAAAATCACAGTTAATAGAATGGAAAAGTTTAGAAATATGCTCTCCAGATGGTAGCTTATGTTTCCCTTGCTTCTACAGATGGAAGATATATTAAAGGGGAATAAGATAGTTGATTCTGGGATCAAAAGTCAAGGTCACAGTTACTAAAATTTAAGAGAAAACTTGCTTTTTATCCAGTGAAAAATATTTTATGCTTATTTTTTATGCCCCACCTATGATAGTAGAGGGGCATTATGTTATTCGGTCTGTGCATCCTTTCGTCCATCGGTTTGTCTGTCTGTCTGTGCCGCTTCAGGTTAGAGTTTTTGGTCAAGGTAGTTTTTGATGAAGTTGAAGTCCAATTAACTTGAAATTTAGTACTAATGTTCCCTATGATAAGATCTTTCTAATTTTTATGCCAAATTTGAGTTTTGACCCCAATTTCACGGTCCACTGCACATAGAAAATGATAGTGCGAGTGGAGCATCTGTGTACTATGCACATAGAAAATGATAGTGCGAGTGGGGCATCTGTGTACCATGCACACATTCTTGTTTATGATAAATTGCATTTCTGCATAAAGATTTGCTAATTACGATAAAAATCTAGACAGATCATTTGCAATCCCAAGAATTGCCTAAGGTTTTCATTAAGAAAAATTAAATATATAGAATTACCTGGGTGTTATCACTGGTTATCAGATTATTATAAACTACCAGCAGTCAGCATGGTAAATATTGATTCACTAAACACCAACCCAGCACCTTTACTTATGTTAGTTGCAGATTCAGGTTGAGATGTAGAAGACAAAAGCCTCTTTTGATAGGAAAACATATTATTTTTGACCCTAAGGCCAAATAAATATATATCTGTGGTTCCAGTTACCCAACCGACCCTAGTTTAAACCCCCTGATCCTAGAACTTTTTTTCCATTTCTGAAAAATAAACTGTGAGAGATCCAATTTTGTGGAATGTGAATTTCAATAATTAAATTCACAGACTTCTGTCATCTGAATTTCGATTTATAAAAGTATCCACTACGGATAAAAATGCGACAGATTCTTAACAGAATGCAACGAAATTAACTAAAAACTTAACATGTGTGTTTGTTTTACAACAAAACGTATACATGATATAGAAAATGGTGAACTTCCGGTAGGGGCGTGTATAACACCGGAATCAAACGCGGTGAACATACAATTTATTGGTTTGTGATTAGGTCTAGTTTATGGTGAACCCCTAGAAGTAGGTCAATGATATTTGGTATGCAGTTGTATTAGCATTGGCATATCTCATTACCATGGAGATTATTTGGCCATGCGCCTCAGTCATGGTTTATTGACTTTGAGACTTTGCTTAGTTTACATGTATTAGTTTGTGATTAGGTCTGTTTATGGGGAACCACTAGTGGTAGGTCAGTGATATTTGGTATGCAGTTGTAGAAGCATTGGCATATCTCATTTCCGTGGAGATAATTTGTCCCCTCCCACTCAGTCATGATCTGTTGACTTTGAAGCTTTTGCTTAGTTTTCATGTATTAGTTTGTGATTAGGTCAGTTTAAGGGGAACCATTAGAGGTAGGTTAATGATAATTGGTATGCAGTTGTATAAGCATTAGGACATCTCATTTCCATGGAGAATATTTAGTCCTTACCCCTCAGTCATGGTCTATTGATTTTGAAGCTTTTGCTTAGTTTTCATGTATTAGTTTGTGATAAGTTCAGTTTAAGATGAACCACTAATGTTAAGTCAATGACATTTGGTATGTATGCAAATGTATTGGCATTTGCAAGTTTCATTTCCATGGAGATTATATAACCCCACCCCCTCATTATGGTTCATGGACTCTGAAACCTTTACATAGTTTACAAGTTAATGTTTGTGTTTAGGTCAGTTTAAAGGGAACAACTTATGAAAAGTCAATGGTATTTGGTATGCAGTTGTATTAACATTGGCACATTAATCTCATTTCCATGGAGATTGTTTAGCCCTGTACCTTCAGTCATGGTTCAATGACTTTGAATATTTGCATAACTTACACGTTAAAGTATTGCTATTTTAATTTCAACATTTGCATTATCAAAATAACATATAGATGAGACATATCTCTGTGTTAACAGTTTATTTACCATTATAGACATTCACCTCCTTTCTTTTCTCTAACCCTGAATCTGGCCGTGACGATAGGTCTTTACCATGTTTACATGTGTTAATGCATACTATATTTTGCTTAAATCTAATGTTGAATAATGACTTTGTTACCAACGTTTTGATGATTGTATATTAAATGTTGACAGACATGTGTATCAGAGATAATAAAACAACAACTAATGGATGTTACCAGTGGAATGAGTGCCAGAGAAAGAAACAGAGCCAAGCGTAGAACTAAATTGTTAGCTAAACAGAGGTCAAGGGATGTCCAAAGGTTAGCAATAAATAATTATTTGAAAGCTAGGTTCTGAGTATTTGTAGATCTTTGTGACTTGTACATGTTGTAAGTCTGAAATGTACTTGTAATGATTTCAGAAAGTTATTGACTACAGAAACGCAACACCACAATCTAAAACCTCTCAAAGTTCAGCAATTATGGGTTTTCATCAGTCCTTAAAACTACCAGATTCAAGGTGCAAAATCAGTTAATCTGGGTGAAAGATATATTTTCTTTTTTTTTACAGGCCTTATATTTGATTGTTGTCACCCAAGCCAACTACTGACACCCTCTTTATGCCTAGAGTGGGAAATGTTATCTTTTCAATTATTGCAAATTACAATAAAAGTACATTGATTATTAATTTGTATTAGAACTATCATACTTGATTTTACATACATGTATTATTATTATAATTTTTTTTTTGTGGATTTTAATTATGATCTAATTTTAATTGTAAAATACAGAAAAAAATAACCAGTAATACTGTATACAGTATTGATATTTTTTTCCTAAAATGTACCAGTAAACATGGTAAATCCTTCAGTGAAAAGATAAGTTGCACATTAAGTCAAAACTACTGTAAATAAGTGCTGTGTATAAATTCATTAAATCAAAAAGTCAGGATTCATTTGTACTGAAGAGAAGGATTTCAATCAGAACATAGAAACCAGCTTATGTCCTAATTACCATGATTCCTGATGATTTCTTGAATAAAAATTGTTTTCTTGGCAGTTGTGATTTTTGTTGAGCTTGCGAACTTTATTTTGCGAAAAGCGAGACATAGCAATATTCCTAGAATCCGTCATCGGCAGCAGCGTCAACATTTAGGTTCAAGTCTGTGGTTTCTTTGACATATTCCCCATTTCCATTTCCATTCTCAATTTTATTTTATAGAATTTTATGAAATTTGGACAGAAGCTTGTTTATGACCAAAATACAGTATCCAGAGCAAAATTTTGAAAATATTTATTTTCGTTTTTCCATAATTTACTGATACATGTGATAAATGGACTTATTTTTTTTTACAGTTAAAAATCAGATTCAGTCTGAGGTTAAAGTTTTTCAGTCATCAATAACTTTGTCTAACCTTCATGGAATTTTATGAAATTTGGACAGAAGCTTGTTTATGACCAAAATACAATATCCAGAGCAAAATTTTGAAAATATTTATTTTCATTTTTCCGTATTTTACTGATAAATGTACTTGGTTTTTTACAGTAAACATTCAGATTCAGTCTAAGTTTAATGTTTTTCAGTCGTCAATAACTTTGTCAAACCTTCATGGAATTTTATGAAATTTGGACAGAAGCTAGTTTATGACCAAAATACACTATCCAGAGCAAAATTTTGAATATATTTATTTTCATTTTCCTTATTTTACTGATAAATGGACTTAGTTTATTTTACAGTTAACAAGTAGATACAGTCTGGGGTTAAAGTTTGTTGCACATCAAATACTTTGTGAAACCTTCATAGAATTTTATGAAACTTTGGAAACTTTTTTATGATTAAGAGATAATATCTGAAGCAAACTTTTGAAAAAAAACATTTATTTTTTCAGTATTTTTCTCATAGATGGACTTAGATTTTTACAGACAGTCTGGGATTCAACTATTTTGACATGATAAATTTGTTAACCTTCATAGATTGTTCTGAAACTTGGACAGAAGCTACTCTTTAAAACCAAGGAAAAATTGTGAATTTTTTTTAAATTCGGTATGTTACTGATAGACGGACTCACTTTTAAAGTCAACATTGCACTTTTACACTGACAGCAGCAATCATAGGCGAGACACAGGGTTCTGCGGAACCCCTTACAAATTTTAAAGATTTTTTTTTTTTTTATTGAAAGTTGAAAAATCTTTGTACACACTAAAATAAAACTGTTATTTACCATTCTTGAAGATAGATATACATGTATTGCGCTTTTCATGTTTCAAGTTTGCATTGTAAAAATTTTGATTGTTGCTTGTAGTGAGCAGCTTTCATTCGATGCAGAACCTCCATTGAAAAAGTCAAGGTCATTGGCTGAAGGTGACACTAACAGTAATGGGAAATTAAATGTTGAGATTAAAGAAGAGAAACTCATCATAGAAAACAATGCTGATAATACTCTAAATATGGAAGAGGTACGATTTCATTGACCAGGAACCTAGAAATATAGATTCCACCACTGCAACAAGTGTGTTACGATATTTCTCCACTCGAGACAGTTAAATTTTAATATTTAAAGCGCAAGGCTTGCCGAGCTTTTTAAATAATTAAAATTTAACTGTTGAGAGTGGAGAAATATCGTAATACACGAGTTATAGTGGTGGAATCTGTTTCTCTTATGATTTTTATCCTTCCTTTTCAAAGATTTGCAGAAAGTTGTGTGATTATATGTGACGTCAGCAGGCATGGTCGCCTTTTTTTATGACGTCACAATGGGAAATTCGGAGGAAACCAAGACAAATTTGACGTCATAAATAAATTTCAACCAATCATTTGCAGAGAACAGATATTTCACTAGTGAGGTGAAATATTTTTCTAACACCGATCAAGAAATGTGAAAATAGTACAAACATTAGAGAAATGCTCATCTAAAACTAGACATATTTTTCTTGCAAATTGTCAATTCTATTCAGTTTTCAACCAAGCTTTTTTTAAAAGCCAATATTGTTGAAATCAAATTCTTGTACAATAGAATTATTAATACCAGATGCAGTATTGATATCAACAATACTTTCAAACAAATAAAACAATATAGAGCATATTCATATTTTGTGGGTTCTATGATTAAAAGAAAAAAAACTTATATAGGTATGAACTGCTTAGGATTGCTCTAGAAAATATCTTTTGGGAATTAAGAAACTTCTACAGGAATAAAATATAAACTTATGTGTCAGTGGTTGAGTGCCTTCTGAGATTCATACAGATTTTTGTCTCGCCTTGGCGGAGTCAAAAAGCGAGACATAGGTATGCTGTTTCTGGCGTCGGCGGCAGCGTCAACAATGTATTAGTTTGTGATTAGGTCTAGTTCATGGTGAACCACTAGTGGTAGATCAATGATATTTGGTATGCAGTTGTATTAGCATTGGCATATCTCATTACCATGGAGATTATTTGGCCCTGCCCCCTCAGTCAAGGTCTATTGACTTTGAAACTTTTCATAGTTTACATGTATTAGTTTGTCAATTTATTGGGAACCACTTGTGGTAGGTCAATGATATTTGGTATGCAGTTGTATAAGCATTGGCATATCTCATTTCCATGGATATAATTTGGCTCTGCTCCCTTAGTCATGGTCTGTTGACTTTGAAAATTTTACTAAGTTAACATGTATTAGTTTGTGATTAGGTCAGTTCAAGGGGAACCATTAGTGGTCGGCCAATGTTAATTGGTGTTCAGTTGTGTAAGCATTAGCACATCTCATTTCCATGGAGAACATTTGGCCCCGCCCCCTCAGTCATGGTCTATTTACTTTGAAACTTTTGCTTAGTTTACATGTATTGGTTTGTGATTAGATCAGTTTAAGATGAACTGCTAATGTTAAGTCAATGATATTTGGTATGCAAATTTATTGTCATTTGCAAGTATTGTTTCCATGGAGATTATATAGCCCCACCCCTGATCATGGTTCATTGACATTGAAACTTTTACATAGTTTACAAGTTAATGTTTGTGTTTAGGTTTGTTTAAAGGGAACGACTTATAATAAGTCAATGGTATTTGGTATGCAGTTGTATTAGCATTGGCACATCTCATTCCATGGAGATTGTTTAGCCATGTACCTTCAGTCATAGTTCATTGACTTTGAATATTTGCATAACTTACATGTTAAAGTATTGCTATTTTAATTTCAACATTTGCATTATCAATTTTACAAAAAGGCGAGACATATCACTGTGATAACAGTTTATTTATCTAGGCCAGCCCTCCTGAAGAATATACAATAAACAATTAATACTGGCATAAATATGTGCAGGATTTGTTTAATTTATGTGTATCTATGTGTTTTATGTAGGTAGAAGAATGGCCATTTGAATCCTTCAGTGAGATGTTGATGAACGACCTCTTCCATAGTTCATGGGAAACCAGGCATGGTGCTGCAACTGGTCTGAGGGATGTTATAAAATACCATGGCAACACAGCAGGAATGTCAGTGGATACACCTCAGGATCAAGTAAGTTATTCTTTGTTATGCGCCTTTATAAATGAAATTTATACATGGTCACAAATAAGAGTTAATACGGTAAATTCAGAAATTTTTGTATGCATTTATTATCAAGAGTGTTGAAAAATGCACAAAATAATGGCTTGAAATATTGCAATTTTCAGGAAATGCTGTATACAAATAATGCTATAAAAATTTGTGAGTCTACGTTTTTGCAAGACCTGTCCTGCTGCAATTTTCACAATGACATCATGAAAATATTCTGATTTTACCGTACATGATGGACTACAAAAGCCCATCTAGTCCACTTGCCTGTGATCACAACTTTCTTATAAAGCCTACCACTTAATTCTATATATTTCATAAAATCATTATTCAAGAATAATCTGCTTTGTTTTTGTAAAAAGGCTATTTTAATAGTTCCTATTTAAGAAAAAGAAAAAAGAAAAAAGAAATAGAATTGAAAATGGGAAATGATTTTACATGTATCAAGTTTTCATTTAATGTCAAAATAATTATTCTCCAAAGAATAAGATCTTTGTTGATTAACAATTTGTTGATTAACAACTTGTTGATTAACAACTTGTTGATTAACAATTTGAAAATTATAAGTTATATATATAAGTTTAATGGGGCATATATTATCACAATAATCGCAAGCATTCACCATGTTTCAAATTGATTTACTCTTCACATGGCCAGCAATACCAAATTTTTTTTTTAACAGAATAATTCATGCAAGCCATAGATTTGTTGGAAATTTTCACATGGCCTGGGCCGTTATATTTCTAATTTTATCTCGAGCATAAACGAGGGATAAAATTAACGAATATTATGGCCCAGGCCATGTGAAAATGATAAATCTATGGCTTGAATGAATTATTTCAATTCTAATAGGACAAATACGGTAATTTGAAAAACTGAAGCGAAGATAAGATTGCTGTGTGTATGGCTGTTCTATTTTACCCCCTGTAAGATAAAAGCTACAAATTTTAAATAAATCGAAGGCTTGCGTGAATCATTTCTTAAATAACCACTAGAAAAAATGTGTTCAATCTTTAAAATTCTTAACCCAAAATTTTTTCTTCATTGGCTACTATTTACTGTCAAATCCACAGTAAACATGTCGTAACTAAGGAGTGAGCCGCCATGTTGACTTGCTGAAATCCATGAATGTGTGAATGATGCAATAGAATAGAAAATGAAACAACACCACCACAAAACTCCATTCTAATGCAATATTACCTGAATTTAGAGCGTACACGTAACGGAATAATCTTCAGCTTGAGAGTTTTCATTTGTATGTTTTGACATGACGTTAGTGCGCCAAGATCATTCATGAAATTTCGCGGAATTTTATTTTATTTTGATTTTATACATTTTATAAGAGTTTATGCATTAATTCTTTTTGTTATGCATTAGAATAGGAATAATGGTTCTGTAGTTTCTTTTTCAATTTCAATTTGAACACAATGAAAACCACATACATAGTGTATGCACATAGTTTACAATACATGTGGATTTACGTGGGAGGTAAATAGTAACAGCCATTAATATGTACATCTCTGAGTCTGCGCTGAGTATATAGGTATATCAAGAATTTTATCACACTGTTGTTTACAAAGTGAAAGAAGCATGTCATATTAGAATACTCCTTAAATATATATTTGATATTGCAGCTTACAGGAATAAACCAGTTCTGGCTTTCAGATGTATCCCTCAGACTGTTATGTGTAATGGCTCTGGATAGATTTGGAGATTTTGTGTCAGATGAGGTATAATGTATTGTTTTCTTGTATTTGTGATAATACTGTGGCTTCATTTCTTTTTGATGTTTAATACCAATTTTTGTTGATTGAGGAAGATTTGTATTTTTGTGGATACTTAAATTCATGGTTTTGACCAATTCTGCTTACAAGCAAGCCTATAGAATCAATGATATTTTGTTGAATACTTGAATTCATGGTTCACCTCTACCAAAGAAATCTCAAAGAATAGCCATAAGAATTGGACAGTACAACAGACCACAATAACCACCAACAACGGACTCCTAAAAAAAATAATTATACAAACAATATTTAGGGTTATTCCATTAAAATGTATGTGGGAGGGTAGGAAGGGAAGTTTAATTATTGAATGGGGGTCATGGGTCCTTTTTCAGTATGCGTCTATTACCATTATGCAAAATTATCTAAAAAATGGTTCTTGGTTGTAGGGATGTTTTGAAAGTCCCTTCCTACCCTCCCACATACATTTTAATGGAATAGCCCTTATCACATCGTCCAGTAGTGCAAAAAACAACAAACAACATGTGATCCACATAGCCTGATTTTGTTCAGGCACAAAAGAAAATCATCAAACTGGTATTGATTAAAAGTTGATTATTATATTTGGATTCAGTTTCTGCTACCACGAATGAAAATATTAGTTAATTCTTAGTTAACTTAGCATATTTAGATTAGTTTAATTACTTAAAATCTTACAGGTATATGTTGGATGACAAAAAGAAATTAAAAAAGAATTGTATACCTTAAAGAAAATATGCTGTTAGAATTATTGATAGACAAAAAGTAACAACAAAAGTATACAGAGAAGTCACCATACAACCTTGTGGCTTGATTCATTTAATTATTTGTGGATAGGACTACTATTTATGCAATCAAACCCCCTATGACCAATAGCCAAAAATTAAGATATGACTGAAAAATGGTTTTGTTGTTCTTACCAGCAGATAAAGTGTTAAAGCATGAAAATTTAAAACAATCTGAAGAGAACAACTGTTAAAGCAGAATTGTTTTGAATTTTTTGAATTTTATTTTGTTTGTGAATAGATATTATCCACGAAATTAAAACTCTTAACTAAATTTTAAAGACGAAAAAAAATACAATCACATACTGGAAAACATGAAAATTAATGCCCATGAAACTAAAGACAAAACACAATATTATAGACCATGAAAAGAAATGTTTCTACAGTACTTGCAAGGAAATTGTCAGTTGTGTAAATGTCTATTTTCAGGTGGTAGCTCCAGTGCGAGAATCATGTGCTCAATGTTTAGGTGTTCTAATCAAGTTTTTAAATGCTCCAGAGGTAGAAGGTGTTGTCATGGTATTACTGCAGCTGTTAAGTCAGAGTCAGTGGGAAGTCCGACATGGTGGCCTTCTTGGATTTAAGTATCTTTTGGCAGTTAGACAGGTAATACTACTGTGGATTCACTTAAATATTTGTTCCCATCAATTTTTCGTGGATTGAGGAAAAATTGCATTTCCATGAATACTTGATTTAATGGGTTCAACAAGTTTTGCATACATTTCTATATAAAATTTGTACTACTTTGAAGCCTTAAATTTATGGCTCACTTAAGGTAGTACATAACACTACAGGGAGATAACTCTGCAAAAATCACATGAACGTGTTTAATCACGTTCTATTGTTAAGGAAATATATAGCTTCTCAATGATCAAAATAAGTGTTTGTCAAACTGCTATATAACCAACGAAATTTTTCTGATAAAGTGGTTGGTTCAAATTCTTTGAAATTTTTATATTTTTGTCAAAGGGTCAAAGTAAACATTATGTCAAAATTTTAGGAAAATTAAACGAGCCAAATTAATTTTAGTCAAGGTGTTGGGTACCACCTTAAACCCATGTAAACCTAAACTTCAATTTGTGGATCACTTATACCCATGAAATCCACTAAATGAGTACCCCACAAATAATATTGATTTGGCAGTATGCTTCAAAATAAATTATTGGTTTACAGCATAAAAAATAAAGAAATGAGGTGTATGATTGCCAACAATCAAATTGCAAGTTGATTGGACGAAATAAATAGCATAAAATGACTGACAGCTCAACATACAAAAGGACAAGGTACGATAAGGCCTGTTTTTGGCCCCCCTATTTTCTCATTTTTCAAATTCTGTTTTGGAAAGCTACTTATTATGTTAAAATATTCCCTGAGGTTTGAAGTTTTTTTGGATGAACTTCAAAACCACTAATTTTAGCAACTGGGTGAGGTGAGGGGGGTAAACTTTAGGTTAATTATTCAAATATTGTAATTATTATTCACTTTGCAGGTGTTCCGTACAACTAATTTTTAGTTTTTTAGTGCCTGTGCCACGTGACCCAGGAATTTTATTATTCCAATGTCATGAGAACTGTTTTTGCTGTCTAAATCGCCATAATTTTCTCCGGGTCACGTAGGCGCACGCTATTAAATCTTAAGAAACATTGGCCAAAAATCGTACTTTTTCCTTCTTTTGACGTTTTTGATGCCCTTTTATCCCCCTCACCTCACCCATTTTCTGAAATTAATGGTTTTGAAGTTCATTCAAACAAACTTCAAACTTAAGGGAATATTTTATCGTGATAAGTAGCTTTCCAAAACAAAATTTAAAAAATGAGAAAATAGGGGGGCCAAAAAACGAGCCTTAAGCTTATCGTACCTTGTCCTTTAAGAGACTTATTACTTGAGTTAGTAGGATTAATTTTCTTAAGCAAAGTAAACAATATTTGTTATATATACTGTACATTCATTTATTTTGGTCGGTACCAATTTTCCTGGATCAAGATCTAGAACAAATTGTATTTTCGTAGATATTTAAATTCCATGTTTTGCCAACGTTTGCATATAAGTCTATAGAAAATGTGTACTTTGTTAAACATTCAAATTTGATTTACGTATACCCACAAAATCCATGAAAACTTATATCCCACAAATAATTAATAATCCACATTATAGCGTTAATTTTATTAAGAATGAAGTTATGAAGACTATCAATGTTTTACAGGAAAGGGTGATTTGTTTAAAAAAAAGTAGGAAAGATACCATGGGGACAAAACCCATAAGACGAAAAAAAATAAACAACACCATTCCAAAAGAAACAAGCCAAGCAGACAAACAACAGTTCTTTGAAAATTACAAAGAAAAGTAAACATGAATTTCACTTTAATCTGTGGATGAACTTGGGTACTTAATAAAGATCTGTAATTCTGACTCTACCAGTGACACTTATAAAAACTATTTATTAAGTATATGTGTTGGACTCAGAGGTGCGATGGGGACGCTGAAGCACTTCAGTGTTAAACCATCGAACATCAGCATGACCATCGCGGATCCAAGTCCTACATATGTAAAAGAAATAATTTTATTATAATTGTTGATGACAGCTATTTGTATACACCTTTTACATGTATATTTATAGGATATGACAGAGATAATATTGCCAACCATTCTGCCTTCCTTGTTCTGTGGCATCCAGGATATAAGTGATGACGTCAGAGCTGTGGCAGCTGCAGCTTTAGTACCAGTGGCAAACAGTCTCATTACCCTTATGCCATTACAGGTAATTGATGAATTAATTAAAAACAAACATATTGGAGTTAATGCACTCAAAACATCTTTGTGGATTAATTCTCACATGGAAAGGCTTTGAAAGAAAGAGATGCATAAATTCATGAGTAGCTGCGAAACAAAAATTCATGGGTATCTGCAAACAAAAATTCATTGGTAGCTGCAAAAAAAAATTCATGGGTATCTGCAAACAAAAATTCATGGGTAGCTGCAAACAAAAATTCATGGGTAGCTGCAAACAAAAATTTATTGGTAGCTGCAAACAAAAAAAATCATTGGTAGCTGCAAACAAAAGTTTATGGGTAGCTTCAAACAAAAAGGGTTAAAAATAGGAGCCAGAATTGTTTTTGGTCATTTTGTCAAAGGAAGTTGGAACATGTACAGAATTATCAATGTACAGAATTATCATCTGAGAAGTTGTGCAAAAAGAATGTAATAAAACTTATTTGTACCAAAAGTGGGCTGAATGTCATCTCTACTTGCTGAGGTATCTGCCAAGTGGCAGTATATTAAATGTACTAATCTGGTCAATCTTCACTTGAATCAAATGCATGAATTCTCCTTTTACTGTAAGTGAGTTACTATATTATCAAATTATTTAAAGAAAGAGGTTATTATATTTATGACCCAAGCAGCCATTAACATGGCCTTAACTGTAACTATATATCGATAAAATATTTTAGCCTACTTTGTCTCACATCATCAGCCATATTGTTTTTCTTTTTATATTGCAGGTGCCACTAATAGTATCATGTTTGTGGGAGACATTACTTGACCTGGATGACCTCACATCATCAACCAATAGCATCATGACATTGCTATCAACAATGTTATCTCATCCTCAATCATCTATACTAAACTGGTAATGATCTTGTTGATTTCCATTTTGAAGAACTTAATACACATAAAAGAAATGTCTATATAAAAATAAGAAAATGTGGTATGATTGGTAGTGAGACAACTCTCCACCAGAGACCAAATGGTGTAGAAGTAAGCAACTATAGTCACTGTACTGCCTTCAACAATAAGCAAAACCCATACCGCACAGCAAGCCATGAAAGGGCCAGAAATGACTCATGTAAAACAATTCAAGCAAGAAAACTAACAGCCTGATTCACGAATCTAATTCAGTAAGAGCTACTAGAAATATAAATATAAGAAGATGAGGTATGATTGCCAATGAGACAACTATTGACCAAAGTTCAAATAAAATGGATGTAAAAATTATAGGCAACCGTACGGCCTTCAACAATGAGAAAAACCCAAACCGTATTGTCAGCTATAGAAAGAATATTTATAAGTTATTTCCTGGCTCAGTGTATATGAATATTTTGAAAGTTTTGCACAACTTTGAAAGCATGGCCAGCTCTTTTAAAGCTTTAGCATTACATGCCAAAATATAAATTCTGGCAAAATTGCTGATTTTAAAATCTTCTAGAAAGCATATAATGTTTAACATGTTTAATGTGTTAGAATTAAGACTTGTAAAGTTTTGAAATAGAAATAATTTTTAAAATGTTTGTTTCTTACTAATTTACAGGTTAACAACCCCGCTTACAGAATTGGTGCCAAGATTATGGCCATTTCTAAGACACAACATAACTTCTGTCAGAAAGTCAGCCCTAGAAACATTTTATACGTTATTAACTGTCGAAACACCACAAGTAAGTTTATTTAGCAAAAATTTAGGAATTGTCAATTTGATCAAAACTTTTAGTTTGTAATGTGCAGTTTAAATATCAGAAAAACAGAAATATAAAGTTTTCATTACTCAAGACACCAAAAATGTATCTATTGGTTTACACGTTGTTTACTGTTTCATTATATGACACATTTTTATTCCCACAATTTGAAGGGCCAGAGGTTATATAGTCTGTCAATTTGTCAAACTTTTGATTTACCAGATGATGAATTATGGCTTGAACAAAATCAAAATATCAGAACAATTCTTTAAAATTTTTAACACTAATTAATGGACCATAAAATACAGGACAAATTTGATTTTGACATTAACTGTTCAAGAGTTATGCCCCTTGGTAATCTTGAAAATGGAGATATTTGTTGTTTCTAGATGATAATTATAAAGTACCACTTAACAAAATCTATTAATATTTAAAAATAATGTTTATGATTTGCAAGATGCATGTCAAGTTTGATTTTGACAGTTTTGTCATTTAACATAAGGAAATATGCCCCTCAATTTAATGTCTTTAAAATAAGGACCTTTTTTTAGATTTCAGCATTGTAACTAAAGTATGACTTGACATAATCTTTTTAAATTCCTTCATAATGTCATGGACCATTATTAACTACTTGGACTTATTAAAAATTTAATGGTCCTGAGTTCCGCACGTGATTTCAAACCATTTTTGTCTTGCCTACAATGAAAGCGAGACATAAGTTTTACTTTTCCGGCGACGGTGTCAATAATTGTTAAGTTTTCTGCCTAAGTAAGTTGGATAGGAACTACTTGTGATAGAACATTGATATATAAAGTTGCATTTCTGTCAGTACAAATCAGTTTGACGACTATTTTGAGGCCCTGCCCCCTAGGTCATGGTCCAGTGACTTTGAATTAATTAGCAATTTTCAATGTTAAGTTGTCTGCTTAAGTTAGTTTGATAGGAAGTACTTGTGAAAGATCAATGATATTTTGTATAAAGTGGCATTATTATCAGTTCATATCAGTTTGACATCATTTTGAGGCCCTGCCCGAAAGGTCATGGTCCAGCCACTTTCAATTTAAAAGCAATTTTTAATGTTAAGTTTTCAGCTTCAGTCAGTTTGATAGGAAGTACTTGTGATAGATCAATGATATTTTGTATAAAGTTGCATTAATATCGGTACTTATCAGTTTGACGACTATTTTAAGGCCCTGCCCCCTAGGACATGGTCCAGTGTCTATGAATTAATTAGCAATTTTCAATGTTAAGTTTTCTGCTTAAGTTAGATTGATAGGAACTACTTACAATCGACAAAAATATTTTCTATAAAGTTATTGGCTGTACATCTCAGTTTGTCAACCATTTTCAGGCTCTGCCCACTAAATCATGGTCCAGGGATTGAATTAATAAGCAATGTTGCTGTCCATCAGATTGTCTTTTTCTGAATTTTATGCCGACATGCAAGACATATCTCTGTGTCAACAGTTTATTTTTTTTTTTTTTTTTGTTTCTGGATGATTTTAATTTGGTGTTAAACTTTATTTAGAATTATTTTAATCCTCATGATTTTTTTAGCATCCAACATCAGCATGGCTGCCATTTATCTTAAGTGATGCCCTTCGTCACATTTATCAGAGGAGCCTCCTGGAAGAGAATTTAGACGTATTATCTGTTGTAATAAAAGTATGGTCCAAGTTACTTATGAAAGTGCCCCTGGAACATCTGTTATCGCAGGCAACACCCTGGTTAGGAGTCTGGTTGTCACAGTGTATGCAGCCTTCCAACATCCCGTTTGATCCGGTTTACATGCTGTCTGCTAAACATCGTGTTCGGGTAAGAACTTTGTTGATATGATGTCTGAAAAAGGAAACAGACATTTAATAAAGTCCAAAACTAAAACTTATGTTTAATTACACAAACAAATATGCCTGTAGAATTGATTGTGTGAAATTGCTGGTGTTTGGGGCTCTGTATATCACAGATGTAGATATAGGCTTGTGATTTAACTGTGTATATTCTATACCTTTTCAGTGTAAAACTTGTCGCACTGTATAAGGGCTATTCCATTAAAATAAATCTAGGATTTAGAAGGGGACTGTTTAAAAAAAAAACTAAATTCCAACTTATTCGCTTTAAGTAATTTTGCACACATGAAATAGTCATGAACAATAAAATTACCCTCAACCCGTGTCCAAGAAAAAGAATTATCTTCCTAATCTCCCACAAAAATTTACATAGATTAGCCATGAAAAGAAAGGAGATGTTTATAGAAACTATATCACGATTTTAATTTATTGTCTCCTGATGTTATAGGGAAATAAACATGTATCATTGTTCAACTGTTGAAGGATGTGTTTGGATAATGCCAAGTTTTAAATATAAATATACAAGAAATATTTGAATAATAAATTGGATATTTTTAGATCATAAAAAACATCTTATTCTATATTAAAATGAATGTCTATTATACCCAACTCTAGGAATGGGGGCTACATTGCAATCACCTTGTCTGGCCGTCTTTTTGTCCAACAAATATTTTCATCACACTATTCTCCAAAATTACAAAACAGATCATGATAATAACTTTATATTTGGTCAGCAGCTTGACAGTGATGAGTTGTAATGTGGGAGCACTTTTTGGATCTTTCAGATACCTACTTCCTGTTTTCCCAAGCTTTGAATAACAAGACGAACAACCTATACATTCTTGTATTTTTTTCAGTATATTAAGCTAAATACATGTACTGTAAATTCAGAAATTCAGGAATCCTTGACTACTGACAAAAATGCAAAATCTACTAAATGTGATTGAAAAAAAATTATGTAGGAAAATAGCTACTTAAATTATGATTGCAATTTTTTATTATTGCGAACCTGATACCGTCACATTTTTTTTGCATTTATTAAAACATTGCAATAATTTCTGAATTCATAGTATTTGAAAAGAATGCTGTTTATTTTTTCAGCCTGAAGGAGCCCGTAACCAGATGTGTCAGATTCCTCAACCGTCCCCTAGAACAGACATCAATAAAGATTACATAGCTGGAATGTTAACACTGAATGCATCAGTCCTAGAAAGAGATACAGCTGTACTGAAAGCCAGAATGACATCAGCAAAGTAAGTTTAATCTGTTGAACTGCATCAGTATTCGGTTAGGCCAATTAAAATTAATTGATAGATTTTCATCCCTGTCCGCCCCTCTGAAATCGTCCAGCCCCGGTTTTTTTTTATTTTTGAAAATTTACGATTTCTGTATTTTGTTCATTTCTTTTACCAGTAACCACCGATAATTACGTTTCATTCAAAACTTCTTGTTGGAAATTTCGGTTTTCGTATTTCTTTGAGTAATTTAACCAAAATAATTAAGTAGACATATTCTGCTGCTCTATGATGACAATAATATCTTCCGAGAATAGAGATTGAATACAGAAAGGGCATGAAATATTCGGTGTTACAGGTAATAGGTGGTGTTCAAGAACACAAATCGCGGTATGTCACAAATTTCAGTGATTAGAAAACCGTGGATTTTTTAATTTATACAATGACTTTGTGTCAGGAAATTTGGACTGTGAATAATATCCAAAGGCAAGAGTCGTGGAACACATTGGTACAAAAGCATGACTGGAATAAAGAAATTGACACAAGCATGAACTTGTGCGATTTATAACTGTATATTGAGAACAAAAAGTCGGCCAACGAAAAAACAAAATGTATTACAGCAAGCCCTTAGATTTACCCAAAGGCCGTCGTTTTTTGTTGACCCTCTGGCCTCAGCCCCTCAATAAAGTCATTTAACAACTTCTTCCTTTTGGTCAAGTTCATGTTTTACATTGTAATTATATTTGCACCTTGCAAAAGAATCTTAAAAGCATCAACCCTAGTATTTTCAACACAGTTTGAGTTTTTATTTCACTCTGTACTGATAATACTTGTGTTGCATACGCTTCATTTAATGGGCACTGCAAACCATAGCTTAGAAAGCAAAATAAATTTGATGTTGGTAGTCTAAAAGAGAGCATTTCTCAACGTTTTTGCTATTAAAATAAAAATAAGAAAATAAAATCCTCCCACCCACCCCATTTAAAAAAAAAAACTGGATGAAAATCTACTAATTAATTTTAGTTGGCCTTAGCATTCTCGCCTTGAGTTTGAGTGATATTTAATTCAATCCAAGGCAAGTTCAAACAAAGGACTTGAAAATTGTTATATCTTAATTGTTTAGCTTCTCTGCTAATGCTTTAATAATGCTATTAGTACCATTAAGATGGGTTTTGATAGCTCTTTGGTTAATAGAGTTTAAAGTTTATTGTCTCTTTGTTAAAGTTGAGTTTGTGTTATGGAAAATGAATATGGCAACACTCAGTTTGACTTTCTGTTCTTAAGAGCTTTTAGGCATCCTCAGGATTTGTTATACAAATACAAACCTTAAAAATTTAGAGGCAGGAATTTCTTTGATCGGCATTATGTAATTATCAAATAGGGAGTAGAACAGATGGTTGTCATTTTCTTGTAAGTGAAGTATTCCTGTCAACATATCCTATATTTCAGTCAGATTGTTGTGATGTGGAGTTCAAAAGCAACTTGTTGTCCATGTAAATTAATGCATTGAAAACATACTGTGGATTCAGTTACATGAATACAATGTACCACTTTTGGTGGATTGGTGAAATATTGCCATTTCGTGGATATTTGATTGCTTTGCCAAACTTTGTATACAAGTTTGCATACAATACTAAAGAACAGCAATACACGTGCTGTTCCTTTGCTTTTTGTGTTTTTTACAGTATGTACTGATATTGTGTTATGGATGGATACCCCATATCCTTTCTTTTCTATTATACAAGTCTATAGAAAATGTGTACTTCTTTGAACATTTGTATTCCTGGTTTACCTATACCCATGACATCCACAATGTTGGTATCCCACAAATAATAAAGAATCCACACTGTATATCTTATTTATAGATTACTGGGTATGCTTTGCGATTTTATAACCAGAGATGTACCAGATTTCCCTTCAGGACCAGAGAAACCTGTGGACTCTATTGCCAAACTGTTTATATTTCATCTGAATAACAAGTCAGCAGTCCAAAGATTTGTCATAGGCCAGGTTACATATGAATGGGCCAATGCCAGTCAGGTGAGGGATTTATTAGACTCTTTTCTTTACACATCCTATTACTGACTATCTGTACTGCAGATGCAATAGGTAACACACATCAAAATCTGCTTTTCAGGATTGAAAAATCTGTTGTATTTCAATGGCATTTGAAACTGCAGACAAAAATCTGCTATAAACAGGATAGCAAAAACAATTGTTTTGAATGACAATTGGGAACATATATCCTATTGTATCTGTTGTAGTGATAGCCGATAATTGGGTGTTTTATTTTCGATACATTTAGGAGATGCAGTTTTAGGGGAGATGACTAGGAATGTTACGATGAATTTTCAATGTCTTGTTACTAATGTTTGTTTTGTTTATAATGATGTCTTTACAGTGGAATCTGATCACATGCAATCTGATCACTTGGCAGAAAGTCTGAAAAAACAATTAATCACACAAAATTACCTGTTCTGTATCTACCCTTAATAACACTACAGCGCTAATTTTCATAGTCTATTTGAATTGAAAAATGGCCACTGATCCAGAAACTTGTGTGATAGATGAATATGATATATAACGCAGGTTAGGCACAATTTGTTTTTCCAACATAAGATGACTATATATAGCTAAATGTAAATCTCTGTATTTCAGAATTGTACCTGTCCTGAAAGTGTGACTACCAAATTAATGGAATGTTTATGTGAATCTCTGTATTATGATGAGATAGCAGTTTCCTTCACACACATGCAGTCTGACTGTAAAGATTTTATATCAGCTCTTAAACAACAAGGTGTAGATTTAGATGTGTATTATCCACCTGGGTAAGTGTAATAGAGCATGTCTTCATAAATATTATATTCATTGATTGAGATATTGTGTATACCATAATGACCAGATTATATTGACGGAGGAAGCTGGAGTACCAGGAGAGAAACGCTGACCTTAGGTAGGAACACTGGCAATATTAGGGATTGGAGTTATTCACATCTTGCATCAAGAGAGGCTAGTGACCAATGAAGATGATCAAATTACATCATTTAGCCACTGAACTCCCCCCTCCTAAGCAACAAATAGAACATAGTTGAATGCTATGGAATATTGTGAAATGCTGATACCTGAATTCAATTCATTAAGTTTAACCCTTGCACAGTCAGGGGACTTACTTAAATGAGTGATTTTCTAAATCACTGATTCAAGTAACATTATGTCCATAAAGGTTGGAAGTAAGAATTGTCTTTCTTTAATAATCACCTATTTAAGTAGTACAAATTAATCACTAGACTAAGTGATTTAATTTTATTGTAGCTTTAGATATAGAATACTAATGATCCAGGAACTAATTATGTTGCTAAAATTATCAGAACCAACACCTGTGTTGATAGGATGACCGGGTTATGTCAGGTGATGACCTTGTACTAAATCTAGGATAATGACATAAAAATCACTTGTTTAAGTATCATACCTCAATTTCCTTCCAAAAAATCACTTCCTTAAGTATCATTATTTTAATAACCCCCACTAATTTCAACACCCCCGAACAGTGAAATTTTGATCGCAAACAGTAGAATTGTATTACATAATCTATAAGATGAAACCTTGAATTTTACAGGAAAAATACTCCCAACTGCTGGGAAAAATCTGTTAAGAAAGTATCAGTTCATTATGTAAAGCCATTTTTATAGCATTTTTTCAAGTAAAATAGAATTTGCAGCTAAATGATTGCATCAAAGGCATAAACCTTTATGCTTATTTTAAAAGAAGCCAAAAGTTCATTTTTTTTCAATTTTCTAATGAAAAGATTTTATCTAAACCTATGTGTTTAAAATTTTGGTAAAACTACAAAATCCCAAATTTGTGACAAAACTTCGAATTTGCTACTTAAATAAGTGATTTAAAAATCACTTATTTCAATAAGTCCCCAGACTGTTGCATAGAATAAATAAAATCATATCACACAGGTCGCAAAATAGTCGTCCTTGTTCATGATAGTAACAAAAGTTTATTTTGAAGGACTGTATGGTAAAATTGAGAGACATACAATAAGTTATCAATAAGCTCTGTAAGAATAATTTTTATTCAAATATATTTCTATAGTTTAATTGACACTTGAATTGAAAAGAACATGAAATTGTTATTTAAAGTTTCAACCTTTAGGAACCTTTTTGTTGGAGGAAGTCTTTAACCAGACAATTTTATGTCTGGTTTCTAATCCAAAAGTTATATACACTTGGTACTGCAGAAGCTCTAAACATAGGTCCCGTCGCTAGACACCAAGCTTTGGAGGCGTGGTTGCTTATAGCATGTCTTACTTCAGGAATTCCATCTAGGATGGATGTCCTGGGAATAAATGTTGTCTTCTGTATTATCAAGTGTACTCAACGTCTAGCCAGAGCAGTGGTTAAATCTTTTGTATAAATTCAAATCTTTATTTCTAAAGTAGTGTCTAATATAGAAAAAAGGGCAAATAATCTGAAAAAAACATAGAAATTTTAGAAATTACCTTTGTTTGTTCTGATATAATCTTGTTCATTTTGGATCATTTATTTAAATTTTCATTTTTAAGAGTAATATAAGTGTACTATTTTAAAAAAGTTATAATTGTTGTTAACTGCCAAGGGAGACAATAGTGATATTATCACTTTGGTTTGTCTTGGTTTAAGGGCATACGATACAGTTTAAAAGAATATAGATAGGAACTACAAAAAAATATTTGACAGAACAACAGACCAAAGCATCCACCAACACCTGAGAAAAGATGGATGTACTCATTATATGAGATTATTAGATAGTAAAGGACTATTCAATTAAAAAATGTAGGGGTTGAGGGTTGGAAAGTACTTTATATGGTAAAACATTGGTGATGTGGCTCTGATTAGTTTTTACGAGATAATTTTTTTTTTAATTCACATATATTTTTTTTCCCCAGTAATATATTAACAGTAGAACAAGCCTCTGCTCTAACCACCTCAGTTTATGAAGAGATTAGGTCCAATCTCCGTCCAAAGGTTCATCAGACTTTTGAAGATAGAAGAAAACAGTTACAGAAAATGGTCGAGCAGACAACTAAAGAACTACAAACTCTTACCCTCAGGTTTGTCATTTCATAAATTAACTAAAGAACTACAAACTCTTACCCTCAGGTTTGTCATTTCATAAAACAACTAAAGAACTACAAACTCTTACCCTCAGGTTTGTCATTTCATAAAACAACTAAAGAACTACAAACTCTTACCCTCAGGTTTGTCATTTCATAAAACAACTAAAGAACAAACTCTTACCCTCAGGTTTGTCATTTCATAAAACAACTAAAGAACAAACTCTTACCCTCAGGTTTGTCATTTCATAAAACAACTAAAGAACTACAAACTCTTGCACTCAGGTTTGTCGTCTCATAAAACAACTAATGAACTACAAACTCTTACCCTCGGGTTTGTCATCTCATAAAACAACTAAAGAACTACAAACTCTTACCCTCGGGTTTGTCGTCTCATACACTTCATATTGCCCTTTTTTTAAAAAGAGGAAGAATATACCAAGGGGACAATCAAAATTCCTCAAAGAAAAGTTAACAACACCTTGGCACAAAATGAAAAACGATGTTAGGACAGTCTACAGAAAAATCAGAGACTGAGAAACACAAACCACTCCAAAAAAGGAGTGAACTTATGTGCTCAGGAAGGTTAACAAATTCTGCTCCACACGTGGCACCTTGTTGTGTTGCTCGTGGCATGTACAAATTTGGTGCTAAGTCTCATTGAGGATTAATTTTAGTGTATTGCTTTTAAAAGCATACATACAAAAATTTGTTTCAATATACATGTACAACAGAAAAACATCAGAATAAAAACAGAGGAAGAAAGAAAAACAAAAACAATTGACACCTTAGAAATTGCATCAATCTAAATATTATGCATATAATACTTTTGGCTCAACTGTATGTGAAAGAGGAAAATTTGCACACCTCTGTTCAAAGTATACTGCTTTTACTCTGTTAGTCTGTCTGTGTTTCTGTCTATCCAATGAAATTTGTTTTTAATTTTCTCAGTAATTACAAGTCAGAGTTTTCTGCATTTCTTGAGGGGATTACAAAGCTAAGCTTTTGCACAAAAATGCTTAGAAAGCAGTTTCTAATAAATTCAAATCTTACACAGTTACTTTTTTGCAATATTAGAAAAAAATCATAAAATTATTAAATATGAAGTTTGAAGCAGTAAAGTAAGTTTTAATTATGTGTGTATGATGTCAAATAAATTTAGGCAGTAACTTTTCATGTTTATAAAACTTGCAGAGTGCAGTGTTCATTATCCAAAGCAGTTGTAGAATTGAACAATTTACCAGAAAAAATGAATCCAGTTGTTAGGCCACTGATGGAATGTATGAAGAAAGAAGAAAATATTGATCTCCAGGTAATATTAGAAATTTCTAGTGGCCATATTCTTTTTTTTTCCTTGTTTGTGAAGTTTTCACCCAATATCCCTTGTTACCAGAGTTTACCGTGAGTAACATGAAAAGTTTTGGATAAGGAGCAAAATTATCTATTCTTTAAAAGTACTGAAGTTCTACCCAAAGTTTTTGTGTTTTTTTAACATCACATTGGTGGTCTTGTAGTGATGTGCTCCTTGCAGTGGAGGATCCCATGGTTAAAAGATTGTTCTTTGATTTTTATGCCCCACCTACGATAGTAAAGGGGCATATGTTTTTCGGTCTGTGTGTCTGTTCGTTTGTTCCTCTGTCCGTTCATCTGTTTGTCCGTCTGTCCCACTTCAGGTTAAAGTTTTTGGTAAAGGTAGTTTTTGATGAAGTTGAAGTCCAATCAACTTGAAACTTAGTACACATGTTCCCTATGATATGATCTTTCTAATTTTAATGCCAAATTGGAGTTTTGACCCCAGTTTCACGGTCCACTGAACATAGAAAATGATAGTGTGAGTGGGGCATCCATGTACTATGGACACATTCTTGTTTGCTGTGGTATTGGCAGATTTAGTTTCAAGATACATAAACTTGGTTTTGTTCAATTTTCCTGATAACAAGGTTCTGTTCTGAGCTCACAATACTACCATATAACAATCACTGAATTTGAAATTTGTGCATTGGAGTTTTGTAGTTGCCATTATTCAGACATTCTTGCAGTGCATCAGATTTCATTATGTGGTTCTTGTAACATTTTAACTATACACCTGCTGTAACAATTGATAAGGGTAAAATATAATTACATTTCCTTTTCAAAGTTTGTATTGAATATGTATGAAGTATAGGCTGCTGGAACCAATATTCAGTTTTTTTCTTAGATCTACTGATCAAGTTGAAGGATCAATTTACTTTAATCTTTTATTAAAAAATCCATTTGCATGTAATCTTTATTTTAGTTTGAGGCAGCTGAAAGTTTGTGTCACCTGATTAAGAAATGTCTTACACGAAATCCCAATCCCAGTGTCAAGGTAGTCAAGAATCTACATGGATTTCTGTGCTGTGATCCAACTTTCACTCCTCTGGTAGAAAATCCTCAGGCTGATATCACAGGTATGTATACTGTGTCCAATGGAATATATTTTACTTGCTTGAAATTATGTATTTTTTTATATCTTTGTGACCAGATCATAGGGCAGTTCCACTGAATTATTGAATTTATGTTGGAAGCGGCTAATTGTTTAATTTATTTTAGCACGAATAAAAAAAGAGATACAGGATATGAATCTGTGAGACAACTACCCATCAACACTCAAGACCAACAAATGTTTATATATGTTGCATATGTGATTGAAAGCAACTGTGTAAAGGGTATTCAAAATCAAAATCAAGGGGAAAATGCAATGATTAGACAGAATAAAAATATCTAACTATGTTTAATGTGAAAATCTTTTTTAAAACTCAATTTATTTCTCTTTCATAATTCTATGTCTGATTCATAATAAATTTTATGGTCTTTGAAACAATTGTGAGAGGTGGGAATATATCCTATGATTAAAGTACTTGATTATTGAACATGACTTTAACAAGTCTTTGGAGTGTTTTTGCAATAAAGGCAATTCGTAAAACTGTACCTATAATTAATGTCTTAAATCGAATCAAATCAAATCAAATAATTTTATTGGTGTAAATTCCAATACAGGAAGGATACCAGCTGACATTTACAAAATACAAATACAAAAATAAACAAAGACAAATATACAGATGTTTTCTCGAGAATAAGAGACACACAATTTATATGTACTTGGAAGGAGTTTTCATCCATACTATATTAACAAGATATTACAATATTAAAGCTTTAATACAGTTCTTAACAACATTATGTTTGCTTTAAATCAATGTTCGTATCATACTGATATCTGGTATTCCAGCTATAGATACATTACAAATGTCAGTATCATTACTTTTCAAAATGAAACTATTTTTTTCTTGTTCAGACATATCAACAAATGTATTACAGTCAACAGAATGTTATTGTTTCTTCATCTTTTACTCCGTAATCTGTTGACCTGAAAAAATCCTGGCAAAAGCCTGGAATTTTTTGTAGCAAAAAGAATGAGAACCCTGTATTTATTATTTTGATAATTCATGTTATGCTAAAATTGTAAACATCTGTTCATGTTTATATTTTTTTTCCAGATGGAGTTGAAGTGAAATGTACAAAGACCTCAGGAATTTTAACTTTAACAAAACACCAAAAGGTAAATCCCAAAGTAATAAGTAAATGAATTAAGAGCAAATCTCACAAAATTTCTACCCATTTTCCCAATGGGTATAGATATAGTGAAAGAGGAATTGTGGATACAAAAAGTGGATTGGCAATTGAACATACAAATGAATGCCAAACAAACAAATGTTAATGAGCCTGTCCAAACTTATGAACCTTGTCAGTGATCACATCAACTTGAAAGTTGGTACACTTGTTCATTATAATGTACACTTTGTAAAATATATGCCAAATTAGAGTTTTTACCTAGTGTTCAATGAACTTGAAAATGTGATAGTGATCGTGTGGCATGGTGTCCACAATCAACAAATGTTCTTATTCACAGGGTTAGACAAAATTAAAAAACATAAATATTTCTTCATTTCAACCATAAGTCTTATTAGGAACATCTGAATGCTATTTGTTTACTGATTGATAACATTTTTTGTGCCCTACCTATCATATTTTGGGAGCAATTATGTTTTCTGGTGTGTTCTGTATAAAAATAAGGAGATGTGGTATGATTTCCAATGAGACAACTATCCACCAAAGTTCAAATGAAGTGGATATAAGCAATTATAGGCAACCGTTTGGCCTTCAACAACGAGAAAAACACATACCGTATAGTCAGCTATAAAAGGCCCCGACATGAAGAATATGAAACAATTCAATTGAGAAACTAACAGCCTAATTTATAACAAAATAATTTACAAAAAACAAATATGACAGACAAGAACCAACTACAACCACTGAACTACAGGCTCCTGACTCGGGACAGGCACATAAAGAATGTGGTGGGGTTAAACCTTTTTGTGAGCACTCAACCCTCCCCTAACCTGGGATAGTGGTGTAACAGTACAACATAAGAACAAACTATAAAACTCTGTTTGTTCATCCATTTAGTATCAGGTTAGAATTTTAATTTAAGGTAGTTTACATGAAATTGTGGAACTTACAGTCTTATGATTTTTTATAGCAGATACTTTTTTTTTATTATTATTTTCAAGTAACAAATGTACCCATAACATTAAATTTATGTGAAAACTTAATGCCATAAGATTGCATCAATACCAATAAAATTACCACAAAATTAAAAAAAAATATGAACATAAAAAATGTTAAACAAAACAATACATGTACATTATTATATAAATTGCTGTGTAAAGAAATTTTCATCTTTTTTATATTTAGGCAACCGATGTTGGGAGGAGATGGCTCAGGAAAACTCCAAGTGTCAAGTTAGATCTTGGTGTTTCACCTGAATTAGCAGAAGACAAAGCAGAGGTAAAATTACATTACAGAATAATCTCCCTTGAAATAAGAGTAAATTGTCCAGAAACATATGTTACTTTTGCCAAAGGAAAACAGAAAAGTAACAAAATAATTCCATTTGTAGAGTTATCCTCCTTGATTTTTTTAGACTTTATGTACTGTAGATTCTTTTATTTTTGTGGGTACCAATTTTCTTGGATTGAGTAAAACTTGCATTTTCATGGATATTTTATTTCGTGGTTTTGCCATATTCTGCATATAAGACTAGAAAATTTGTGGTTCACCTGTACCAGCAAAATCCACGAAAATTGATATCGCACAAATTATTATGAATCCACAGTAATTTGCTAGAAATAATTGTTACTATGATGAGAGCAGAGGTTTCATTTGCACAGTTATCTTCCTTGATATCAGTGAAAAAATGAAGTTATGTGACAGAACAATTTATGTCTTTGATAGAATTAAAAGTTGCATAATTATTTCATTACTCTAGATATCAAACTTGTTTCTGTACATAACTCTTTTATTACAAAATTTGACTTTATGCATTGGCAGTTTTTCTGTGTAAAACATACTTCTTCCAAAGAAAACTTTATTCATATAGTGACTTAAATCTTATGGTCAAGAGGATTGGATATCCTGTGCCTGTGATAATATTGAAGACGCCTTGAGCAATTCATATTCCAAGGGTTGCCCCCACAGGGCAACCCATGTTGTCAAATGGATTGCAATTGATTTTGCTTCAGTAGTATCAGAGAGCACATAACTTTTGAATATAAACTAGACATATGTCTAGTATTTTTTATATTATATCAAAGGGTTGAGTAAGATTCATTATCTTTCTTCCTTTGCAACAATAATGAAATTAAAACAAAAACTTTCAAATTTGGTAAGATTGTCTTGTGTAGCTGTCCATGCTATATGGTCATTTAGGTTTTGCAATTTCTGCTTATAAAGTTCTGGGACTTTGTGAGTATCCTCAGCTTACTGCAGCATGCACCTTGTGAGCGTATTCCATTGTTAAGTGAGAGAATAATGTGGTAATATTATTAAGTCTCCCAAACGAAGTTTGGGAAGACTTATTGTTTTTGCTCAGTTCTTATTATTATTATTATTCTTCTTCTTCTTCCGCCGCTTTTAAATTTGAACTTGTCCGCACCCGTTCTCCAAAACCGCTTGTCGGATTAACTTAGGGTTTCACAATATGTTAGACTAACATGTCTAGTGGTGCAATCAGGGTTTTGTTTTTGCAATGGGGTTTATAAAGGGGTACTTTGAGGGGCAAAAAGAAAAGAGGGTTTTACTATAGAACCCTATGGGATTTTATTTTTTTAAATTTTCAAATAATTATAAATTGAAAACAGTTCGTGATAAACACAAACTTTTTAATTGAAAATGTTCTAAATGATAAAGCCCATTAAATGAAATACAGGGTTAGTCCCCAGGGGTCACCCCCACCCCCTGCCATTTAAGAAAGTTCTAATACCTTGTAAGTGGTCAAGATCCCCACCCCTAAACCATATATATTCTGGTTTGTCATGCTAAGATGGTTTGATTGATATACAGGGTTAGTCCCCAGGGGTCATCCCCACCCCCTGTCATTTGAGAAAGTTCTAATATCTTGTAAATGGTCTAGATCCCCACCCCTAAACCATATATATTCCTGGTTTGTCATGATAAAGCACATCAAATGTAATACAGGGTTAGTCCCCAGGGGTCACCCCCACCCCCTGCCATTTAAGAAAGTGCTAATATCTTCTAAGTGGTCAAGATCCCCACCCCTAAACCATATATATTCTGGTTTGTCATGCTAAGATGGTTTGAGTGATATACAGGGTTAGTCCCCAGGGGTCATCCCGACTCCCTGCCATTTCAGAAAGTTCTATTATCTTGTAAATGGTCGAGATCCCCACCCCTAAACCATATATATTCTGGTTTGTCATGATAAAGCACATCAAATGAAATACAGGGTTAGTCCCCAGGGGTTACCCCCACCCCCTGCCATTTAAGAAAGTTCTAATATCTTGAAAGTGGTCAAGATCCCCACCCCTAAACCATATATATTCTGGTTTGTCATGCTAAGATGGTTTGAATGATATACAGGGTTAGTCCCCAGGGGTCATCCCGACCCCCTGCCATTTAAGAAAGTTCTAATATCTTGTAAATGGTCGAGATCCCCACCCCTAAACCATATATATTCTGGTTTGTCATGATAAAGCACATCAAATGTTTTACAGGGTAAGTCCCCAGGGGTCACCCCCACCCCCTGCCATTTAAGAAAGTTCTTATTCTTCTAAGTGGTCAAGATCCCCACCCCTAAACCATATATATTCTGGTTTGTCATGCTGAGATGGTTTGAATGATATACAGGGTAAGTCCCCAGGGGTCATCCCGACCCCCTGCCATTTGAGAAAGTTCTAATATCTTGTAAATGGTCGAGATCCCCACCCTAAACCATATATATTCTGGTTTGTCATGATAAAGCACATCAAATGTTATACAGGGTTAGTCCCCAGCGGTCACCCCCACCCTTTGCCATTTGAGAAAGTTCTAATATCTTGTAAATGGTCGAGATCCCCACCCCTAAACTATATATATTCTGGTTTGTCATGATAAAGCACATCAAATGAAATACAGGGTTAGTCTCCAGGGGTCACCCCCACCCCCTGCCATTTAAGAAAGTTCTAATATCTTCTAAGTGGTCAAGATCCCCACCCCTAAACCATATATATTCTGGTTTGTCATGCGAAGATGGTTTGAATGATATACAGGGTTAGTCCCCAGGGGTCATCCCGACCCCCTGCCATTTGAAAAAGTTCTAATATCTTGTAAATGGTTGAGATCCCCACCCCTTAACCATATATATTCCTATTTGTCATGTCTCAAACATTTGAATGACGTATAGGGCCAGTCCCCAGGGGTTCCTCCCCACCCCCAATATTCTAGTATCTTGTAAATGGTCGAGATCCCCACCCCTAAACCATATAGATTCTGGTTTGTCATGCCAAGATGATTTGAATGATATACAAGGTTAGTCCCCAGGCATCACTAATGCATATAACTTTACTGGACCAAACCAATTTTCACTGGACGTTGCCCAATGTCAGGCGACCCTGGAAATTACGAATTATGGGAGCTTCGTTTGGGAGACTTCGTAACAGCATCCTGTTACAATCATTTCTTGTTCTTTGTAATTTTAATTGATTTCAAAATTTTTTGACTCACCTGTTACTTTAATATGTAGATGGGGGCACAAACTATTTGCATTCAGAAAGTAGAAAGCTTGGATGCTTCATATCTTTTGTTCAGACCCCTCATGTTCTGGAGTTTCTGTTTGGCATATATCTGTTCACCTTGACCTCATTTTCGTGGTTCAGTGACTACACAGATTTTTTATCACATTATTCTCGCACTTAATTTGAGTAAGAGGATGACTATTTGGCATATGGAATCATTACAAGGTCTACATGTCTGTCAGACAGGGTTCATCTGATCTTGACCTCATTTTCAGGTAAACATTGGTCAAAGATAAATTTTCATGGTTAGGTCTGTTTCTCAGATACTAATACTGTAAGATATTGATAACACACTTGTTTCTGTACATTAAATCTTTGAAACAAAGTTTGTCTGTATGTATCAGCTGTTTTTCTATGTAAGATATAACTCTTTTGTAGAAAACTTTACTTGTATAATTAATGAAAACAAAGAGATAATGTTATTGGTGATTTAGTGCCTGATACTTTATGGATTTAAACATTAATCTATACCAAACTTCTTTTATTTTTTATATATGACATATAAAAAATTAATGTAGAGTATAAAAAACAAAAATTTCACATGATATAATGTTTTACAAAAATGAAATCAAAAAAGGATTTGATACCCTTCATATTTTATCTCCCATCTTATCCGTAAATAATTTACCAGAAACAATGATGCCTTTGCCAAAATGAAAAACAGAGGTTTCAATGGAATTTTATTGAAAGAGTTATCCTCCTTGATTCATGTGAGACAGAAGTATTTAACCAGTAATAATTGTTACTTATGACTTATTGATAGCGGAGGCTGAAATATAATTTAATAACCACAGATATCGTTCTTGATATTTGTTAAAAAAATAGGTAATATGCCAGGAACAAAATTTTGTTTTCATTACTCAGTTATCTACCTTGATATCAAGGGGAAATTTAAGAAATGTTACAAAAACAATTAATATCATTGATGGAATTTAAAGCTGCATATAATTCTTACATTCATATAGATATCAAATCTGCCTCTTAACATGAAATCTTTTAAATGGAATTTGACAATAAGTATTGGCAGATTTTCTTTATTAAACATACTTTTTCTATATAAAAAATATAATCTTTTTATAACTAGTGGGGGTTGTTGATGGCTTCTTAGTGCCTGTGATAATATTGAAGACAGCATTAGTTTCATATCTTCAGGGGAGCCCTATCCCGGGCTGCTCTGGTGCCCAGTGGAATAGAAGTGCTTTTGCTTCAATAGTACCAGAGTGCATGTAATATTTTGCCATTTACTAGACACATGTCTAGTACACAACATGAAATGGACCACAGTGTGATTGAGATGTGTAATTTCTTTGTCTTGCAACAAGTTATGTTAAGATCAATATAATAATTTTTATTATACTTCATGTCAAAATGCCTGATTTTGATTGGTTAATACGAGGGAGACAATTTACTCTATCTCATGGCAAATACTCTATTACCCTTCACGGAGACGCTTGCTCAAGTGTGCACTTTAAGAAATACGGATGATTGTTATATACAAGACGTCATAGTTTATTACTTTGAAATTAAAATTTAATAGACAGTAATAACAGAACATTCAGTATAATAAATTAAATAACACATATCTGAGATATTGATAGAGCAGATTGTTACCCCTCGAAAAGACATTGTCAACCTTGGCTTCGCCTCAGTTGACAATGTTTTCTCGGGGTAACAATCTGCTCTATCACCCTCTCAGCTATGTGTTATTTATATAATATCAAATTAGTAATTCATGCTCTTTGGAACCTCTAGTTAAAAAGAAAGGCATGCTGAAAGCTTTCATACTTTGTAAGATTGTTTGTAATCATGTATAAATATCAATTCAAAACACTTATATGGATTAGACAATTTCTTTCTGGAGTTATCGGACTTTAACTTTTATTGGGTTTTTACAGCATACTTTCATCTTCATTGTGACAGTATTCCAGTGACAAATCAGTGGGGGATACTTTACTATGGCATAGTTAAGTGAATCAAGCAAAAGGATACGCAAGTCCTTATTTGATATGCTGCCCATGGATGTGTTATATGACTGTCAATTTTTAAATAACATCCATTTGTGATTAAAACATGATTTCTGACAAGTCAAGACCCTTTATCTCTTGATTTTAATTAAGAAAAGATAAATAAAAGACAACAAATTCTAAATATTCCTCTAAACTTTAGTGTGGTGGCATCAGGTTTGGGACGAACAGGGACAGACTATTTTATGAATAATAATCAAGACACAGCCTTATGTTTGTTAAAATTATGGTGTTAAGTGGAGTTTCTGAATCTAAAATCCTATCCACACTTAAAAAGTCATAACATTAGGACAGATTTTTATGCCCCCGCTGTAGCGGAGGGGGCATTAAGATTTACCCTTGTCCGTCTGTACGTACGTACGTACGTCCCAAAATTGGTTTCCGTTCTCTAACTTTAGTTTGCCTCAACCAAATGTTATGAAACTTATACACAATGCTTATTACCACAAAACACAGATCAAGTTTGAATTTTGGTGGCGTCACTTTTACCGTTCTAGAGTTATGCCCCTTTACAAATTGAAAAATTGCTGAATTTCTCGTTTCCATTCTCTAACTTTAGTTTGCCTCAACCAAACGTTATGAAACTTATACACAATGCTTATTACCACATAACACAGATCAAGTTTGAATTTTGGTGGCGTCACTTTTACCGTTCTAGAGTTATGTCCCTTTACAAATGGAAAAATTGCTGAATTTTTCGTTTCCGTTCTGTAATTTTAGTTTGCCTCAACCAAATGTTATGAAACTTCTACACAATGCTTATTATCACAAAACACAGATCAAGTTTGAATTTTTGTGGTGTCACTTTAACCGTTCTAGAGTTATGCCCCTTTATTAATGGAAAAATTGCAAAATTTTTATTTTCTAAATATCAAGTAATTTTTAAAATTGGAGTTATCTTCCTTTGTCCATGATTGTAGTTGAATCAATCAATGCTTTATACAATGCAATGTTTAATTTTGACTTCCACTGATAAAACACAGATCAATTTTAATTTGGGTAGTGTCACCTTAACCATTATTGAGTTATGCTGAATTTTTAGTTTCTGTTCTCTACTTAAGTTAGCCTCAACCAAATGTTATGAGACTTACACACAATGCTTATCACCACAAAACTCAGATCAAGTTCAAATTTGGGTAGCGTCACTTTTACCGTTCTTCAGTTATGTCCCTTTATAACTATATGATATGCAAGCTGGGGCATCATCTGTGTCCACATGTGGACACTATCCACATTTATTTTAAATAAGAAAAAACAGTGAAATGGTTGGACGAACAAGGACAGACTTTTTATGGCAATGGCGACAAAACCAGAGTAGGTTTCAGATTCCTGAATTGATCAATTGGAAGAATTCATATATTTGAAATAAAAATTCAATTTTCCAAATGATAGGAACTAGCTTACAAGTTGCTAAAAAAGAAAATAAATATCAGGTTTTTGTGTTGGACGAACAGTAGACAGACATGATCTGTGTTGGGACAAACAAAAGACAGACAAGAACTTTGATGGGACAAACAAAAGACAGACACCTCCAGTGTAGACAGAAAAATATGATGAACTTACATTGCATTACCTTCTTTTAAGTTATAAGGAATGAACCTTTGTCAATCAATATAGTGACAACAAACAGATGCTATCCCAGTCATTTTGAATAGTTTATTCACCAAATCTGTATGTTGCAAGGCTACTAAAAAAAGTCCATACTCCTTGGACGTACCCATTATTATTCTGTGCATTTCCAGATATACATTCTTTGAAATACAAATGTAAGATTCTGTGTATTTCCAGATATACATCCTTGAAATACAAATGTTATATTCTGTGTATTTCCAGATATATCTCTCGAAATACAAATGTTATATTCTGTGTATTTCCAGATATACATTCTTGAAATACAAATGTTATAGTCTCTGTATTTCCAGATATACATCCTTGAAATACAAATGTTATATTCTGTGTATTTCCAGATATACATTCTTTGAAATACAAATGTTATATTCTGTGTATTTCCAGATATACATTCTTTGAAATACAAATGTTATATTCTGTGTATTTCCAGATATACATTCTTTGAAATACAAATGTTATATTCTGTGTATTTCCAGATATACATTCTTGAAATACAAATGTTATATTCTGTGTATTTCCAGATATACATTCCTTGAAATACAAATTTTATATTCTCTGTATTTCCAGATATACATTCCTTGAAATACAAATGTTATATTCTGTATATTTCCAGTTATACATTCCTAGAAATACAAATGTTATGTACATTTTATATTTGTATATTCAGTTTTGAATATTTATTCTATATTGACGCCAGTAGCATATTTGATTAACTGTTTGATCCATTTTTGGTAATATCCTTTTGGCGTGGCTCGGTACTTATACATTCCGCCATTGTGTTGTTGTACTGTTGTCATTTTTTGTATTCTTGTGTTTCAATGTTGCGTATGTGCTTGGTCTATAAGCCATTTTGTTTTTCTTTGTTGACATATTTGTTTGTTTTTATAGTAATTGAGGTTATAACACAATGTTGACTGCTGTACCCCTATTTTTGACATTTTTACCTGTTATGTCTGTTTGTTTTGTTCACACATTGTTGTCAATATAATGGATTTTTTTGAAGATTTTTTCCTGCTCTTACATCGTTTTCTTGTTTTCTTGTCTAAAACATGTAACTTATGTTGTTGACCCAAAAAATAATATAACCCCTACCTACCTACCCAACCATAGAAGGCATGGGTAGGCAACATCAAACAAAGAATTTTTTAAGGGTGGCCCAAGAATTGTGTTCAACCTCACAACCAGGTAGTGATCATTGAACATGAAATACTTAGACCACTCAGTCATCATGGCCCCAATTCAACTAATCAAGCTTTGTGTCTATAAAACATAATTATATTTTACAGATACAAAAACAGCATCAGATACAAAGAAGAGGAGGTGATGTGGCTCTCAGTAAAATGTGTCGACTCTTTGGAGATCATTTGGGAACTGAGTTACCTACCTTGTGGGAAGCTATTACTAGTCCTTTAGAAAAGTTAGAAAAAGGTATGTTGAAAATCTCTGTACATAAATCAAGCTAATAAAATATACTAAAATAAAACTGGCCATAAAATGTGTTAAGGTAGACTGACATTATGATACTGTTCCTGAATTGTTTGCAAAGCAAGTTGATCAGAAATCAGTATTTTCAACAACAGAAAATGTATATTATATAAATGTGCATTTTAAAATTATACTGTAAAGCCTCCCTCTTTATATCCTCTCTCACAGGTTAGTTGTACACTGCAGTCACTGACCTTGTTACTGTTTATCAGTCCATTGGTGTATCTGTAAAATTTCATGTCTTATTACTCAGCAGCTGTCCCTGTTTGATGATACTTTAAAATTTTAAATTTACAACTGGGCATGAAATTTGTTTTTCATTTTCCAATAGCCACTTGAGATATACTTTGCCTGACTCTGTTGAAAAGAGGCAGAAGATTCAAAAAGGATATTTAAAACGTCAGTTGATGAGAAACTTACAATGCCTTAGCAAAGATAAGAAAAATGACAAGAAGACAAACAACAATCTACAAACCACTACATAAAGGTTGCTCTTTGTAGATACAGCTGTTTCACAAGCCACGCCTCTTTTGGGGAGATATATAATATTCATAGATATGTTAATTTGTTAACAGATATGATCTCTGTGTTTCATCTCATAGAGACATAACTTGGGAATGTTACCAGTATTGAAAAACATGGTAGCGCCTAAAATTTAATTCTTAGGAGGTCCAAAAATGGAGGTAGGAGTAGTATAGAATTTTAGTATACCTGTAAGTTTAAACTCTTAGAAGTTCAGGGCATATAAATTTTAGAAATATGCCACACAGCCCTATATTTTGACCTTTGAATAAAATAGTAGTGCATATCAACTTTCCGTTCTGGGATATAATTTTTCAAGAAACTTCACAGTAAAAGTGGCACAGTTTAGCCGCAAAGGGAGTTCCTATGGGAAATTGCATTGTCTATATTTACAGAATTGCAACCTATAAAAACTAAAAAATGAGCAACTCAAACATCACAAAAAACTCGGGGTGATCCAGAGTGGAAAGCTTAGCAGAAATTACTCCACATATCATCTTGTAAGCAACTGCTTGTTTGATTTCAGATATTACAGAAGAAATTCCAACAGATATTGCTCAGGAGACTGTTAATTCATTACAGTTAATAGAAGCTGTCGGATCCTCATTAGACTCATCACTCATAGAACAGGTATTTAACCTCACCACATGTTTATGTGTCCACGTCTCACAAAACAGGTAATAACTGTTTATCCTCATAACATGTTTATTTGTCCACTTCAATTCAGGAACATGTCAGTAGTGGTCTTGTGTCATATCTTTATGTTTTTGTATTTTTGAGAATATGGTGCTTATAAAAGATAAACAATAGTCTTTGTTTTCAGTTTGATTTACAGTAGAATTAAATGTACACATTATGTAACATCTTCTAAAAATATTTTCATGGCAAAAATCACAAATTCCTGACATCTCAAAGTAAATTGTTTTTGGACGATGCGTTTGTGGCATACAAATGATTAAGGGAGATTAACAAACCCAATGATGCTATTACATTGATAAATGCACTGAGTCAACACCTATTCTGTCTTATTGAAAACATGTCAAGTATGTTGACCTTGATGCCTTGAAGTGGTGGATTGCTGTCACATTGGCATATATATATATATATATTTTTTGTTTTCAATTTAGACTTGTTTATATTTTTTCGTTTGGGCTTGTATTATATTTGCCTTCGGGTTTATATGATCCGTTCATCCTATTTTGACTCCTCAAAATTCAAGAGCCTATCCTAAATTGAGGTAAATTGTATGGCTTTCCAAATACCGTTTCGATTCCTAACATCACTGAAGAGACATTAATTGTCGAAATCCGGATATGGTGTACAAAAACCTTTGCACCTTTTGTTTGCAGTATATCATCTTTTCCGCAAGTTTATTGTTTTCTGTTTAGTATTAAATTTATAATTAAGATCCATTTATTACATCGGTGATCCGTTTATTTGCCAATCGCCAATGGCAGTCAGCAGGGTTTAAGAACATTTGTTGTTCGACCTGTTAGTCAAATGCGTTTTGTTTAAATATACTTTTTCACTTTTTTGGTCTTTTGGAAAATGTTGTTTGTGCTGTATTTAGACCCCTCTAACAAGAAATTTGTTTTGCATGCACACGTATAAAAAATGCGGTTTTTATCCAACGCAATCATAGGTTTGAACGTCGTTTTCAATTTAGACTTGTTTATATTTTTTCGTTTGGGCTTGTATTATATTTGCCTTCGGGTTTATATGATCCCTTCATCCTATTTTGACTCCTCAAAATTCAAGAGTCTATCCTAAATTGAGGTAAATTGTATGGCTTTCCAAATACCGTTTCGATTCCTAACATCACTGAAGAGACATTAATTGTCGAAATCCGGATATGGTGTACAAAAACCTTTGCACCTTTTGTTTGCGGTATATCATCTTTTCCGCAAGTTTATTGTTTTCTGTTTAGTATTAAATTTATAATTAAGATCCATTTATTACATCGGTGATCCGTTTATTTGGCAATCGCCAATGGCAGTCAGCAGGGTTTAAGAACATTTGTTGTTCGACCTGTTAGTCAAATGCGTTTTGTTAAAATATACTTTTTCACTTTTTTGGTCTTTTGGAAAATGTTGTTTGTGCTGTATTTAGACCCCTCTAACAAGAAATTTGTTTTGCATGCACACGTATAAAAATTGCGGTTTTTATCCAACGCAATCATAGGTTTGAATGTTGTTTTCAATTTAGACTTGTTTATATCCTTTTATATATGTACTGTAGTAAGTTTTTTAGTTTATTGAGAAATAGTGTTGAAGCCAAATAGCCAAAAGAATTCAATTAAAGAGACATAGAACTTTAGAATTAGAAAAATTTCAGATTTGATACATTGTTGTATACATAATAAACGTGAAATTTTTCCAAAGTATTTAATTTGTAATAAAAATTTTGCTCATACTGAAAATTAAGAAATTTTTCGAGTTGTTATTATGCCCAAAATTGCGACATTATAGGTATTGCAAAAAATAAAAACTTGCATTCATATTATGATAGCATTAATTGTATGCAGCAGTTACTGTAATTGCAATATTGAATCTCACAATTTTGTTCATTCTTTAAAAATCGCAATGATAAATGCACACAAACATTTCTGAATTAATTGTATTCATATATATCATCTATAATGGATTAAATTCATTCTAAATATTTGTGTTTCGTATGTGTAAAAATATATTGCAAAATGCATGTATTTTCCAGATTTAATAATTATTTTCTTGTTCATTTTCAGATAAAACAGAAACTTTCCTCCATTTTGAATGGATTAAAGAATTCATACACAGCAATTAGACACATGTCAGCACGAAGTGTGGGCATGATGGCCCAGATATTAACCTCACACACCTTATCATTTATTATGGATAAAATCCTGCCATTAATGGGAGACATGGAACATGAAAAACATAGACAAGGAGCTTGTGAAGCTTTAGCCTGTATCTTTTTAATACTAACAGATATTTGAGTGTGGCAGCATATAGATTAGAAAAAAAAGAAAATGTGTCCATAGGACACTATAACCCTGTTCACACTATCACATTTCCAAGTTCTGTGAACCGTGAAATCAGGGTCAAAAACGAAATGTGGTTTATAATTTAAAAAGATGGCATCATAATTAACATGTTTACTAAGTTTCAAATTGATGTGACTACACCTATAATGTAAACATCAAATGGATGAAATAACAGATAGAAGGATGAACCCACAGACCATAAAACATTATGTGCCTTCAAATGTAGGCTGAGAATAAAATGGACAAGTGGTATGATTATCAACTAGACAAATATCCTCCAAAGACCAAAGGATGTGATGTAAACCACTACACCTCACCATACAGCATTCAACAATAAGCAAATCATATCCTATAGTAAGGTATAAAAGGCCCCAGAATAATTTATATCAAAATTTATGTATTCATGTCCCTCTCAATATCTATCAGTTCAGCTTAAATAATAGGCGCTACAATGTATTTCTTTGGTATACTAATGTCCTTATTATAAAATTCCATTTGCAAAACACCAACCAACAGAAAATGTGGAGGAAATCTTAGCCGAACAGCTTAAGGGCATACGATACAGTTACAGGGGAGATAATGACGTTGCTAACGTAAAATGTTATTTTTGCGACATCAAACTGTGACATATAGGGAAAAGATGCATTTTTCTACTAATTTTTATCATTCAGACTGATTTAACTTGAAAACGAGTTCATGGACCCCTCTTTTTAAATATGACACTTGGCTTGATTATGTATGAAGATTATGTGTGCCAGTTTTTATGAACATTTCACCGATGAAATTTTTTTAAAATTAGATAAATATACAGCCAAAAATGCCGTTTTATTTTACTGAAATCATGAAAATGTGCTAAAATGAGCTATTTCCATAGAATTTATACACAAATTCAAAACACACTTATGTAGAGAAGATATACCAGATGTTTTTACAAAAATACGCTTGTGTTTATCTTTTGAAATAAAAAAGTTAGGTCTGATTTTTAAAAGGACAGAAATGTCCAAGAAACCGAAATGTCCAGTAAATGTCTTAAATTTCGACCCCATTTATATCTAAAAGTAGCACATGAAGGTATATTTTTTATTACATTTTTGAATTGCCTAAGTGAAAAATAGCTTGTATGCAAACTTTCGTCAAAAATTCACCGTGGGATCAAAACTGTATCGTATGCCCTTAAACAAACTGACTGCTCAACCCTCCCCCTTAGCTTGGACAGTGGTGTAACAGCACAACATAAGAAAATATCTGTTTCTAATTCCTTTACTCAATAAATCGATACAAAGCACAAATAAACCAGCTAACATAAACACAAAGTACTGATATAAGAGTTACTGAAAGCTATTTTAAAGCCAATTACAACTAATAAATAAATCATGTTTTCCCAGACTAAAGTATTTATCAGTACACATCCAACTGATTTAGTGTAAGGCTGTCATATCAGTCTGACAAACTCATGACCTTGTGCGATGCCAAAATATATGTAAACAGTATCGACAGTATGTAACCTCTACCCTGGTATTTACTAAAGTAAACAATGTTATCCTTAACACTACATAGGTGTAATAGACGTGATGGGAATGGATCTCTTGCCATACATAGTATTACTGGTAGTACCCATTTTAGGGAGAATGAGTGATCAGAATGAGGCTGTCAGACTCATGGCCACACACTGTTTTGCCACACTGATTCGACTAATGCCACTCGAGGTTAGTATAAAACAATAATAGTTGTATCTGTTCTGGGTACAATAAGTGATCAGAACAAAGGCTGTCAAAATTTAATATTATTGTGAAAACAAATACATTTTTCCTTTTTTTATTTTTTTTAGATCGCTCAATGCATTTATTAGCATTTATAATTGTTTGAATTTTATAACACATTTATTTTAGGTTTTTTCAATTGTTTTTTTTAATGATTTATCAGTTTAATTTAGCTATATTATTTTGAAGAACAAAAATCCTATTTTCTTATATCCTGTAATGGGTTTATTTGCTTTTAAATTTTTTTGATTTTTAGAAAACATTTATTTCAGTTTTTTTCTGTCAGTTTTGTATGATTTGTTATGAGACATTTATGGTCGAAATGCGCATCTGGTGCAGTAAAATTGGTACCCTTAATGTTATTATCAGTTAAGGTTTGGTAATACTATTCTGAAGCATGAAGAGGTAAATGTCCAATGTTTTTATTTTGAAATTTAATTTCTGTAAGTATACCAGGTGGTTTTTTTTATGACTGAATACAAGAAACTAGTCATTGTGAATTCAGATGCCTGTTATGTATCTTATTTATTTTATATTTTCAATGCATATTTTCATACATACACATACTAGCAGACCAACTTCTGCTTGTCATTGTAGCAAGAATTAAACTTGTAAATGGTGATCTATACTTATAGATTATCAACAAGTTCATAGTCTATTCTTTCAATAAAACATCAAATTATAGATTATGAAGATCCAATGTTGAGAGCTCGTCATACAAGGCATCAAGTGTATGTTTTGATTTTCTTAATATTGTTTTTTACAGGCCGGGGTTCCAGACCCACCTGAAATGGAGGCTAGGCTGACAGCAGAGAAAGAAAAGCAACGTCAGTTTTTGGAACAGTTGATGGATAGCTCAAAATTGGAGAGTTACAAAGTGGCTATACCAGTAGATGCAGAGCTCAGAAAATATCAACAGGTACAGGGGTTCAAATTAGTGTGGGTCTGAGGTTTGGGATATTTTCTGACTTTGGAATTTCATTTTTGAATTACAAAAGATGACCTCACTTTCTTTGCACTGATGCATACAGGACCTTTGACTTTTTACAGTTGGACCTTTTACATAAAAATTCAACTGGTCCTGGACCTTGACACTGAGTTATGTGTTTGATTATTTTATTAGTTACAGTTTTGTTGTTTTAATTTTGAGAAGACTTTAGACCTGAAAAAATGTTGAAGCTGAATTGAACTAATGAACTGAAAGAATTTTGCTTACTTTTTTACAAAAATATGTTTGACACCTTTTTAAACGGATTTCCAAAGGAAAATATCGGTTATTAATTCGGTAATGTACGGTGGTCGGCGGTACAGCTGATCGGGTGGCTGCAAAACAGTGTCTGTGCAATAAATTGAAAATGCTTTGACGAAATCTTTTCAAATTTAGTTATCTTGTTTCCTGTGACTAAATGAAGGTCAAGTTCAATTTCCATGATTTTAGCTTTTATCGTTGTTGAGATGTAGACCTTTAAGTAGCGAAAAGTGATACTTAGATTGATTTTGGCCTTTCTATTTCTAAACCATACAAAAATTTAGTATTTTAATTGATCCAGATTTATAAATATCATTTTCATGCAGGAAAATCTGGTTTGCTGTTAATCTCTCAGCCTCTTGTTTTAAATACTGTGGATTCATTATTTTTCGTGGATTTCATTTCTATAGGAAAACTTGAATTTAAGTGGTCAACGTATAAATTTTCTAAAGGCTTGTATGCAGACTTTTGCAAATCTATGAAACACATGTATTCCTTAATCTACGATAGATAAGTACCCATGAAATTAAATAAATCAACAGTATACAGTCAACAGAATGACATTCTTTATATAAAACTTCTACAGTTAGATACATTTTACAGTATTTATAGTCAATTTGAATATCAAACATGGTGTGTATGTTTATAAATAAGCTTCTACCTCAAATAGATTTTCATTGTCCATTTTTCCTGTGTTTAAAAAAAGGATACAATATTAGAGGATTAATGACACTGCTCTTTTTCTAATAATAAGGCTGGAAGCACAGGATAATTGTGACTAATTTCTAAATTTATCTGAATACTTCCATTGAAAATAGTTCTTTGATTTTCTGCTTGCAATTGAGTTAATGTTTACTTGTTACAGTTTTGATCTTGATAAAATATATGTACCATTGAAAAACTTTATTCACTTGTTTTTTCTCAACAATCTTTTTCCCTATTACAACAGGATGGTGTAAATTGGTTAGCATTTCTAAACAAGTACAGTTTACATGGAATACTGTGTGATGACATGGGATTAGGGAAGACTTTGCAGTCTATCTGTATCTTAGCTAGTGACCATTTTCTGAGAGATCAAAAGTACCAGGTATGTTTAAAGAAGTGAGACTTTTTGTTGTATGTTTTTTTTATTATGCCCCTGCCGTAGCAGAGGGGACATTAAGTTTTACCCTTGTCCGTCTATACGTACGTACGTAGGTCCCAAAATTGGTTTCCGTTCTCTAACTTGAGTTTACCTCAACCAAACATTATGAAACCTATACACAATATTCATTACCACAAAACTAAGATCAAGTACAAATTTTTTGTTTCCGTTTTCTAACCAGTTTGCCTCAACCAAATGTTATGAAACTTATACACAATGCTTATTACTACATAATACAGATTAAGTACGAAATTTGGTGAGAGCACTTTTACCATTCTTGAGTTATGTCCCTTTATAAACATAAAAATTGCTGAATTTTTCGTTTCCTTTCTCTAACTTTAGTTTGTCTCAACCAAATGTTATAAAACTTATACACAACCGTTCTAGAGTTATGCGTGTTTACAAATAGAAAAATTGCTGAATTTTTTTAGTTTCTGTTCTCTACTTAAGTTAGCCTCAACCAAATGTTATGAGACTTACACACACTGCTTATTACCACAAAACTCAGATCAAGTTCAAATTTGGGTAGCGTCACTTTTATCGTTCTTCAGTTATGTCCCTTTATAACTATATGATATGCAAGCAGGGGCATCATCTGTGTCCACATGTGGACACAATCCACATTTATTTGTTTCATATTCTGACATAATCATGATAATGGTAATGGCTTTGATACCATTGGTAATAAGATATAGATACTATTAAAGAGACTTACCTGAAAGAAAATATATGAATGATACTGTTAAATCGAAATTATTTGCAACTGTCATGGAAATAGAAATATATGCACAAAAAAAAAAAATATCTTGCAAATAACAATCTCTGATGTAGGATTTTGTCAAACACTATTGTTTGAAAATTGATATTTATATTCATTATTTAGTGCATCATTAAGACTTATATTGTATTATGATGATGATGGATGGCTGTTTAAAGTCCAGTGGCATGTTAAAAGCTGGGTCAATATCCCTAATGCGCCTCAAAATGAGGAACTCAAAAGTTGTGTGTAAACAAAAAATCTCTGTGTAGTGATATTTGACATGTATCTATGATAAACAAGTGACTGAGCTTAACCATTTGTGCTTATTTAGAAAGTACATAGAATAAATGTGTAAAAACTATGGAGCTATTAAATGTGTTCAAAGTATTAAATTTTCAAAGAACTTATTGTGTTAAAAAAGGGATTTTTTAAAGGCAGTGCTTTAATGCCTTTCTAGTTGCCGGGTTAATCCTTCCTTCCGCGATATCCATCTTATCTACGTGGGGGGTCGTTAGGCTCCAAGTAGATCCGGAAATGTTGAATTCTCTCCTCTTCTTATTGCGATATAAAATGTTTTTTGTTTCATTTCATTTACATTGGGAAATAGAGAAACGATCATTGTGTTTTGTTAGTTTTAAAAACTTTAAATATATTTGTATTTTGCATTATAAGCAGTCAACCGATTGACAAACTAGAATTATTTGAATTCCGTGTGGAAAGAGCTCGGGTTAATTTCGAGTGTTATCTGCAATCTATATGTTTATAAATCATTTCAGTCGTTGATATAATAATTAAAGGTCGACTGAACATGAATTATATTATACAATTTAAAGCGCATTTCTGTTTATGCACGTGAACCCGTCTAACGTTATTGTTATTTCGCAGTTATATAAAGTAGCAAATTATCGTTCCTGAATAGGTGGCGCCGTGGTAGCCGATCCTGTTCCTCAATTTCCGGTTTCTGCACTGTGCAACGATTTCAGTTACATTTTTAATTAACGATGCCAAGTACTTGTTGTTGTGTACCTGGGTGTCATTTAAGAGGAGGACATGCATTTCCAAATGACTTAAAAAGAAGGAAAAGTTGGATCAACGCCATGGCCCATACGCAGATTGGACGAGAACACGATGAAATCGTGGAGTCCATCTCAATCAGCTGTTGTTTGCAAGGCACATTTTACTGAAAAAGACTACGTGCAGGAAACTATTCATGGTAAAACTCTATTTTCTTTTTGAAATATATAGTTATATATTTAATCGCCATGCGAATAAACCAAAGTCTGTTTACAACCGCAATTATCGTTTTAGAATAAAAGGGGGTGGTTAATTCAAGACGTCATAATTTTTTGGATTACGATTCAATATGATCTGTTTGAGATTTTTTGGTGATTGCTACAATTATAATGATTTCTTACAAGAGGTATATCATACTGAGAATTATTTTAGCAGTAATTATGCTAATGTAGTAACAGGTCAGGAATAACTACCAATTGGTGGATTATACCTCAATTGACGTATAATCCACCAATTGACATATATTGGTATAGACCAATTGACGTATAATGCAAGTTTATTTGTTATAAAATGCTAGTGTGAGATAGGAGCATCATTTTGCAACTTACAACCTATTTTATGACCATTATTGAGTTCTCCGAAAGTTTCAGTTTTGACAAAGGCTGCTGCATCTCTTGAGAATGCATGTGTACAACAATTCTTTTGTTGAAACATCTGTACTATTGACCATGATTGACTTTTAATAATGAAAGTCAAGTATTAACAAAGAGCTCCATTCACCTGTGGAGTTGTACTCATAATCACATGACTGCAGACAGTATTCAGTCAGAGCTCTGACATAAACAAGTCAGAATAAAATGACTTCCATAGGTCAGATATAATTTGATGTAAGTGTTGTCTCCCTTCTTGCACTCAACAGAATATGACTTGTACAGGTCAGTTTATGTCAGACTTTAATTTATCATAAAATGACTTCCACAGGTCAGCTTTTGCACAAAATATTGTGACTTAATATCTCCATATTCTAATAAGATTTATGCCCCTTTTTAATGCATTTTGACTTCGAGAGGTCATTTTTGTTCTGATTTGAAGCAGTCATTACTACCACTTTGTTATCAATCTCCATAAAAATATGGTGATTACTAGTTTCGAATTAAAGAGTTTTAAAAAGTGGGGCTCATCTGACATCATACCTTCTCCTTTCCAGAATCTAAACATAATATATTTATCTCATCACTTTCAATTATTTCAAAATACAAAGAAAAACCAGGTGAGAAAAAATGGATCATACAATTTTCTGAATATCAAAAGATTTACAAATTACAATATTGGATACATTTACTAGTACCATGACAATACTTCAAATCTTCCAAGGAAAAACAAGACACTTATTCATGATAAGACTATGTTAATAAAAGATATATTCTCATCCACTTTAAGCTAAATGTATTAAGAGCAAAACATTTATTATCTTAATATTTCATTGAGGTAAATACTGTTGTGCAAACTGACTCAAACAAGTCACATTATGTTCTGACTTACTAAACGTATTACAACTTTTAAGTCTAGTATTGTCATATTGATTTAAAAATGTATAGGTAAGCCAGATAAAAGACTGAGGAAATTAGGTCGCCATAAGTCACAATAATGAGGACTATAAAAAAGTTTATTTGGTATATTCAATATTAAATATATTTTGTTTTAAACAGGTCAAATCATGTTCTGACTTAAAAGAGTCAGTCCAAAACTAAAATAAATTTATTGAAATATTTAAGCCGGGCATTGCCATATGATATTAAATGAATGTATGGGAACGTCAGATAAAAGACACTGGAAATATATGTTAAGATTTCCTAAAATAAATAACCATTTGACTTAATTGTTTCTAAAAAATTATCATTTAATAAACTCGAAAATGGCAGATTCAGAAGCATTCTGAAAGCAAGGACTTTCTTGGAATAAAGAAAGTACACCTAGTTTTGATTGGAAATTTTGTTCTGTAAACTGACTTTAACAGGTCAAATCATGTTCTGACCTCAAAGAGTCAGTCAAAACTAAACTTATTCCAACTTTTAAGTCTAGTATTGTCATATTGATTTAAAAATGTATGGGAGAGCCAGATAAAAAACAGAGGAAATAAGGTCCCCTAAAGTCACAATAATGAGGATTATATAAAAAAGTTTATTTGGTATATTCAATATTTAAATGTATTTTGTTTTAAACAGGTCAAATTATGTTCTGACTTCAAAGAGTCAGTCAAAAACTATACTTTAACTAATTATTGCAACTTCTAAGTCTGGCATTGTCATATGCATTTAAGAATGTATGGGAAAAACAGATAAAAGACACCCAATAATAAAGTCACAATAATGAGGACTATAAAAAAGTTTGTTTGGTATATGTAATATTCAAATGTATTTTGTTTACAAGTTTCATCAAATTATCTTAAAATTTTATTCTATATCGTATTTTCATGACTTTTTCTTTTCTGTTAAGTTAACCCATGGAACTTTTGGTTGTAAAAAATATTATTTTAAAGACCATTTGACTGAATTGTTTCTAAAAAAACTTATCAATTAACATGATTAATTAACTCAACAGTAGCAGATTCAGATAAAGGGAAAAAAGGGGGGGGGCTTAGAGGAAGAAGACCTAGTTTTGATTGGAAATTTTGTTCTGTAAACTGACTTTAACAGGTCAAATCATGTTCTGACTTCAAAGAGTCAAACAAAACTAAACTTATTTCAACTTTTAAGTCTACATGGTCTAGGATTTTCATAATGATTTTAAAATGTATGGGAAAGCCAGATAAAAGCTAGATGAAATAAGGTCCCCTTACGTCACAATAATGAGGACTATAAAAAAGTTTATTTGGTATATTCAATATCAAATGCATTTTGTTTTTAAAGATTTTCATCAAATTATCTTAAAATTTTATTTTATTTCTGTATTTTCATGACTTTTCTTTTCTGTTAAGTTTACACATAGAACTTGTGGTTGCCAAAAAAAATAATATTTTAATAACCATTTGGCTGAATTGTTTCTAAAAAAACTTATCAATTAATTAACTCAACAGTAGCAGATTCATATTTAGGAGGGGGGGCTTAGAGGAAGAACACCTAGCTTTGATTGGAAATTTTGTTCTGTAAACTGACTCAAGCAGGTCAAA